GAGTTTAGGTCATCTGCTTATTTGCTGTGTCTTGGGAAAATCAAGGGTGAGGCTTATTACCCTGTGACCTGAGTTTTCTTTTCCAAAAAGTTTGGAAATTATGTAGAATGCAAAGTCACCAAAAGTCCACATACAAATAAAAATGATTTCCTTATTGGCCTCCCTAAGAAAATTAGACAAATCTAAGAGACATTTTAGATGGACGGAATTTTAATATTGAAATCAGCTTATAAGGTGAATAGAGTTTGACAGGAAGAGCTGCATTTCCACATCTGACTCAGGAAAGGCATGGATTAGACACAGCAGATCTGTGCTCTCACACAGTTCAAACAAAACCTCTCCTCTCCCCTCGAGGGTGGGTTTGGGGACATAAGGTGACAAACACTGAAGCAATGGCAATGCCAAAAATAACACAAAGGGTGGATTAATGAAATGAGGATTATTATTTAACAGACTCAATATACCATGAGAATTATTGCACTCTCACCTCAGGCTTGAGAAAAAAGAGCACAGGGAGATTAAAGACAATTTGTTAGATGAGATGGACGTTGGAGTCCTATCCATGACACAAGGTTCCAAGTAGAGATTTTTTTTTTTTTTAAAGTGAGCAGCACATTTACTAGTTCTTTGGTATTTTTTTTCTTGCATTCATTTTTGTAAAATGTTAGTATTTAAGAGTTTATAGATTTTCTTCATTGAAGTATTAAAGCTATTCATAGGTTCTTCATTTATTCCTGGTTGGTAGAGATAAGATTCTTAGGCAAAAAAAAAAAAAAAAAAAAAAAAAAAAAAAAAAAAAAATCTAGCTTCAGAAAGCAGCATGTGAAACTTCTTTCAATAAGCTCCAGAAGGCAGTGAACCATGTCTGTCTCTTTCTTCTACTGTGACTAGTATTATTTTATAGAAGGAAAAATGCTTGGTGATCCTGTATCAACCAGCATTCTCCAGAAGAATGGAACCAATGGAAGGTATATGTAATTACAAGGACATCTATCAGGCTGGCTTACACAGTCAGAGGCTGGATAGGTCAGAGAGCCCCACAAAGGCTGTCTACAGGCTGGAGAGCTGGGGAGATCAGCAGTTGCTCAGTCCAGGAAGCTAGAAGCTGGGCAGGGTTGTAGTTCAGTGGCAGAGCACTTGCCTAGTCTATGTGAGGCACAGAGTTCGATCCTCAGCACCACATACAATAAATAAAACAAAGGTATTGTGTCCATCTACAACTAAAAAGAAGGAGGAGGAGGAGGAGCTGCTGCTACTAGAAGCCTTAGAACCAGAGGGACCAATAATGCAAGGCTGAAGACATGGAAGTCCTCTGGAGATTTGCCATTCCAAGTCCACATTCAGAAGCTAAAGAATCTGGTCTAATATTTGCAGGTGATGGCAGTAGCCATTTAAGAAGACTCAAATAGGTGCATGTGCAAACTTTCCACTTCTGCTTTTTGTTCCATGCGGATCCCCAGCATATTGGACAATATGGCCCACATTCAGGCAGGTCTTTCCCCTCTTGTGGATCCTTGTACCAATTGTCTCTGCCAACACCCTCACAGACACACCAGAAGTGTGCTTTACCAGTTCTCTAGGTATTGCTCAATCCAGTCAGGTCGACAACCAGGATTAACCTCACATCCATCCTATTCAACACATCTCCAATCAAAGTTACAGCTTTCTCTGGATCCAATAGACTGTTTCTGTCAATTCTTCTAGGCCCCCAAATGACTTATTCTTTTCTCTTTTTAGTTATCAAAACCATCATTGTGTTCTCAGAACTCTACTTTCATAAAATCTGATTCCCCTCTTTACATTCCATTAGTCTCAATACCAATTTAGAATCTGAAAATTAGCTGGTCACAATAGTACATGCCTATAATTCCTGTGGCTTGGGAGGCTGAGGCAGGAGGATCACAAGTTCAAAGCTAGTCTCAGCAATTTAGAGAAGCCCTACACAACTTGGTAAGACCCTGTCTTAAAATAAAAAATAAAAAGGGATGAGGATGTTAAGTGCCCCTGAGTTAATCCTCGGTACAAAAAAAAAAAAAAAAAAAAATCTGCAAACCACTCTCTTCTGCCTATACTTCCCATTCTTCCCATTATCCCCCCCAAAATCCCAGACACCACAGGGTTAATTAACCTGGGGGGACATCGAGATGAACACACTGTGAGGAGAATAATTTTCATTCTTCCTCAGAATAATGGCAGAGGGCAACTTCCCTAGGTATGGACAAAAGGAAGAGATCAAGTTAGCCAAGATGTCACTCACAGAAAAAAAATGTCAGTTTCTAATCACCACTGACAACCCTCATATTTTATTACTATTACTTGTAGGTACACTCATGAAAATTGGCATTGTGGATGAACAGATAAAGAAAATGTGGTATATATACACAATAGAATATTACTCAGCATTAAGAGAATAAAATCATGGCATTTGCAGGTAAATGAATGGAGTTGGAGAATATAATGCTAAGTGAAGTAAGCCAATCCCAAAACCAAATGCCAAATGTTTTCTCCGATGTAAGGATGCTGATTCATAATGGAAATGGGGGGTGGAGCATGGGAAGAATGGAGGAACTTTAGATAGGGCAAAAGGGAGGGAGAGGAAGACAGGGAGTTGGGGTTAGAAAAGATGGTGGAATGAGATGGACATCATTACCCTAAGTACATGTATGAAGACACGAATGGTGTGACTCTACTTTGTGTACAACCAGAGACATGAAAAATTGTGCTATATATGTGTATTATGAATTGAATTGCATTCTGCTGTCGTACATAACAAATTAGAATAAATAAAACACAAAAAGAGAGTCAATGTGCCTTTCATAAAGGGTAGTGTGGAAGCATATGCAGAATACCTTACCCATGCACAAGCTTAGTTTAAGAGGAACTCCTGGTAGCAGAAGAAAAGGAGGGCAGACAATCTCTGTGGCTTGCAGAAAACAGGTAGAGCTAACTATAACTAATCATAAGGCCCTTACAACCACAACACATGTTGTTTCAGAAAGACCTGTTACTAATGTGATCAAATATGAACTCCTTATTCTAGCACTCAAGACTTGACATCAAAATATCAAACCAGTCCCCTGAGATAGGATTTCTTACTCATTAACATGAGTCCTCAAGGGTGATCTCCCTCTAATCCAGATTTACACCTGGAATTACCTCTCCTGGACTCTCTCCTACCTATATCCATCTCCTTTTGAAGGCCCATTCAAGCCCTACCTCCTGGGTGAAGACTTACATGAATGAAGGTCTCATTACCCCCCCACTTCTCTGACCTCCCCTGGCAGATACAGTCTGAATTCTCATTTGGCTCTTAATATACACATACACCACTTTTAGACATTTTCTTTGTATCTTCATGTCCCAGATAAAACCACTAGTTCCTTAATTTCAAGTTCTAAGGTTGTAATTAGGTATAAGTCTAATGGCACTTACTTCACGACAGATGGTGAATATCAGCATTTCCTGATTACTAACTGAGCCACTATCAGATGCTTGAGTTGGTAGAACGAAAAATGTCTCAGTTCTAGTGATGGTTAGTAGAAACTAGCACTTGTTTAAAGACTTCAAAGTGAGCATTCTCTGAGTAATAAACTCTGTCAATCAGACACTTGTATAGCTCCAAAGTAATAGGTCTGCTGGAAGAAATTCCAGACTCAGTACCTGGATTTCCAGAAGCTGCTACATATATATATATATTTTTATATATATATATATATTTATATATATATTTTAGTAATTTAACTTGAGAAGCCTAAGGGAGCCAGAACATTCACAAGACCTCTTTCTTAAAGGAAGGTAATCACATGAACAGTACTTTATATTCCACTTACATTGTCAAGTAGTCTTTGAACAACCTTGAGAGGTAGAGTGGTAAGTTATTAAAGACCAAGGGGCAGAGAAGGCTAGATTAACTTTTTTCAACTCACTCTCAATTAAGGAACATCACATATTTTCTATTTCTTCTTGGATATCTGGACACTGATCATAGGATTTTATAATACCTGAGAACTCGGTCTCCAGAATGCCTAGACCTAACCCAAAAAAAAAAAAAAAAAAAAAAAAAAAAAGCTGAAAACTTCCTCCTTGGCATTCTGTAACCTCTCCAAAGCCCTCGTTCTCTCCTGGGCACCCAGTCTTTTACATCAGCCAAGTCCAGAGGTCTCAAGGGTCCCAAACCACCACTTTCACATGCCATGCATAATTAACGCTGCCAACCCTAAAATCACCTAAAAGCATGCGTGCCCTTATGCTGCAGTTAGTAAACCAAGACCACTCAGGTTTTTCCAGTGCACAGCACTTTAGGATCCGCGAGGAGGCCTTCATTGGCTGGGTCATTTGGTGCTTTCCCGACAGCCCGGGACGCGGGATGGAAAGTCGCCCCTACGAGGGGAGGCCTCCACCCCAATGGCTTCCTTTCCTCCTTCCTAATCCTCAGGCGGGCGTTTCCCCGCGCGGTGGCCTGGAGCAGGTGGGACCGCTTTTCCTCGCTCCACGTACCGGGCACAAAGACTGCAGTTTAAGCAAAGGGGACAGGGAGGCGTGGCTCTCAGGACTCCAGGGCCGCGTAGTGTTTCGTCTCAGGGACAAGGAGTCCTGCGAGGTCTTCCCTTGAAAGATGTCTTCGTCGTGACATTACGTAAACCAGTTCCAACTTTCCAACTTGGAGAGGTAGAAAGAAAGAAAAGAGAGAGAGAGAGAGAGAGAGAGGGAGGGAGGGAGGGAGGGAGAGGGAGAGAGGGAGAGAGAGAAAGAGAGAAAGAAAGAAAGAAATCCCTACAGGGGAGCCACACCGGCTTCCCCTGGCCGCCCAGCGGCCGCACACTCTCTTCTCGCCTCAGCCGGCCGGAAGTGGGAAGGGGCCACCAGCGCGCAGGGGGCGGGACTTGGTCTTCCGGCAACGGCCTCGGCGATTGGCCAGACCGTCTGCTGCCACAGCCAATGGCCAGGCGCCTTGCCAACGCTCAGCACCGCGATTGTGGCTGCGCGGGAGATTCAAATCGGCGGTGCTACTAGCTTTCGTTGTCTGTGGTCCTGCAGCCGGCCTGCGTCCTCTCGCCATGGATAACCCGGAAAATGTCTTTCAGTGAGTGTCCGGCTAGTGGGGTGTGGGCGCCGCGAGCGCATGATCCCCGACTCTGGGCCCCTGAGGGGGCTGGGACAGTTAGGGCTCTGGCCCTCCGCCCCTGGGCCCTCGGCACGGACCTGCCTGCGTTCCTGGTCTGGGCCCCCCCCTCGCCTCAAGGCTGCGGGCCACTTCCGAGTCACCGAGTAGAGGGTGGTCCCACTGAGACCCTGGCGACTCGAGATCTGCGGCCACGCCGACCGTTTAGGGGCATTGCGGCAGCTTGGGAGGCCCTCGAAGGTCTTGCTGTTCCTTAAGGAAACCCATCCGTGGGCATGGGGCGCCGCTGTGGGAGGAGAGTGTCCAGTCCATCAAGACCCCCCCTTGCGTGTCTTAAGTCTCCCATTTAAAAGTTATACTACAGAGGGAGAGAATTTACAATAGCTCTCTTACTCATAATCCTACTGCTCTTTTAGTACACAGCACTTAAATGAAAAAAGTGCCTTGCTTATTGTCGACTCATCTATTCCCATAGCCTGTGTGATGTGTGACTTGCCCAGCCTGTGATTAAAAAAACATTTGAAACGGTTAAATCATATGTGGCAGAAGTAAAACGGGTTAGTTTTACCAGATATTTGGGGATCACAAGACAGAGGTTGTCAATATACTCAAAACAAAAATCCTTTAAGACTTTTTCTTTGGAAGTCCTATCCCTCTACCCCATTTTTAAAGGGAAATCTGTATTTCAGCCCTTATCTTGACTTTCTAAAGACTAATTTGCTCTAATGAACGGGTTGATTTATTATTAGTGTATTTAAGCCATTTTCCTGAGAATGTGGTTGGTGTGAACATGAATTACTTTGGGCAAAGGTTATGTTTATTACACATTTTGGAGGAAAAGTTCTGGCATTATAGGGATTTATTCCTCTGTTATGAGGCATGAGAAAGATTCAAATTTATAAGTAATCATTTTTAAGGTTTAAAAATAGATAATATATTTGTATGGTTTTAGAAAGATTTGGAAAGTATTCACTGACAATTCCTGTACCTGTCTACTCTCACCCTATCATATGTATCCTTTGTTTATTTATTTATTAGTTTTTTTTAAGTGATTTTTCTTAGACATATAAATACTTAACGTTATTAAAGTGTATGTATATGTATGTATATGTATGTGTCTGTGTGTGTACATTTCCTGCCTTCATCTCACATGAAATGTAGCAGAGCAACTCCATTCTTTTTTTGCCTAAGATATCCTTGGAGATTTCTATCAATACACAGCACTCTTTTTTTTTTTTTTTTTCTTCATTTTTTAGACAACTGTTTAATATTTCATATACCATAATTGATCCAAAGATCCTCAATGACAGACACTTGGGTTGTTGACAATATCTTGCTGTTACAAACAGTGTTGTAGTTAAAAAAAAAAATGTACATAATGGCAATGGTATTTTGCATATACCCAGATGTATCAGTTTTCTAGATTCCTGAAAGTGTTTTTCCTGGATGAAGAGCAAATCCATCTGGGATATTGGTAAGATACCTACAAGCAAGATTTGAGTGTGCCTGCTTCCATTGCTTACCTGTATACTTTTGCTGTGTTTAAAATTTTTTTTTGCAAAATCTATTGATTAAGTTGTATCTTATTGACAGTGAATTTCTCTTATGAGAGAGGTTTAACATCTTTTCAAATTTAAGAGCCATTTGTATTTCTTTGTGAAATGCTTTTTTATTCCTTTGCTCAATTCAAAAATTGGGTTTATAACTTTGCTTCTCAATTTCTAGAAGTCCTTTTGTTTTTCCAGTTTATCATTTCTCTTTTGACTTGGAAAGTTTTAAAAAATTTCGTTTATTTGACATGTAGAAGCATTTCATTACTATATAGTTGAACTTTTCTGGCTTTTCCTATCATGGCTTCTGGATTTTTAGTCTTAAGACACAATGATTTCATTTGTCTGTGGAGGTGATAGCTAGAATGAAGTATAGTTTAAGATTCTCTACTTTCTGAGGGTCCTTAATTGAGTGTGTGGAATAAATTGACAATAAATAGATTAATAAGAGAAAAGGTATACAGATTTTATCCTGTGCAAGACCCTGGGAGCATCAAAATAAAAAACAGAAGGGAAATGAGGAGTTAAGGTGGACTTAGAGAAAATCGATCTGTTTACCTTGCTAATATGAATTGATGCAAGTTTTTCTTAGAATAGTTTTTCAGAGCCATTTCTGTCTGCAGTTCTCTGACTATCCATCTTGAAATATGCCAAAGAAGTATTTTGAGGTGGGTGTTCTTGTCTCTTACCAAAGTATTGCTTTAAAATCCCTTTTTCAAAAAAAACTAATGATTTCTCAGATAGCAAACCTAGGAGTCCTTCTCATCTTGACTCATACCCAGAACACAGTCCCATCAGGAAGCCCTTTCCTTGCCCTAAGAGAGGTGCCAGACTCCCCACATGTAGTCCAACTCACCACCAGTCACTGGGGTGTTTCAGTAGCTTCCTATCCGATTCTCACTTTGTTCCCATCCCTACCATCTTCACAAGGAGAAAGGAAGACTTTTAAAATGCAAATTAGAACTTCCCCAGCTTATCACACTAAAGCCACACTGGCTCACTTTCTGTTCCTGGAAGAGGCTGGTTCCTGAAGTTCTCTCAGCCTTGACCATTTTCTCCCAAGATAGCTCTGTGGCTTTCTGGTGGTATCCCGTCAGTGCCCTCAGAGGCAGGCCTTCCCTGACCACCCTACCTGAAAATAGTAACTCTTACCCCTTCTATTTGGTTTGTTTTTTCTTCTTGGTACTTAATGTAACCTGACACTATTTAATTTCTTTTTGCTTGTTTGCCCCACTAGCACCTGAACTGCCACAAGAGTTTTGCTTTGCTTGGTTGATTTTTTTTTTTTTTTTTTAAAGATGTGTTTGGGTATTTGGAAGTCAGGGAAACAGTTCTATGGGAAATCTAGTGACTGATTCATGAAAACTGCCAATCACCTTTTCTTCCTCAGGAACTTTGTGTTACATTGGGGCCCAGGAAATGAACTCTATCTGGAGTGTCCAGTTGTGGAATCTTGTCTATCCACCTGCTGGCAAGCCCTTATTGGATCTTATTCTAACTCAGTCTCCGCTGTGCTCCTGGAAAGCAAGAGAAGGGATATGAGCAGGGCCTACTTATATCCCACTGTTAGGAGAAGGGGCAGCAAGTTTCCAGGCACTGACCCTCAGGGTGGTTAGCAACCCTGGGGACCAGGGACGGAAGCAGGAGACTCTGGGATAGAGCTAGGGATGAACTTTCCTCTGGAAAAATACTGTTTTGAGTTTTTTGACCACCTCTGAGAGCTCTTTTAAATTTTATATAGCTTTTAGGTTGGTATTTAAGGTTTCTATTTTAAGGTATATAAATCACATATATAATATATTATATAATATAATACAATATATAGATATATGATAAATATATAATAAACATAATATATGATTTAAATCATATATAATTAAATATTTTGCTCTTATAAATTATCCATAATATTTCATGTGCATTCTTTTCTTTGTTCTAGAATGTTTGAAGCCCATATGCAGAGCTACAAAGGAAATGACCCACTTGGTGAATGGGAAAGGTTAGCATTTGGATTTGAGGGGTAGGGGCATTGTTTTTGTTTTTTCCTTTAAACCAACTATATGTTGTACTATGGAAAATTAACATTATCCATATTTTTCTAGCTATATGCAGTGGGTAGAAGAGAATTTTCCTGATAATAAAGACTACTTGATAATGCTACTAGAACATTTAATGAAGGAATTTTTATTTAAGAAGAGATACCACAATGACCCAAGATTCATCAATTATTGTTTAAAATTTGTGAGTATACTTTCATATCGATAATCAAATCTGTAATCATGTTGAACTTTTGTTTTTTGACCTATATTTTAAGATCTTTTAAACTGCCTTTTATTTTAATTCCTTGTTTCCATTCATAAATTTTTAAAGGTTGGATTACTAGAGATGTGTATAGCCTTGGCTCTGTATAGTGGAATCATTGATTCAGTTTTTAAATTCTCCTTTATTTCAAGTTTGCACATGTTCCAACATGGAATAGAAACCAAAAAGTAAAAGAGGGTTTGTTGGGTAGGAAACGTGATGAGCAGGAAACTCCCAGGTGCCAGGGGAGCTCCAGGGAGTAAACAGTGGGGAGCATTCTGGCTCTCAGAAACTACACTTAGTACTAAGGGGAGAATGAAGGCTCAGGCCTGAAGATTGCATCTCTTCGACCTGGAAGTCAAAGGCTTGGAGATATAAAAAATCACGAGTGGAGTGGATAAGGCAAACATGAATTCGTTCACTGAATTACAGAGTACTTGTTGGAGGCCCCTATGGACCTTGAGCAAGCTCAGAGCAAGACACAAGTAATACTTCATGTGATGAGTTTTTATAGACTTACTGTCTAAGGAAATAGTTTGGGTAATTTTGGGGATATTGAATGTCAAGGAAAGGAATGATCCTAACTTAGGCTTGTGACCAGAGAACCATACACACCTTCGCCTACATAGTATATCCTCAAGCCTCCACAAGTACAGAAAGGTGGAGGGCCAGCTAGATTCTGGGCTGACCCAGATTAGCAGTTCTGTGTTTTATTTTTTTTGTTTTTAAATTTATTTTGGTATTTATATATTTTTAAAATTTTTAGTTGACACATAATAATTGTTCACATTTATGGGATACAGTATCCATCACCTCATATATTTATCATTTCTTTGTGTTGGGAACATTCATTCATAAATGCCAATTTGGCTCTGTCTCCTGCATGCACCCCTCTATTTTGAAATATTATTTGCCAACCATAGTTACCCTACTATGCTCTAAAACATTAGAAATTATTCTTCTTATCCAACTGCACCCCTGTAGCTCTTAACATCTTTTTTTTAAATATTTATTTTTTAGTTATTGGTGGACACAATGTCTTTATTTTACTTTATGTAGTGCTGAGGATGGAGCCCAGGGCCTCACACATGCTAGGCAAGCGCTCTACCTCTGAGTCACAGCCCCAGCCCAGCTCTTAACATCTTTCCTCCACCCTTGCCTCATTGTTCTTCTGTGCTTTTCTTCTGGGTTCCTGTAGGCTGAATACAACAGTGACCCACATCAGTTTTTTGAGTTTCTGTACAACCAGGGGATTGGAATCCAGTCATCTCCTCTGTACATTTCCTGGGCAGGGCATCTGGAAGCCCAAGGGGAGCTGCAGCAGGCCAGTGCTGTGTTTCGGAGAGGAATTCAAAACCAGGCTGAACCTCAAGAGCTCTTGCAACAGCAGTACAGGTAGCTTCTAAGTACAGCTCCTCCTGGCATTTCCTACTTGGAGAGGAAATGTTTGCTTTTACATTTATTGTTATCTATTTTATGGGGAAATCTTGTGGAAAATTTGGTCACTACAGAGTAAAGAAAAGAAACTGCTCAGAAATGTTACCGTTACCTACTTTCCATAATTATTACATTTGATCATGTTTTTTCTGTGCTGAGGACTTTTATAGGAGATTCGAAGTAGCTAAATAGTTTATCCCAATTATTACTATAAGTTCTCCAAAAGATTATTTCTTACAGAATCTTAGTAGATAATCTCACCTATGAAATTAAAAGTAATTCTTCAGTATCACCTAATATTCAGTCTTTCCCCATCATGTAAAATGGTTTTGCTACCATTAGTTTGTTTGAATTAAGAGCAAAACAAGGTTTAGCATTTGGTTGTGGATCTCTTCTCTTTTTAGTATGCACTCTTGCTTGCATTACCCACCAATGTCAGGCTTAGGAATTGCATGTAATTCCACAGAGTTGATGTGTAAAATTGCTGTGAAGTGACCCATTTGAGATGTCCTCACAGAGCATGGGCAGTAATGGATCTAGATACCTTTTGAATAAGTGGTCTAAGCTTTGTACTTTCACTTCTTTCTCCCAAATATTAATATTCATTTTGTTCCAAATGGGTAAAATAACCAAAGTAGGAGTCCAAACACTCTATTATAACATTTACAGACTTGAGGAATTTTTTTAATATATGTACATCAGATATGAAAATATTCCTAGCATTTTGTCTGACTATATTACTTCAACCTTGGTCTTTATTAACATATAGTAAGCTGTTACCTTTAATTTCTACTTTAATACAGTATATATTAGACTGTAAACTTAAAATCTATACTAATGCCTTTTCTATCATTTAGGTTATTTCAGACACGTCTCACTGAAACCCATTTGCCAGCTCAAGGTAAAATAATACTTTCTGTAGTGTCAGATTGTTGGTAATTTAGTTGCTAATTTTTGCTGATTTCTTTTCCCTTTAAAAAGCAAATCCTTCTAGTATTTAATGAAAACCAAACTATACTGTCTCAGGTAATGGGGAAGACACTTTGGTAATAATGCACTTTAAAGGAGACAAATCTACTTGATGATTTCACTCTATTTTGGGGATTTAAAAAACAAAATCAAAAAGAGATACTCTGAACTCCATCTGTTCTGAATTGAATCAAATGTATTTGATGGCAACTTTAGGAAACATGGCAGGGCTTTATTTCCCTTAGAAATAAATACCACATTTCAGCAATTTTCATTGACTATCCTATCCTGATTAAATAACCAGTTTTACAGTTATTTGGGGTACTTCTTGAACATTTTGATTTGGTCCAAAATTGTCTCTAAAATACTTACTTACAAAATATTTTAGTTCCATTTTCTGAGGCAGTGTGATTGAATTGATTTATTTCTTGTGCTGCTTACTGAAAGATCAAGGGGATGTATTGTGTGATAATTTTGGTTACTATGATTTTTCTCTTATTTCTCCTTATTTTATCCTGTTTTCCCTTATAGCTAGGACCTCGGAACCTCTGCATAATGCTTCAATTTTAAACCAAATGGTACCATCAAAATCAAGTCAAGGAAAGGACTCAGCCTCCATCTCTAAGAATCAGGTAATGGTGACTATTGTAGGTTGTACAGAAACTAGGAGTGGTATTGAACCGTCCTCCTGGCTCCTTTCTGTATCCACCTTGGCATCTCTTTTCTTTAACCTTGTCTCCTGTGACTTAACATCCATGTCAGCTGCCTGTTCCCATGTCAGCTTTCTGGGCCCGTGGCCATCTAACCTAAATTTATACTCAACTCACAAATATAACTTGTTATGGGACCTAAGGGCCCTCTCCATACAACCTCCTGTTCACTTCCTCCCCAGCAGTTTTTCTCCTACCAAGACCCTCTTCCTCCTTGTTCTGCTTTCCTCTTTCATAGGCCCAGGATCCCTACCTTGATTCATACCCAACTGGAGCCAGTTTAAAAACCCAGAGCTTCAGCTATTGGCATCCACAACCTCAGTAATACCAGAAGAAATTTTTAATGGATTTTTTTTTTAAAGGTTTATGGGCTCTTTTTGTTGCAAAAATTATACTACCAATGATGATGCAAACTAAAGCTTTAGCTATTAATTGAAATTTTACCAAGAACATGTAGAAATCTACTGGAGATTAAGAAGCCTTTCTACTCATATATTGTCATATTGATTTATGAGGTAATTTGTGTGAAGTTTTCTTTTCAGTAAATAAATGCTTCTGTTTGTTTTCTGTATTTTAGGGTTCAGAAGTGTCTGGAACAATACCTTCAGCTTGTGATAAAGAGTCAAATATGCAAGTACAATCATTGCATAGTTCTATTACTTAGTTTCCTTCCAGAATTATTTCCATACACTGTTGTAAGTGATGTGTTTTCCCCTGTAGGGAACAAAGGGTGATCATGATTTCTAAATCAGAGTACCCTGTGCCCTCGTCTTCAGCAGCCAGAGCTGATGTTCAACAGGTCGTTATGTATTGGAAGGAAAAGCTTATTCATGGAGAATCAGAATTTTCCTTTGAAGAACTGAGAGCCCAGAAATACAATCAACGGAGGAAGCATGAACAATGGGGTATTTGGTCTTATAGTCTTATATTTTGAGTTGTTTTTATGTCAATTAAAATAATGAGTAATTACATTTTTGGTCAAATAATTGACTATGCTGAAAGACTTTAAAAAATGTCTCCAGCTCGTCCTGTCAGAAGCCTAGCAGTCTCTGTTAAACACCAGCGTAGCAGCTATGTTTGTTCAAGACTTGTGTTCACGTATTGACAGCCGAGCCCATGGCTGAACCAGCCCTGAGCTAGATATTCATGCCAGTATCACCTTAGCCTTAGTGAAATAGTATTTTAAATGTTTTCAATATTATCTGTATGGAGTTGAACTTCTGTATATAGTTATTCTAAAGCTGTAAGTCATTTGTACTGTGAAAGGAACTGAAGTTCAGAAGAGATTTTCCAAGTTCTGCACCTACTACAAACAAAACATACTGAAGGAGACCCCTGATCAAAGTGTTGTCTTAGGGGTTAGGGTTAGGGTTAGTCATAGAGACTGCAGAGTAGACTGAGATTTGCTCCCTACAGGGAACAGGGTGTGCCTTAACACCAGCATTTGCACTTGGCTCTTGCTATAACCATGTGGAAGATGGAGCCTTGCTCCACTCGGGACTTTTATACTGTCTATAGTGTTGGACCATATGCACTCCGTGAGCCTTTTTTTTTTTTTTTTTTTTTTTTTTTGCTCATTATTTTTCATATTTGGTCAACAACAAAAAGTCAGTCAGTATTCTTGGAGGATCCATTTTGAGTTATGCCTGGATAATTTTTTCCTTCACATGCCACAGCCTGAAAGTGTCCAGCCAGAGTCTACTTTGTCTCATGAGCCAGTTTTAGGCTGTGTGACTGACAGCATGCTTGATGCCCCAACTCTTTTATTTTTACTTCCTAGAGAATCATATCTTTTTTAAAAACTGAAATGATCAGTTATTTTCAAATGATTAGCACAATCCCAATTGTTTTATGAGAAGCATTTAATAAGATACTGTGCTATTACCAAATAGACTTGATCATCATAAATTTTTGCAACTTATACTCTGAATTTAATAGTTACTGTGCTAAGGGCATATAAAGATTGTAAATATGGAAAAGACTGAAAAATGTTCCCATCTTAAAATAGAACTTGCCATCTTAAAATTGGACTTTTTATCCATTTGTTGTGTATTCCTCTGATAAACTGAATTTAAACTTTGCATATAAACCTTTCTTTTTCCTTAAGTAAATGAAGACAGACATTATATGAAAAAGAAAGAAGCAAATGCTTTTGAAGAGCAGCTATTAAAGCAGAAAATGGATGAGCTTCATAAGAAGTTGCATCAAGTGGTGGAGCTGTCCCAGGAGGACCTGCCCAGTGTCCAGGAAAAGCCTAAGGTATAGACACGCTCTGACCTGGGCGTCCTGTGCCCAGCGGTGGGGATTGTTGGCTCTCTAGGCCCTGTTTCAGAGTTAATTCTAGCTAGTAACTTTCCAAAATTTAAAATTGTGTGATTCAGAAAGACATTCAAATGAAGAATGAGCAAAGGAATTTAGAGAATAGAGGGCTGATGTTTCATGTGTGTGTGTGTCCATGCTTATGTATTCACACATTAGCACTTAGCATCCTTTTTCTGGCTTTCATACAATGACTATAGACTTCCAATCATTTGTCATCTAGACATATTTATGTTTGCCATTGTCTTGTGTGGGAAGAAAAAATAGGGATGAATATTACAGCCACATATTTTCTTGAAATTATTTATGAATGGGAGAGATTGGGAATAATTTAAGCTATATTATGTTTGCTTAATCTTCCACATTGTATATGTCTATCTATGACATAGGATACTTTAAAGGTAAAGCTTATTTAAATGCATGTTTTTAAAATGATAGAAAATTCATGACTGCAATGATTTTTTTTTAATATTGAATGAAAGGTGTGTGTAATATATATATACAAAATCTATGCCAGAACATTCACTAGATATAAGTATGTATACCCAACTATGGGGAGCCACTCTGAATGATTTGTACCTTCCATCCTAGAGCCGAGAGGCTTTGACCAGTCACTACATCTTATAGTGACCCGGACATTGCCCCGGTCCAGGAAGTTGAGGACGTGCCTTCAGATGTAGGTGTGTTGCTCCATGGCCCCTGGGTTGAATTACACTCACCTGTCCCTTGTAACCCTGCCCCTTCTGGCCTTTTTTGGATGGAACTTTCTAAGAATAAGGGTCCCCCCAATAAAAGCCTACTTCCGAATGTGCTTGCTCTCTCTCGCCAGCCTCTCGTGACTTTCTCTTGCTCACCCATTTGGGGAGCCTGAGGCCGAGAGCAGAAAAGTCGTCCTGAAGCTTGTTTAAAGGTAAAGCGTGTGTCTGTGTTTTATTTGATGTCCCTGGAAATTCACACAAGTGACCTTAATTTCAGCTGCCCACACGGGTCGGGGGAAGACTCAAACATACATGAATATCCACGAATGTTCTTATTCAGTGCTAATTGCTGAAGTTTATCTTTTTTCCAGATATATGCTATGCATGAACACACATAAATATGAACACAATTGAATTTTCCATATAAATAAGACTTATTTTCTGCTTTTTCTACAAACACATCTTATAGATCTTTCAATATCACTGCACAGAGACCCAGTTTACCCGCTGCAGCATGGTCTTCTGTCATACTTACAGCAGGGCAGGTACCAACATCATACAGAGACTGTTACAAACATGATACAAGATTGTTTCTCTAGAAAAGATGGAAGTACAACTGTTGCCTTTGAAGTTTGTGCACCTAAAATACTGTCCTCTAAAAAAATTTCATTTTACCTCATATCAATAGTATATAAAATTACTTGTTTCTCACATACATTTTGATAATGTTAGTTATCCTAAGTATTTTCAACTGTTTCTTTAATTACAGGTGGTACTGGACATTTTTAATTGATTTAGTGGCTTTTTGTCTTCTTTTTTCTTTAAATTGACCATAAAACCAGGTGTGGTGGTACACATCTAAAATCCCAGTGATTCCAGAGACAGAGACAGGAGGATCACAAGTTCAAGGCTGATCTCAGCAACTTAGGGAGACTCTGTCTCAAAATAAAAAGGGCCGGGGGTATGACTCAGTGGTTAAGCACCCATGGGTTCAATCCCTGGTACCAATCAAATAAATTGACTTTGATGGATTTGTCTATTTTTCTATTGGGTTTTTTCATTTTTAATGTTTATTTCAATTTTTATATAACTTGTGTTTTCCCTTGATAGATGTAAGCAGTTGTTAAAATAATTGTCTCATTGTTTTGTTTTTATGTATTTTCTTGCTACTTATCCCCCAATTCTGAAGAAACTTAAAATATTCATCAATCACATCCAATATATCAGATGCACTCCCATTCCCTTTTCTTGGCCAGATGTCTCCCAGAGCCTCTGAGGAGTGGTTCTTCCTGCTTCTCTCTGGTGGTATATCCCTGATTCACATGCCATTGCTTTTCCTTAAGGTCCCCATTTTAAAGGTATACAATCTCATAACTTTTTTAAAAAGCATGTGTGAGGGGTTAAGTTTTTGAGATCTCTTGCTTTTTTAATGGTGTCTTTGTTCTACCCTCACACTGGTTGATGATTTGACTAGAACTGTTCTAAAAGGAAATCATTTTCCCTCACGTCATTTTGGATTTTATGCAGTACTAGAGATTGAACCCAGGGTTACTTTACCACTGAGCTATATTCTCAGCGCATTTTCTGTTGGTTTGCTTTTGATCTTGGAACAGGGTCTGTTAAGTTGTCCAGGCTGGCCTTGACCTGGCAATCCTCTTGCCTCAGCCTCCCTTAGAGTTTTCAGAGGCATTGCCCGTTGCCTTTTGGCTTCTACCATTGGTATTGGAAAGTCCTGGATCATTCTGACTCTCGGTTTTACAAATGTAATCCCTGTTGTTCTTGGGAAACGTGTTGTAACAAAACAAATGTGATGCGCAGCTCTGTCCCTCCATCATACTCAGTACCCTAAGGGTCTGGTCCTCCAGGTCCTTTTATGGGATTTTCCTCTGTAGAGGTGGCATGAAGATGTACTTTCCAAAATGAATTGCCAGTTGTCCATAAATCATTTATTGACCAGCTCGGCCCCTTTATTCAAAATGTCTTTATCACATACTAAGTTTTTATATTACAAAATCCATTTCTAATATTTGTTTTAGTCACTATCTCTCTTCTTTATACATACATATATATATATATATATATATATTTTACTCTTTTATTGATTTTATTTTTTTAAATACATGACTGTGGAATGCATTACAATTCTTATTACACATAGAGTACAATTTTTCTTGTCTTTGTATATAGAGTATGTTCATGCCAATTCATGCCTTTATATATGTACCTTTTTTTGCATTACAGTTCTTATTACACATATATACCACAGTTTTTCATATCTGTTCATATATATAAAGTATGTTGACACCCAATTCGTGTCTTCATACATGTACCTTGGATAATGATGTCCATCATATTCCACTGCCCTTGCTAATCCCTTGCCCACTCCCTTTCTCCAATCCCCATAAAAACAAATGAGGAGGCTGACTTATAGTGGGGTAGGGAGGGGGAGCATGGGAGGATTAGGTGAATTCTGGATAGAGAAGAGGAGTGAGAGTATATCTCTTCTTTATCTTTCCATATTGTATATATGCTATAGCTTTCCTATTTTGCTCTCTGGTAGAGAAAGTCTCTGATTATTCTTTTTAAAATATTTTCTTCAGAACTGAATATTGGTCAAGCATCTCTGAAATCTGGAAAGCTCCCAAATCTGAAACTTTTTCAGTGTCATGTTCTATTCTCAGAAAGTTGTGGATATGAGAGCTTTTCAGATTGCAAATCTTTGAATAAGGGATGCATGCTTAACTAGTCTATGAAAATATTCCCAAAATCTGAAAAATTTTGAAACCTGACACATTTCTAATTCCAAGCATTTTATATAAGCAATATGTAAGTAAACCTGTATTACATTTATTTTTTTCTGTTCTTTTATTTATTTATTTTTTATTTTTATTTTTTATTATTAGTTGTTCAAAACATTACATAGTTCTTGACATATCATATTTCATACATTTGATTCAATTGGGTTATGAACTCCCATTTTTACCCCGTATACAGATTGCAGAATCTCATCTGTGACACATCCACGTTTTTACATATTGCCATACTAGTGTCTGTTGTATTCTGCTGCCTTTCCTATCCTCTACTATCCCCCCTCCCCTCCCCTCCCCTCCCATCTTCTCTCTCTACCCCATCTACTGTCATTCATTTCTCTCTCTCGTTTTTTTTTTTTACCCTTTCCCCTCACTTCCTCTTATATGTAATTTTGTATAACAATGAAGGTCTCCTTCCATTTCCATGCAATTTCCCTTCTCTCTCCCTTTCCCTCCTACCTCTCGTCCCTGTTTAATGTTAATCTTCTTCTTATGCTTTTCCTCCCTGCTCTGTTCTTAGTTGCTCTCCTTATATCAAAGAAGACATTTGGCATTTGTTTTTTAGGGATTGGCTAGCCTCACTTAGCATAATCTTCTCTAATGCCATCCATTTCCCTGCAAATGCCATGATTTTATCATTTTTTAGTGCAGAGTAATACTCCATTGTGTATAAATGCCACATTTTTTTAATCCATTCATCTATTGAAGGGCATCTAGGTTGGTTCCACAGTCTAGCTATTGTGAATTGTGCTGCTATGAACATCAATGTAGCAGTATCCCTATAACACGCTCTTTTAACGTCTTTAGGGAATAGTCCGAGCAGGGCAATAGCTGGGTCAAATGGTGGTTCCATTCCCAGCTTTCCAAGGAATGTCCATACTGCTTTCCAAATTGGCCACACCAATTTGCAGTCCCACCAGCAATGTACAAGTGTACCCTTTTCCCCACATCCTCGCCAGCACTTGTTGTTTGACTTCATAATGGCTGCCAATCTTACTGGAGTGAGATGGTATCTTAGGGTGGTTTTGATTTGCATTTCTCTGACTGCTAGAGATGGTGAGCATTTTTTCATGTACTTGTTGATTGATTGTATGTCCTCCTCTGAGAAGTGTCTGTTTAGGTCCTTGGCCCATTTGTTGATTGGGTTATTTGTTTTCTTATTGTTTAATTTTTTTTTTTTTTTTTAAGAGAGAGAGAGAGAGAGAATTTTTGATATTTATTTATTTATTAGTTCTCAGCGGACACAACATCTTTGTTTGTATGTGGTGCTGAGGATCGAACCCGGGCCACACGCATGCCAGGCGAGCGTGCTACCACTTGAGCCACATCCCCAGCCCCTATTGTTTAATTTTTTGAGTTCTTAGTATACTCTGGTTATTAGGGCTCTATCTGAAGTGTGAAGAGTAAAAATTTGTTCCCAGGATGTAGGCTCCCTATTTACCTCTCTTATTGTTTCTCTTGCTGAGAAAAAACTTTTTAGTTTGAGTAAGTCCCATTTGTTGATTCTTGTTTTTAACTCTTCTGCTATGGGTGTCCTATTAAGGAATTTGGAGCCTGACCCCACAATATGTAGATTGGAGCCAACTTTTTCTTCTATCAGACACAGAGTCTCTGATTTGATATCAAGCTCCTTGATCCCTTTTGAGTTAACTTTTGTGCATGGTGAGAGAAAGGGATTCAGTTTCATTTTGTTGCATATGGATTTCCAGTTTTCCCAACACCGTTTGTTGAAGATGCTATCCTTCCTCCATTGCATGCTTTTAGCCCCTTTGTCAAATATAAGATAGTTGTAATTTTGTAGATTGGTCTCTGTGTCCTCTATTCTGTACCATTGGTCCACCCGCCTGTTTTGGTACCAGTACCATGCTGTTTTTGTTACTATTGCTCTGTAGTATAGTTTGAAGTCTGGTATCGCTATACCGCCTGATTCACTCTTCCTGCTTGGAATTGCTTTTGCTATTCTGGGTCTTTTATTTTTTCATATGAATATCATGATTGCTTTATCTATTTCTACAAGAAATGCCATTGGGATTTTGATTGGCATTGCATTAAACCTATAGAGAACTTTTGGTAATATCGCCATTTTGATGATGTTAGTTCTGCTTATTCATGAACAGGGTATATTTTTCCATCTTCTAAGATCTTCTTCTATTTCTTTCTTTAGGGTTCTGTAGTTTTCATTGTATAAATCTTTCACCTCTTTTGTTAGGTTGATTCCCAAGTATTTTATTTTTTTTGAGGATATTGTGAATGGGGTGGTTGCCCTCATTTCCATTTCAGAAGATTTGTCACTGATATACAGGAATACCTTTGATTTATGTGTGTTGATTTTATATCCTGCCACTTTGCTGAATTCATTTATTAGCTCTAGTAGTTTCTTTGTAGATCCTTTTGGATCTGCTAGGTATAGAATCATGTTGTCCACAAATAGTGATAATTTAAGTTCTTCTTTTCCTATTTTTATGCCTTTAATTTCTTTTGTCTGTCTAATTGCTCTGGCCAGTGTTTCGAGAACTATGTTGAACAGAAGTGGTGAGAGAGGGCATCCCTGTCTTGTTCCAGATTTTAGAGGGAATGCCTTCAATTTTTCTCTGTTCAGAATGATGCTAGCCTGAGGCTTAGCATAGATAGCTTTTACAATATTGAGGTATGTTCCTGTTATCCCTAGTTTTTCTAGTGTTTTGAACATAAAGGGATGCTGTACTTTATCGAATGCTTTTTCTGCATCTATCGAGATGATCATATGGTTCTTATCTTTAAGTCTATTGATGTGGTGAAAAACATTTATTGATTTCCGTATATTGAACCAGCCTTGCATCCCAGGGATGAATCCTACTTGATCATGATGCACGATCTTTTTGATATGTTTCTGTGTCCGATTTGCCATAATTTTATTGAGGATTTTTGCATCTAGGTTCATTAGAGATATTGGTCTGTAGTTTTCTTTCTTTGAAGTGTCTTTATCTAGTTTAGGAATCAGGGTGATGTTTGCCTCATAGAATGAATTTGGAAGTTCTTCCTCTTTTTCTATTTCCTGAAATAGCTTGAAAAGTATTGGTATTAGTTCTTCTTTAAAGGTTTTGTAAAACTCTGCTGTATACCCATCCGGTCCTGGGCTTTTCTTAGTTGGTAGTCTTTTGATGGCTTCTTCTGTTTCCTCACTTGATATTGGTCTGTTTAGGTTGTGTATATCCCCCGGACTCAATCTGGGCAGATCATATGACTTAAGAAATATATCGATGCCTTCACTGTGTTCTATTTTATTGGAGTATAAGGATTAAAAATAATTTCCAGTTATCTTCTTTATTTCTGTACTGTCTGTTGTGATATTGCCTTTTTCATCCCGTATGCTAGTAATTTGAGTTCTCTCTCTTCTTCTCTTCGTTAGCATGGCTAAGGGTCTGTCGATCTTATTTATTTTTTCAAAGAACCAACTTTTAGTTTTGTCAATTTTTTCAATTGTTTCTTTTGTTTCAATTTCATTGATTTCAGCTCTGATTTTAATTATTTCTTGCCTTCTACTACTTTTGCTATTGTTTTGCTCTGCTTTTTCTAGGGTTTTGAGATGAAGTGCGAGATCATTTATTTGTTGGTTTTTTCTTTTTTTAAGGAATGAACTCCAAGCAATGAATTTTCCTCTTAGAACTGCTTTCATTGTGTCCCATGGATTCCAATATGTTGTATCTGTTGGGATAGGGGGAGTAAGAAGGAGAAAAACAAATAACAAGGAAAGAAAGAGAAAAAAGAGAGCGGGAAAAAGAAAATAAGAGAAAAAAGAAAAGAAATAAAAGGGGGGGAGGGAGGTGGGGCATATGCAATTCCTCCATATTATATTATTCTAGTGATTCAGTCGTTAAAGACCTTTTTCATGCACAATTCTTGGTTTCACATATGTTGAGGTTGCAAGGACCAGAGGGGGAAGGGTAGAGGAGACTGGATGAATGGATGAAAAGAGAGAGAGAAGAGAAAAAAAGAAAGCAAAAAAAATGTCTCTCAGAACTCTGTTTTGTTTTCTTCCAGTTGGTGGCATTGTCAATTCCTAGCTTGAGTCTGGGTTCAGGGTGGTGGTGGTAGTCAGTGTGAGAGGACTTGAGCTTCCACCTGTGGCCTCTCTACTCTTATTCTCTGAGATGTAAACCAGGTGCCTGATCCGCTGCAGAACCCAACTGGTAGCCACGCCCACCGGTTGATGGGTTTTAAGGGATGGTGGGATTTTCCAAGATGAGTTCCATCAGTTTTTCTCATAAGGTGTTTGATGAGGTGGGGGTGTTGGGGAGACCTTATGTTTGTCCAGAGCTCGGTCAGGTGACCGCAGGGGCAGGCGGCTGGGCCCCTCCTCCAGTTGGGGTAGTCTGTCTACTGCGCCTGGGGGCGGTTGTGCCCCCTCTCCGGCCGCGTGGTCTGCCTACTGTGCAGGCGGCGGCTGGGCCCCTCCTCCAGTTGGGGTGGTCTGCCTACTGCACAGGCGGGCGGGTGGGCCCCTACTCCATTTAGGGTGGTCTGTCTACCGGCGCAGGCGGGCGGCTGTGCCCCCTCTCTGGGCCGCGTGGTCTGCTTACCGTGCAGGCGGGAGGCTGGACCCCTCCTCCAGTTGGGGTGGTCTGTCTACTGTGCAGGCCGCCGCTAGGCCCCTTTTCCAGGTCACGGGGTCTGCCTACCCCAGGCGGCGGCTAGGCCCCTCCTCTAGTTGAGGTGGTCTGTCTGCCTACCGTCAGGCGGGAGGCTGGGCTCCTCCTCCAGTTGGGGTGTACAATTATTTTTGATCTGTACTAATTTAGTAGGTAGGAAAATGGTGTAGGTCGTTTTAAGTTATATTCTTTGATAACTAGTGATATTGTTTAAAACAATATTCTAGACATTTGATGTTTTTCCTAACAATTTGTAAAATTACTTTTCGGGCAAGGAATTAACCCTTCTGTCTTTTAACTTGGTAACGTTAGTTCTAGTCTATGTACTTGTGAGTAGAAAAACAAAGACCTTTAGTCTAATCCTTCCCACCATGAACCCTGTTTCTGAGGCAGTTCATATACACATGTCCTATTCAGGAAGACGACGCTGCCTATCAAGGGTAGTTTAACAGAACACCATTGTGAGCTTTTGGTAACATTGATTTATTGGTTTTTTTCCCTCAGTTTAATAAAGAGAAACAAGACACTTCTTAAATACTGATATGACTGCTGAGGCTGGTTATTTTTCAATGGTTAGAAGTGTGAGTGGCAGTCACAGCCGGGGTTGGAAGCAACAAAGCATTCGTTATGTTTTAGAGTGGTCTTTTTTCGTTACTGTTGAAAACTTCCAGGTGTTTTAAAGCACCTGGAAGGATAAGGGTCACATGCTTTGAAAGCTCTAATACATGATAATAACATTCTGGTCTTTGTGGTTTATTTTTGTTTCTTTTTTTGGCATAAAAGGTGGATTCAGCATGTGTGGGGCTAGGCACAGGTGCTCAGTGGGAACTTGGTGCTCGATGTCTTCCGTCACTCAATCAGCAAACCCCAAAGAACTTGGGCGAGAAGCCCAGAGAGGTGCCTCCTGTTGTTCCTCCTGCGGCAGATGCTGTTCCTCCTGCTTTGGTGTCCCCAGCAGTGTGCCAGAGCATAGCTCCTCCTACTCCTTTGACAGCCCAGCCAGTGACAGAGTCCAGGTAAGTCAAAGCCAGTCCTGGAGATGAGAGTGGTGTAAATGGCATCTGTCAGCTTCTTTTTTATGACCTGCAGTATCAAGAGCATTATGTAAGAGATGGGGTATCTCTATTAAAAAATGTTTTTCTTGCAGTACTGGAAATTGAACCTGAGGGTGCTTTATCGCTGAGCAACATCCTCATCTCTTTTTTGCTTTTGTTGTTCCTGAGAGTATGTACTAAGCTCTGAGGCTGGCCTCAAACTTGGGCTTCTCTTGGCTCAGCCTCTTGAGTAGCTGAGATTACAGGTGTGTGCCACCATACCCAGCTAAAATGATTTACATCAATATGTTGTTGAAAAAAATTATCAAAACATTGAGCCCCAAACTTTCAAACATGTATATTTTATATCTCTTTAGAGGGATCTATCCCTCTTCTAGATTTTAGATTTGTCTTCATACTTTTCTTCTGAATTATAAATTAAAATTTCCTGAAACTCAATTCGCTCTGTATTTGAAGAATAAACACCTATAGTTGGAATTGCCTTTTGCCTCCTGGCTGTGGCCAAGGCCTGCAGGGGTCATTACTCCAGGCAGTGGCTGGCATGCCCTCATACTCCTTTTGTCCTCCCACGGAGCAGTGTGGGATCGATGTTTGTGACTCCGTGTCACAAGCCACCTCCACACTATTGTGAAAGTTTTTTCCCCAATTTTGAGAGTTTTCTGGGTTTCAGATATTAGAATTAATGTCACATCACTTGTGTTTGTTTTTATCTTCAGTCACTTTGACTGTCTTGTAACTTGTGATTTGATACAATATTGTTTAATTAAAAGTGTTTTGTGCTTTTTACTTCACATTTTAATGACATTCCTTAAGGGAATCCAAGGCAGTATGAGGCGAGGCCCCTGCCCCAAGTGGTTTTCATAGCTTTATTGTCTTTGTTGGTAGCTATTGTTTTAAAATCTGGATGTTAGCCTGTGGCTGTGGGCTCATCAGAAAGGTATTTGCTCAGCTGAAGCACATCGGTGCCTCCACCTTGTTGGGCATCAGTGCCCAGTCAGCCCCTTTTGCTGTACAGCAAATGAGCCCATTGGAACTAGGAAGCCATTGTCCTGTCCTGCCACAGGGAGGGCTGGTTGTTGTGGTGCCGAGACACAGAAGTGACACGACATACTAGTGTTCCATGCCTGGCCTTTATCTGTAAGAGTGTTTTCCTCAAAAAGAACTGAAGAGAAAAAACATTTCATTCATTTACACCATGGATCTAAGCAGCTCCATCTGTGTTTCAGCAACAGGCTGTGATTGTTGTCCAGCTTCTTTTACTATTATTTCTTGAGAGTTAATGAGAAACTCTCTTGTAAGGCATGTTGATTCTTGTGTGTCTCAGGGTTTTCTCTTCCAGATGTGTGAGTCAGAGTGCTCATGGATTCCAGCCACAGAGTGGAGCAGAAACCAAAGAAGGTGAGCTTCATGGGGGTCTCTTCATCCTGGCCTGCTGGGGCACTCCTTGGGCTGTACTGGGGCTATAGGACAGGAAGCCTTCTGACCTTACTAAACATAAGCATTAGCAATCCTCTTCTTAGAAGCCAGGGGTTATTTCAGCCCCAGACTATTGAAAACAATGGTATTAATTGTAAATATCTTATCAGTTCAGAGTTCCTTGAAAGATTAATTTATGCAAGTTTTTCTATTAACTTTCTTAGTACATTAATCTAAAATGAGTCATGTTAGTTGGGTCGAGTGAGAAAGGTGATTCAAAGTTTAACTATGAATACTGTTCTCCTGTCTGGCACCACACTGGAAGTGTGTGCATAGTTTATTAAATTACCTGGGACAGTGTGGGTGTTCACTTCCCCCTGCAGGTGGCTGTGGCATTCTTTCCATTGACTATTAATGAGGGTGGGGCCCTCTGAAACAGCTGGAGACTCATTCTATTCAACTGAGACTTGGTGAGTGCCTGCTGGATGCTGGGCACCAACCATTCTACATCGTTAGAGATGTAATCTTGACAAAACAATGAAAAACCCCCAGGAATGAAAGGGCTAATATTGAAGTAAGGGGTTAGATTTCAGAGAAGGTGAACAGGGAAGATGCTGGTGAGGGTGATGCCTGCATAGAGGAATAGGGAGGGAGCTACCCATACAGCCACCTCGGAGAACCAGTTTTCAAGCAGAGGAACTGCAGATGCAGAGCCCCCAGGCAGGACTATCCCTGGTGTTCTAAGCACAGTAAAGAGGCCAGAGCTTCAGGGCGAGCAGGGCAAAGAGGAATACACTGAAACCTGAGCAAGCAGGGCCCAGGCTGTGCGGGCCTTGTACACCACTGGCTCAAGCTGAGTGGGATGGAAAGTGGTCTAGGACTGACACTGGGGGGGGGGGGGGTTTACACTCTGACCACAAGCAGATAGTACTTGAGACATGGTGGAGCTCAGGATGCTACCTGTGACAAAACTCTAACTGGTTTGATCTCAAGCCAAACACCCGGTGTCTTTGAGCCTTCGCTTTATTTTGTGTGAAACTATGATTCTTGCCTCACCTACTTCATGTATTCTTACAAAGATAAGTATGCGGGTCTGGAGTGATGATTATGGACAATTACAGTTACCACGGTAACCTGGTCTAATTGTAGTAAGTTATTGCAGTTGTGTGCCTTCTAACATGTTTTAAATGACCTGATGACCATGCACTTGGTCCTGTTCCTTTGCCAGTGTTTGAAACGCACAAGGTGGCCAGTGCAAGTTCTTTCCATGCGACTCCAAACACGTCACTGGGAGTGGTTCAGGCAACACCCTCCAGAGCCCAGCCCTCGCCCACGGTGCACACCAAGGAAGCACTGGGTAAAGCCTTTTGTTTGAATGTGTAGCACCTTAAACTATAAAAAATTTAAACTCTTTTGCAATCTGTTGATGGATATTCTTTCTGGTTTTTAGGTTTCATCATGAATATGTTCCAGGCTCCTACACTTCCTGATGTTTCTGATGACAAAGATGAATGGCCATCTCTAGACCAAAATGAAGATGCATTTGAAGCCCAGTTTCAAAGTAATAATTTATTTGAAAGCTAATTGGTGCATAGTACTGTGGGTGGAGCCCAGGCATTGTCAGGGATTACTTAAGATGTGGCCCTGCCTTGGTCATCACAGAAAGTGCATGAAATAGAAGTGTGGCAGAGTTGGACAAGGTTTCAATGCGTGTGGTAGAGTTGGGGTTTGCTGTTTGTTGGGTTGGTTAGGTGGATTGGGTTACTATAACAGTGATAACTAAAGGAGGATAAAATCCCCATGGGGAGGTACATCAGGAAGAGCTGAATAGTCCAGGAGTGATTTGAGGCCTTCTTGGTAGAAAAGTGGCCAGGTTGTGGTTGGAGGCCAGCAACTAGCCCTCTTACCTAGGGCCAGGGGATTCATGCTGGGAGCCAGAGATTGTAATAAAGATCAGTAGGATCCCTTTGGAGTTGGGAGAAGAAATTTTTCTTAAAGCAAATGAAAACTAAAACCACTGAGAGCTTTTATTGAATGACTCAGGTGATAATAGAAGTGTCATAGGAGACTGATGAGCTGTGTTCTTGATGTGTGGCAGTAATTTGGGACCTGAGGCTGCCCAGTGATCATAGTTAAATCACTTCATCCCACTACAAAGTGACTTGCCTTACTACCTAGTATTTAAAAACTGATGCCAGTTCTTTTCTATAAGCTTCTCCCCTCTACCTCCCACTTCATTTGTAGTTGAAGTTTTAGCGTAAAGGGCCATGTTTTTCCTAGAACAGTCATGAAATACTTTTTTTATTCTCTTGCAGAAAATGCAAATTCTTCTGGGGCTTGGGGAGTCAATAAAGTTGTCGCTTTGACATCTGCTTTTCCTATTTTTGAAGATGGAAACAAAGAAAATTATGGGTAAAGAAACATCAAGTTAATATATCACTGGGGGGACACATGTCATAGTGCCACAGGATGCCTGGAGGTGCCTGCAGGACTCAAGATGGTGAGGCAGTGGGGAGGGAATTTGGGCTGTCGGCCAGGATGGTCTGGTTCTGGCCCAGCTCTGCAATGACAAGCCTTTCCACCAACAGCTGGGAGCTTGTTGCCAGTGTTCTGCAGAGCCACAGTGCTGTGCATGAGTTCCAGGAGGGCAGAGCTCCAAGTTAAAGCACAGTAGAAAAAGGAAAGCATTAGAAGTTGCAAAGAACAGGATTTTCTGGTTTGAAATTGTTTCAGAATGTAGAGGAATCAGTGCAGGTGTCCGTACTGTGCTGTTTACATTTGCAGGATTGATAAGTGGGAAAGGAGGCGGCTTACACTGGGTAACGCTGCAGAGAGAATGTTTTAAGGCAGAGGCACATGATACTAGAGAGTGGAGTTAATAGTTTAAACTATGGAAAAAGAGATATCTGGGTGAATTACAAGTATCTTGGTATGGAGGAAGTTCACACCGAGGCAGAATGGAGAAAGCATGACCAGCATGCAGAGAGAAGTTCCCTATCTCAGCCAGGCATTGGGAAAAGAGCTAAGGTGTTGCAAGGCATCAAGGTATTTTATTGGCCATGCTCCTAATTGTTCTTTTGTTCCTAAAAAAAATTGAAACAATTTAAAAACTGTAACAAAAATTGCATTTTCTACCCTCTCTTTGGTAACTGTTAGTCAACTTGTATTTACATAGTCAATTCACTTTTTCTGGAAGTGCAAAAGTAAGAAACCCCTTACTAAATGAGGGGAGAATCTTTCTAACATTAGATCAAGTGGTAGCATTTATTTCATCACCATATTTTACTGTTTTTAATTTTATAAATCTTTTCCTTAGGTTACCACAGCCTAAAAATAAGCCCACAGGAGCCAGGACCTTTGGAGAACGCTCTAGCAGCAGACTTCCTTCAAAACCAAATGTAAGCCAATCTCTACTTTATCTGAAACAGATCTGCCAACCGCTCCGCTTAATTTTACCAAGTAATTATGGTATGATGTATATAAAACCAAAATATATTGTACGAAGTAGCATATTGTTATTCTACTTGTTAGAATACTTGTTATTGTTCTAATATTGCTAGAATATTGTTCGACAATTATTTGAATACCTGTGATGTGCCAGATATCTAATATGTATAGGAAATAAAAATGTATTTGATATGATCCTTGCCCTCAAAGAGCCTTCCCTCTAGTAAGAACAAGCCACCTGGGGATATTTGTTTTTCCTAGACGGAGGAAGTGAGGCCTACAGTGGAATATCAGTGAGAAACCCAGCAAATCTGAATCCAGCTGAGATGGACCATCTTCAGCACAGCTCAGCAGGCACCCTTCACTGCCCAGTAGCCCACCACATTCCACTACAGTGGCCTTTGTGTCTGTCCTCATTGACTTCCACCCTGGCCCTAAGTGTACCCCACAGTGTGCTCGATCCCCAGCCCCTGCCTGACCCCGTGGCAGTGAGGCACCATTGAGAGCCACTGGCTCACCAAGCACCTCACTAAGACACCGAGCCCTGGCTCCTATTTGTAGTCCCTTGGGGGATTGTTTGGATGAACTATTGCCTGGCTCCCTAATCCCTCTGATATCTATTGAGCTTAAAATTTTCACAAATAATGAAGTGAATTGCAGACATAGTGCCATCACTTTAAAGGTACATTTTGCTGAACTATTCAACAATATGTACTTTTACCAAACCCACAATGCATTTTCCACATATCCTGATGCTAAACATAAGCCAGTACTTTATCTTGTATCACCTGAAGAAGCAATCTGCCAGTTTCGCCTCCATTGGAAGAGATAGTGGATTTTATGAAGACAATGCAGAAGATATAAAAATTATGTGTGAGAACCAAACCCACATAAGTACAGTTATCTCACACTAGATAAAGGCACCATAAGCATACATTGAAGAAAAGATAGCCTCTTAACAAATGGTGCTGGGAAAACTGGAAATTCATCTATAGCAGAATGAAATTGAACTCATATCGACTAGAAGAAAATGTAGGCCCAACTCTTCATCATGTTCACTTAGGAACCAACTAAAATGCATGAAGCAAAATCAAGAATCAATAAATGAGATGGTGCCAAACTAAGAAGTTTAGCAAAGGAAATAATTGAAAACATGGAGAGAGGGAGAATTTTCTCCCCTACAGAATGAGAGTAAATCTTCTTCACCTGCCACTGAAGTAGAGCATTTCTCCAGCATATGCAAAGAAAACCCAAAAAACATAACACCAAAAAATGAAATAACCCAATCAGTAAATGGTTAAAGGAACAGAACAGGCACTTCACTGAAGAAGAAATACGAAAGGTCAAATCATATATGGAAAAATGATCAACATCTGTAGCAATTAGAGAAATGCAAATTAAAGTGAGATTCCATCTCACTTTAGTCAGAATAGCAATTATCAAGAATACAAGTAACAGTAAATGTTGACAAGGATGTGAGGGAAAAGGTCTACATACATTCCTTATGGGACTGCAAATTGGTGCAACCACTCTGGAAAGCAATGTGGAGATCCCTTAGAAAACTTTGAATTAAACTACCATTTGGCCCAGTTATCCCATTCCTCAGTTTATACCCAAAGGACTTAAAAACAGTACTACAGTGACACAGCCACATCAGTTCACAATAGCTAAGCTATGGAACCAACCTAAGTGCCCTTCAACGGGTGAATGGATAAAAAAATGTGGTATATTTACACAATGGAACATTACTCAGATATAAAGAAGAATGAAATTATGGCATTTGCTGGTAAATGGATGGGACTGGAAACTATCATTTTAAGTGAAATAAGCCGATCCCAAAAACCAAGGCCAAATATTCTCTCTGATATGTGGATGTTAATACACAATAAAGGTGGGGGGTGGGGGCAAACAGAAGTTCATTGGATTAGACAAAGGAATGAAGGGAAGGGATGGAAATAGGGAAGACAACAGAATGAATCCGACATAACTTTTCTATGTTCATATATGAATACACAACCAGTATAACTCCACGTCATGTACAACCACAGGAATGGAATCCTACGTTATACACCATGTATGTATAATATGTCAAAATACGGTCTACTGTCGTGTATCTAAACAAATTAAAAAAATAAAAACCATGGGTGGCATTGTAAGGGCAACCAAAGAGGGTCATGAGCTATGGACCTGACTCAGCAATTTGTCTTTCCCTATAGACTCTAAAAAATTTGATCTGTAATTCTGTTCTTGGAGAAGTGCCTGATTCTAGGGGCTGGGGCAAGAAAAATACAAGATAAGTCTGGAGCATATTGTGCTAGAAAATTAAGGAAGAATTTTGGGTTTTGTTTTTTTCTATAAGAAAACCAAGAAAGATGTGGCATATCAAAAGAATATAGATGCCAACCTGAATGAGCCAATGGGTGAACCTAGAAAAATTTGAACAATAAGTAGAATAAAGTAATATTGAATTATAACCCAAGAAATAAAACAGATATTGATATAAATAAAAGGGAGCAAAAGATAATTCTTTCTTAGAGAAGAATTCCAAGTGATGTGGAAGGCATCATTAGAGTCCCAATAAAATAAATGCTATAGGCAAGATCCACTAAGGAACAGACATTGGTGAGTAAAACTTCAGGAAGAAACAGGTACTTCTGGAGCCTCCAAATATCTCACCACTGTTGATTCTGCGGTGGTTTAACATTTGTCCACAAATGCTTTAATGACATCCTAGAAGGTAGAGTTTAATTTACCTCCCTTGAGTGTGGGCAAGACATTTTTCCCATTCTCTAACAAATAGAGACTGGGAAAAATGGTTTCCCATGAGGAAACCTCACAGATGCCTTCTCAGTCATTGGGTTTAACCTCACCAGGAACAAGCCACATGGCTAGCTAGCATGCATCCCCACTGTGTAATGAGAAGGCCCTTTACCCCAAGTTTTCCCCAAAACCTATAATTCTAGTCTATGTGTGAGAAAACGAGCCCAAATTAGGGGGACATTCTGCACAGTTCCTGACTAGTGTTCACAAATTTCAGTGCAAGGAAAGAGTAGGAAGGACTGATAGATGGTCATAGACTAGAGGAGACAAAGTCAACAGGACAGTGGCACACACATGCCATCCTGGACTGGATCCGGGACAGCTAATGGATATTGGAGGGGACTTGTGAAATCCGGATAAGGACTGATAGCTACAAGTGGTGTTTAACTTTTTGAAATGTGCCAGGATCTAGAAGAAATCGACTTTGGTGGGAGCTTAATGAAGGTTATATGAGACTGTGCTACCTTTGTAATCTTTCTATAAACCTGGAATTTTTTTTTTCAAATTTAAAGAAAAATGTAGAATTAAAATAAAAAATGTGACCCTTGTGTTGTGGTTCCACTGAGATGTATTAAAGATGAGGGGTAAAATGTTTTTTGGAGACAAAATCTCGCTGTGGTGCTCAGGCTGGTCTCAAACTTCACGTGATCCTCTCATTTCAGCCTCCTGAGTGGCAGGGATACGTTCTGTACCACTGCACCCAGCTTGAAGTCTTAATGTCTTAAATTTCATAGACAAAACAAGAAGATTGCGATTATTTTTCAGCTCCTCCTTTGTTGTAGGAAGTGCCTCATTCTGAAGAGTTTTTGGATGATTCAACCGTCTGGGGTATTCGCTGCAACAGAACCCTGGCACCCAGTCCTAAGAGCACAGGGGACTTCACCTCTGCTGCCCAGCTTGCATCTACACCCTTCCACAAGCTTCCAGCAGACGCAGTGAACAATCTGGAAGATAAAGGTATGCGACATACTTTTTCAGTGTCTGTCTTCTACAAACTCAGTTCGTTAGTATTATAGTGTTCTTGAAAATTCTAAGGGGGACGTTCGAAAACCATAAAGGGCTTGGAATCCATTAATTGTTTTTTTCTTTGGCATACTCTCTTCATAAAGTCCACATATTTTGAAAATTTAATAACAGATCATAGGTAGAAAGGGGGGAAACTTATAGAAGCATATAAAGGCAAATATACAAAGTCCAAACCATTTGTACAGGAGTATGATTATGTTTTTCAAAAGTCAAGAGGGGAGCACTACAGATAATTATTTGAATACTAAAAATACTAAACATGGTTTTTAATTGAATGAATAAAAAAATAGCCAATTTTGGTCCTTGATACATTTCTATAAATTTTTATTATTTCAGACATGCAGCCAAGGATACATTACACTTAAAATAATTTTGTTTTTTAGTGTTTTGCTTCAAGGGAATAATGACAAAACTCACAAATAGTCTTTTATTTCTACTGCATCCCAAATATAGCACCCTATATAAAAGAGATTTATATATCTGAATTGAACCCTGATATGTGGCATTACATTGAGCACAGATAATTATTAGTTTTTTATTACCAACCTACAGTATACATACTATGAGATCTGGGACTTCGGTACCATTTCAGTGACTACCAATTTACCAGCCAAACTCTGTCACTGCTGGTACTTCTTAAAAGCAATAATGAAATAACTGCCAAGGAATTTCACTTCACTAATCTCCTGAACCTGGCTGTGACCTGTCACCCATGCCAGTGACCAGCTGTGTGGTCATCCTGTCTGAAGTGGACTTGCTGCTGCTCTCTGGACTCTTTGTTCTTGAAGGATCATTATAGATCACATGTCAAAACTGAAGTGCTCCGCTGTACGAGAAGGTTGAGTGATCTTGATTTTCCGCATCTTATCGCACTTTGCCATGGAACACTATTTTGAAATTATAATGAAAGTCATCATATAAAGGAATTCTAGAATTGTAACCATGTCAAATGGTATGCGCGTGCATACACATGCATGTAATGTTTGTGTCTCTCGTTTTTTGTGTATTTCAGAAAACATGATAGCAACGCAGTGCACCCATGTGCCGTTGAGTTCTTGTGTTGAGAATGTGGTGGAGCCCTTGAGAGACAGAAAGTTCAGGTAACTTGCAGTTGTGCCCTTCTCTGCATTTCCACTTGAGCTTTCCTTTTCCAGATGTAAGAGAATGCCTAATCCCATCCTAAACAACTCATAAAGTGCTTATCGATTGGCAGCTTTTAGTCAGAAGGTCCTCTAAGCCCAGTAATGAGTCCCCCACTTGGTATCAGGACAGTGAGAGAAGCAGCTAGGGTGACAGAGTCTGCAATTGACTTGTACTCATTTGGGGATTAGAACTGGAAAGCCTTTTACCAAAAAGAGACCCTGCCATGTGAAGACTGTTGCAGAACTGAGCAAACACAGAATTGCTTTTCATACCCAGTAAAATTGAGAAAATCGATGACTTCCTTTTAAGAGAAGAGAGGGTACTTAAGCCTCCTAAGGAATAAGCAGTAAAGGCAGACTTGGCACCGTAAACCCCACCATGTCTGCGCAGGCTATAAACCTCAGAGATCCTAACCAAGGCTGCCACCTTCTGGGTAACTATTTTATTCTAGACACAGTACTTACGCTTTTCCTGGACTCTGTCTTTCAGTTAGTCCTTATAATAACTGAGTTGTGGGGACTATTCTTTCTTTTTCCATTATAGATAAGGAAATTGGGTCTCAGATAAATTATTGATCTAAAGTCATAAGGCTTCAAATGTCTAGAATTGGAGTGTGGATCTGTATTTGTCTGAGTGCTGACCCCTTCTTCTCACTGCCTCTTATCAGAAACCCACAAGGCACAAGTTCAATTAAAAAGCAAAAATCTATTGAATTTGCATTAATTTTATTATTGATGTTAATCACTTTCTATATGTTTATGTTCATTTATTTTTTTTCTTAAGTAATTTCTGTTCACATCTTTTATCCAATCATTTGTTTATTTGGGTCACAGTTGAATGAGGTTTTTGATAACAAGAGCCATCCGGAGTGGCTAAGCCCAGCCAGACCTTTGACTCACAATAATGCCATAAGCCATCCTTGATGTAAGATTAACTTAGAAATACATAGGGCAGAAATCCCAGTTGCTGGCTGGGTGCATCCTACCCAAGGAACTGTTGTCTTTGGCCCCGTGTGACAGTTCAGTTGCAAGGAAGCAAGGCTCACATGAACCAAGTGCAGGAGCCTCGCTTAAGAGCCTTATGCAACGCCTCTATCAAGTCCCAGGGTGCCCACGAGAAAATCTACTGGGCACAATTTCAATTAAAAACCAAAATTTATTGAATTTGCATTATTTTATTATTGGTGAGTTAACCATTTTCTACATGCTTATGCTACCATTTTTTTTCTGAAAAATGAATAACTGAAACTATGGGTTCCTAGCAGGTATTTGTAATTCTACTCCAGATACAGTTAACCTGTGAGGGTTATTTTTAACCATAACCAGTGGTGACAGAGTAAGTTTTTAGGGGAAAAGAGCTAGCAGTTAACACACCCAGATTCTTATGGACAAGAGAGAAAGATTTTGTTGATCATTTATGCATTGACAGTAATTTGTATACCCATGTTACTAGTAGTGGTAGTATAAGGTATGGAAACAATTTTTCAATGTACAGGTAAGGTACCCCTAGTGTCTGTTTGAGAAGCCAAATATGTGGCCAGTACTATTTGAACTATCATGGTCTTGGGAAACTAGGGAACACTAAGAAATTGTCGTAGGTGAGAAAGGGACATATTTATTTGTGATATATATGTATAGATGTAAGGGTTAAATGTGGGTGTAGAGATATACACGATTGATTCTCATTGTTCCTTGTAGTGAATACTGGACACTTGTCCAGGGGAAATACAGGCTTATCCTGTGTGCCTCTGTTGCCATGTTTGTTTAAAGTCACTTTATTTAACACATATTACTCATGACTTACGTTGCACTCGTGCCTGGATGAGGCTTACCTGTTTTCTCTGTAAGGCATCTCAGAGCCTTCTTATGCTTAGGAACAATAGACACACTTCAGCAAAACACCTGAAATCCCAACAAAAAGCACAGAAATGCAAAAACCATGGCATTGGACTCCAAGCAGGGCAGTGAGGAGCATAAGCTGTAGGCTTCACCTTGCTCCACCTGGCCTGGGAATATGCACCCAGATTTTTCATTTCTCTAAAGTCTGCAAATGACTGAAAATTATATGAATGTTGATCTGGATGTTTAAGTAAATTTTAACACATAGGTGCATTCACAAATATGAAACCCATGAATAGGAATCAGCTGTGTATGCATGTATATACACACACCATATGTATGGAAATGTGTAGGATTTTGTTAGATTGTGGTTGACATTTTTTTGTTGTCTGAATGTTATAAAAGAAGTCATTTTTAGAAAGAAGTTAGATATCCAGTCTTGATCATAGCAGTGCTGCTGAGATACCCTTTCTCCTGACATTCCCTGCTAAATAATACCAAGCGTATCACCACTCCCATTTATCTAGTATATCATCATGTCTTTGATTTTTATTTCTATTAATATTGGACTAGCTTTGTATTTGCCTATAGTTGTGTAAGAAAATGATTTAATCAACTCAGGCTGTGCAGCAATTTTGAAGTGACATTCCTAGAATGAAAAGGAAACTCTGTTGCAGAACTTTTGTGTGATCAAGTCCAATAGGCTTCTAATAATAGGGTGTTTTTATTTTCTCTGTAATTTTCTCCACATCCAGTCCAATTCAAGAGAAGAGCCCAGAAGGCACATGCCCCAGAGACCTCTCTTTGGCATCCTTGCACCATCCCAGCTGGCCTGCCCCAGTTGCTGCACTCACCCAGGAAGCTGTACGGGGCCTTGAAGCTTGTAAACTCACAGACACTGACCGAGCCGTTGTGGAGGACCCGTCTGATGCCAGTGCCAGGCCCCAAGAAGACCTGATGCAGACGGGTCCCCATGGGGATGTCAGTGCTCCAGGTGTGCACAGAGGCTCAGGCTTAGTCATGCCATTAGGACTACAGCATAGGAAGAGCTGTTCTGTGGGAGAACTCAGAGGGGGACTGGTGTGCCACTGAGTAGAACCTACAGTCAGACACTTCTCACTGTACTGAAGTGCAGTCCAGCAGGAATGTACTTGAAGGGCAAATCAATCCATTTTAATTTTAGATTTCAAGTTAAGTACTGTTGGAAGAGGGAATTGGAATTCAAGGGCCTACTGTGTGCCAGGCATTTAATCTAATGCTGTTTTCCCCACTTTACAGAAAAGTCAACAGAGGGTCAAGATTAAAGAGATCCCTCCTACCACCCCTTGTCACCCAGACAGTCTCACCTACTGGTAGAGAATATGGACCAGAGATGGAGTGGCTAGGGGACAAGGCTAGGTTCTACCCTAGCAGTCCTTTCATAATTGCCACTAATAAGAATACGTCATTATTCTAAGTTGGAGAGAAACCTTCGTCTTCCCTTTAGAAATTGTTTTCTATCTTGGACCAAAGTACAACTCATATGTGTAAATTGTGTTTTGTGGGTGTAAGTGGGAAAGCAGTTAAAGACCGTGTATCTGTCTGAGCACATTTGAGGTCACTAACCCCATCTGTGCCTTAAATGTGCAGCCATAACTGCTAAAGGCAGGACCTAGCATTTTAGGTGAGCGGAGTGAGATGCAGCTGATGTCCCTTTGTCACCCTGAATGTTGATTTAAACTTTCAAATCCAAAATGGCAGACGGTCAACTGCACAACTCCCAGTTCTGACTTTTGGAAACAATTCTCTATTGCTTGAATCAATGCTCTATAAAGGATGAGACTTTTGAAAGCTTAATTAATGAATGAATGTCTCCACTAGCTTTATCTAAAATTTATTTAGTAAAATCTTTGAATACTGAACTCATGTTTCTTTTCTTGTTCCTATTCCTTTAAGACTTCACTATTGAAAATCCGTGGGATGATAAGTTGATTCTCAAACTTCTATCTGGGCTTCCTAAACCAGTGAGTTCCTATACAAATACTTTTGAGTGGCAGTGTAAACTTCCGGCCATCAAGCCCAAGACTGAATTTCAATTGGGTAAGAACTCTGTGGGTGATATAGCTTTGAAACGTTGATGGTGATTCATGTGTATGTGAGATTCTCCTCCTGTCCCCCAGCCCCAGTAAAGAGTTACAGCTACAGTATTGAGAAATCTTGTTAATCCATGGCTATGGGACCATGAGTGCTGTTGGACTAAAACACATTTAACTCAGAGATCTCTAAAAGTAAAAATGCACGGGCTTAGGCTGGGGCAGCTCAGCAGCAGAGCACTAACCTGGCATGTGTGAGGCTGCGCGTTTGATCTCCAGAACTGCAAAATTTTAAAAATGCAGTTAGACTATTTAAGAATTTCTTGCAGATTTTATAGTCAAAAACAGGCATTGATAACAAAATGAGGATTTTTTTTTTTATTTGCCATTCTGACCACTTTTCAATATACTGAGGCACTAAGGACGTTGATAACAAGCACATGTGCAACTGTCACCACCATCTTATTATAAGTTTTTATCATCCAAATGGAAACTTGGTTATTTTTTTTTTTTTTAGTACTGGTGCTTGAACCCAGGACCTCACACATGCTAAGCAAGGACTCTACTACTGAGCTACATCCTTGGCCTTTTTTATTTTATCTTGAGACAACGTCTCCCTACATTGCTCAATCCAGTGTCAAACTTGTGATCCCCCTGCCTCAGCCTCCTAAGTAGCTGGGATTACAACACGCACCACCACACCTGGCAGAATGAGGAAACTAATTCTGTATGGACAGTGTGTGTTACATGTTTCTTAAGAAGAGGGATAGTATTATATACTCATATTTGATAATATTTCTGGAAAACTCTTGAAGAATACTCAAAACTAAAATGGTTGGCTTAGTGGGAGTGGGAAAGTGGGTGGGTGTGGATAACTCGAGAGCAAGGCTTTTCACACATAGAGCCGCCATAGGCCTTCAGAACAATTGAGGGGCCATCAGAGTTCCCCATGCCCACCTCCCTGCCCCTCAACCAGATCCTCTGTTAGCGTCTTGTATAAGTGTGCCTGCTGTTTGTGATAGTGATAAGCCAGTACCGGTACGTGGCCAAAGTCCACGATTTCCTTCGAGGTTCCCTGTACTGTGCGTTCTGGGGTTTGGAACGCTTGGCAGACCTCCTCGCTGCAGGGCACTTCAGAATACTTGGCCTGCCTTGAGTCTCCTGTGCTTCCCCCTTCTCCCCTTCCTCTGCACCCCAGAAGCCCTGGCAGACACTGACTGGGCCCTTTATTCCACAGTTGTCCTTTTCTAGAATGTCATGTGTTTGAAATTATAGTTTGTAGCCCATCAGGCCATTTCCTGTCACTTAGCGACAGAATTTAAGGGTCCTCTCTGCCTTTTCATGGCTTGCTAGCTTTTTTTGAATCACTGAATAGTCCCCACCGTCTGGATGGCCCTGTACCACTCAGCTCATTTACCTACTAAAGGCCACCTCGTTGCTTCCAACTTTTGGCAATTACGAATAAAGTTGCTTTAAACATTGTATGCAGGTTTTTCTATGGACGTATTTTTAACCCATTCAAGTAAATACCAAGGAGTGTGATTGTTGGATTGCGAGGCATGAATATACACTCATCCCTCAGGTCTGCACAGGCTAGCTCTAGGAACCCAATGGGTGCCAAAGTCCATGATGCTCAAGTTTCTCATATAAAATGGGTAGCCTTGCATATAACTTAATATATACTTTAAATAATTTTGAGGTTACTTACAATACTTTGTACAGAGTAAGTAGTTGATATGCTCTATTATTTAAGGAATAATGATTTTAAAATATCTGTACATATTCAATTTATAGTTGGTTAAGTTTATAGATTTGGGGGCTAGGGATGTGGCTCAAGTGGTAGCATGCTCACCTGGCATACCTGTGGCCCGGGTTCGATCCTCAGCACCACATACAAACAAAGATGTTGTGTCCGCCGAAAACTAAAAAATAAATATTAAAAAAATTTCTCTCTCACACACACACAATCTCTCTTTAAAAAAAAAAAAAAAAGTTTATAGATTTGGATCCTCAGATACAGAGGGCTGAGTGTTTGCTTATATGAGAAAGTGCCAAGCTCTGCTAGTGTGGCCATACCATCTGCGTCTTTATCAGCAGTGAGCAAGAACTCCCTGCTACACCCTCACAGCTTTTGCTGTTGTTTTTACCCTTCTGGTAGGTGTGCAATAGTGTCTCACTATTTCAGGGTGACAACAGTGATGTTCAACAGTGAGAGTGAACATTTTTTCATGTGTTTACTTGCTGTCTGCATACTTTTAATGAGCTATGTGTTCAGATCTTTTGCCCATTTTTAATTGTCATATTGTTAAATATCAAGAATTTCTCAAATAGTTTAGATAGCAGTTCTTTATTAGATACTTGTTTTGCAAAGATTTTCTCCCAGTCTGGTTTGTCTTTCTATTTTTTTTTAAATTGTGTCTTTTAAAGCACAGAAGTTTTAATATTAATGGAGTCCAGTTTATCCGTTCTTTTTCCCCCCACAGGTCATGCTTTTGGTGTTACATCTAAAAACTCATTGCACCAGTGGAAACTTGTCTTCTGTATTCTTTTCTAGAAGTTTTATAGTTTTATGTTTTCCGTTTCGGCCTATGATCCATTTTGAGTTAACCTTTGTGCAAGGTATAAGGTGTGTGTCTAGGTTCATTGTCACTTGTGCATGTCTGGATGCTTGGCACCACTTACTGAAGACACTGTTTCTCCACGAGTCATGTTTGATCCTTTGCCCAAGAGCAGTTCTAAGTCTGTGTGGTTCTGTTCTGGACCCCACTCTTTTCCATGGGTTTGCTTGTCTCTTGCCAGCACCACAGGGTTATGGTCAGTCTCAGAGTGGGATGAAGTCAGCCCTTTACTTCCTTCTTCCATCTCAATATTGTGTTGACTTTCTGGGTCTTTTGCCTTTCCATATAAACTTTAGAATCAGTTTGTTGATGTTCACAAAATAACTTCTAGATTTTTATTGAGATTGCATTTAGTCAAGTTGGGAAGAGATGACATCTTGACAAAATTGAGTCTTATCCCTGTTCGTGGAAATCTCTCCAATTAAATCTCCTTTGATTCTTTCATCAGAGTTTAGGTTTTCTTATATAGATCTGGTACATAATATATATTATTACCTAAGTATTCTTTGTTTTTTAATTTCTCATTCTAATTTGTGTATTTCAGGAACATAGGGAAGTAATTGTATTTTATATATCTGCTTTGTGTCCTATAAGCTTTCTGTATCCACTAATAGTTCCAGGAGATTTTGTTACTGTTGATTCTTTAGACAGTCCTGTCATCTATAAAGAAAGATAGTTTTATTTCTTCCTTTTCCAATCTGTATACTTATTTTTTTTAAATGTCTTATTGCTGGGCTGGGGATGTGGCTCAAGTGGTAGCGTGCTCACCTGGCATGCGTGCGGCCTGGGTTCTATCCTCAGCACCACATACAAACAAAGATATTGTGTCTGCCGAAAAACTTTAAAAAATAAATAAATAAATAAATATTAAAAATTCTCTCTGTCTCTCATTCTCACACTTTCTTTAAAAAAATAAAATAAAATAAATAAATGTCTTATTGCACTAGGTGGGAATTCTAGTACAATGCTGAATAGAAATGATAAGAGACAAGCATCCTCACCTCATTCCTGACCTTGGGGCTGAATCTGTGTAGTGTATCACCATCAGGTCTGATGCTGGCTATAGGTTTTGTACATGTTCTTTATCAAGTTGAAGTTTCTCTGTTGCTAGTTTGCTCAGAATTATTATGAACGGATGTTGAATTTTATCAAATGTTTTTCCTGCATATGTTAATATGATCATGTGATTATTCTTAGCCTGTTGGTATGATGGTTCAGGTTAACTGATTTTTAGATGTTGAACTATCCTTGTATTTCTTGGATAAATCCCACTCGATCATTGCTATGGTTTGAATGTCCCCTTCAGATGTCATGTTTAAATTTAATTGCCATTGTCACAGTTTAAGAGGTGGGATCTTTAAGAGTTGATTAAGCCATGAAGGCATACCCTTACGATTGAACTGAGGCCGTTGTTGCTGGGTGGGTTAGTTGTAATGGGGGTTCTGGCAGGCCATCTCCCGCCTCACCCTCACCATGTGATGTCTCCCACCATCTTAGGATGGACCATGAAGATCCTCACCAGCTCTAGCCCCTCAATCTTGGACTTGTCAGCTTTTGGAACTATAAGCCACATAAATCTCTTTTCTTTATAATTTATCCAGTTCATAATATTCTGTTATAGCAGCAGAAATCAGACTAAGACAGTCGTGGTATATAACTCACTGTATACATTGTTGGATTTTACTTGCTAATGTTTTGTTAAGATTTTTACATTCATGAGAAGTATTTGTCTATAGTGTTTCTTATAATATCTCCATCTGGTTTTGGTAACCTGGAAATGCTGACCTCATAGAATGAGTTAGGAAGTATACTCTACCACTATTTTCTCGTAGAGATTATAGAGAATTTCTATAATTTCTTCCTTACAGATTTGATAGAATCTGTCAGTGAGTGCATCTGAACCTGGTGCTTTCAGCTTTAGAAGGTTATTAGTTATTAATGCAATTTCCTTAATAGATGCAGGACTATTCCAATTATCTAGTTCTCTTTATGAGCTTTGATAGATTTTGTCTTTCAAGGAATTGGTTCATTTCATCTAGGTTTTTCTCATTTGTGAACATTATGTTCTGAATACTCTTTTATTATGTCTTTAGCGTCCATGAGCCTTTCATTTCTCATTATTAATCTTCTCAAAAACACAACTTTTGGGATTTGCTTATTTTTCTCTATTGATTTCTTTCATAATATTTTCTTTTGTTTATATTTAATTAGTTCTTTTTTCTAAGTTCCTAAGGTAGAACCTTAAATCATTAATTTTATATCTTTTCTTTTTGTTATTTTTATTCTTACTTTTTTGTAAACAATTCTTTTTTAAAATGTGTTATTTTTAGTTATATACTCTTTCTTCTTTTCTAAGTCCTTTATGAGACTTCTTCAATCCATGTGTTATTCAGAAGTGTGTTTAATCTCCCAAGATGTAGGGGCTTTCCAGCTGTCTGCGTTAATGGATCCCCAGTTTAATTCCACTGTGGTCTGAGGGCAGACATTATATGATTTCTATTCTTTTAAATTTGTGAGGGTGTATATTACAGCACAGAATGTGGTCTGTCTTGGTGAATGTTCCAAGTCAGTGTGAGAATATCATATACTCTGTAAATGTCATTCAGATCCAATTTGCTGGTTTTCTGTTTAATGGTCCATTTCTTTTTTTTTTTAATATTTATTTTTTAGTTTTAGGTGGACACAATATATTTATTTTTTTATTTTTATGTGGTGCTGAGGATCGAACCCAGTGCCTCACGCCTGCCAGGTGAGCCCTCTACCAGTTGAGCCACATCCCTAGCCCCTTAATGGTCCATTTCTGATGGAAGGATATAGGAGTCTCCAAGTGTAATAGTGAAGTCACCCATTTTACTTGCATTTCTATCAATGCATGCCTCATATATTTTCACATTCTTTCATGAGATGTATACACAGCATGTCCTGTTGGAGAATTAACCCCTTTTTCATTCTGTAATGCCCCCTTTTATGCCTGTTAATTTTCCTTGCTCTGAAATCTGCTGTATGGAATTAATATAGCTATTTCTGTTTTCTTGAGATAACTGTTAGCATCCTATATCTTATTAACTGTTAATCTGCATTTGTCGTTATACTTTCAGTGTGTGTGTTATCATTGGTGTTCTGAGTGATTATTGATATAGCTGAACTCGTGTCTCATATTTGTTAGTTTTCTAGTCATTACACTTGTTCTTTGTGGTTTTTTTTTTCCCACTCTCTGCCTTCTTTGGCTTTGAGTTATTTCATATTCTGTTGCGTCTCCTCTCTCAGCATATCAATAATATATCTTTTTCACATTTGTAAGTGGATTCTGTAGAGTGTGCAGTATATATACACTCAGAGCCAGTCCAAGTCCACTTTCCGATAGCACCTCACCCCCTCACAGCAGGGCCCACACCATGCGGCAGGGGTGTCATTCCCTCCCTCCTGCCCACCTCTTCTGTCATTGCTGCCGTTGGTTTCACTTATCCACTGGTATGCCACCGCTAGGTGGACACTATTGTTTTGAACAAATGGGTTTTTGTTAGATAATTTAGAATAAGAAACATCAAATATTTTACTTAACACTCTTTGAGTCTAAGTTTCTGGCCTATATTATCTTCCTTCTCTCTGAAGAACAGTGCACGTTTACCAGTGACAGATTCCCTCCATTTTTGTGTAAGAAAGTCTTTATCCTTCACTTTTGAAGGACAGCTTCATGAAGTAGAGCATTCTAGCTGGTGGTTTTTCTCTTTCAACCCTTTAAATGTTGTACTGCACACTCTTGCTTGTGTGGTTTCTAAGGAGAAATCTGACGTACTTATCCTTGTTCTTCCGGAAGTAAGCTCTTTTTATAGCTATTTCTATTTTGTAGCATTTTTCAAAATTTTGTCTTTGATTTTCTGCATTTTCTTTGTGATGAGCCTAGGTGTAGGTTTTTCTATCTGTCCTGCCTGGTATTCTCTGAGATTCCAAGATCTGTGGTTTGGTGTTGGTCTTGAATTTTTGAAAACTCACACTTTTTTTTCTTTTCTTTTTACATTTCAGTTTTCCTGATAGTGTGTCCTGGAGCTCACTGATTCTTTCCCTGGCCGTGTACAGTCTACTAAAAGACAATCTTGGTTTCTGTCACCAAGTGGGTTTTTTATTTCTAGCATTTTTTTTTTTTTTTTTTTTTTGCTTCTTTCTGCTTATATGACCTATTTGTTCTTGTAAATTGTCTCCTTTTTCTGTTAGAATCCTTAACACATTGATAACAATTTTAAAAACTATCCTGGTCTGATAATGCTGAAATCTCTGCCTCCTCAAGCTGTGTTTTGTCTTTTAATATGCCTTGTAAATTTTGTTGCCGGCCAGACCTGATGTACTGTGTAAATGGAACTGAGATAGTTAGGCTTTGGTGTAACCTTTATCTGGCTAGAAGTTAAGCTGTGTTGTCTTCCCTGTTGCCTTTAAGGTTCCCTAGAGACTTTCTACTAGGGATTAAACTCAGGGGCATTTTATCACTGAGCACATCCCAGTCCTTTTTATTTTTTATTTTGAGACAGGGTCTCACTAAGTTGCCTCCTTAGTCGCTGAGATTACAGGCGTGCACCAAACACCCGAGAGTCATCTTCTTAGATAATCTGAGGAGTACTGTCCTTCCCATTGCTAATTCCAGCGTGGTGTCTGCTGTGTCTTCCTCTCCATCTTCCACTCCATCTCCCCACTTTGGGTGCAGCAGTTTTCCCCCTGATCTCAGTTTTTTAATAGTCCAAGAAGAGCTATTGAATTTCAGTTGTTCAGTTACTTTCTTGCCATAAAAGTGGAGTGACAGCTTTCAAGCTGCTTATGTGCTAGACTGGAAATCACAGATCTTTTTTTTTTTTTTTTTTAATATATATTTGATTTTGAATGGGAGGATTATTTTTAGAATTTTTAAGAATCAAATGCAACATCACCATGATCTTTTTCTCCAAAATCAATAACCCCAGTGTAACCACAAGGAAAATATAAACAAACCCAATTTGAAGGACATCTGACTAGTACTCTTTGGAACTATCAAGGTCAATTAAAAAAAAAAGAAAAGTCTGAGACATGTCACAGGCTAGGAGTAGCTATGGAGATAGAATGACTAAATATAATGTATCCTGAAACACAGAAAAACTAGTGAGTCTGCAAGTGTGGATTTCAGTCAGCAGCAGCACTCCTCGGTTGGTTCCTTGTCTGTGACATAAGAGCCATGTGGGCTACGTGCAGGGGAATGCAGAAACTCCGCTTTCTTGGCCACTTTTCTGTCAATCAAAAACTATCTAAAATTAAAAGTTGAACTAAGTATTTTAAATTGTCTATTACAAATGTTGCTATAGTTTTACTTTGCCCTTTTTATTTTAATTATTTTGTTTTGTTTTAATAAAGTTTTATTTTTCCAAATGCACAGTTGCTTGGACCTGCTAGTGCATCTGCACAGCAACAGGGGCATCTCCATCTTGGTATTTCTGGTGTAAATTACTTGAGCTCTGTGCTTTGACACCAGTTTGAAAAGTCCTTTACTGAGGAGCTCCTGAAGGGCTGCCCTGGCCAAGGAACCGCAAGTCCTTATCCCTCGAAGACCCCAGCTGTGCTTAGAAGCTCGTAGTTGGGAACTTCCTTATAGAGTTTGTCATAAGTAGCTTTGTCAGACAAGACTAGATGTTGAGCTTGCCCTGATCTTTGCCTTCGGACCACTTCTTCTTTTCAGCGTTGCCCCAGATTTGTTCACTGGGCCCTTGCCTTTCTTGGCCGACCTTCCAGCATCTTTCTTCTTCTTGTCACCCTTGAGCAGCATTGCAAAGCCTGGAGAGCAGCAGCAGCTATTGGAGCCTCGTCAAGATGTCTTTTTTATTTTTATCCTATTGTAAAACGTGTTTATTTCAAAAAGCTTTATGTATCACTTCAGGGAGGATTTCTCCTGTCATCTGCCTGCAAGATGGGCAGCACAGGTACTGCTCATTTTAAAATGCGAGAACCTTGATGGGGAGGCACTGAGTGCCCAAACCCACGCACCTTAGTGACCCCTGCAGGCTACCATGAACTTGGTAAGGGGGCTCTTGTTGCAGGTATTTACTTCCTTTCATCTAAGCCTGTAAAACATTTCCCAAGCAACTGTGGACATTTTTATTTATGAAAGCAATTCAAGTACAAAGAAAATTTTACAAATTCTTCATTTGGATAAAGTCCTTAATATTTTGAGCCCATTTGTCATTTTGACACATTTATCTCTTCCCAGGTTCTTCACTGGTCTATGTCAATCACCTTGTTGGAGAAGGGGCCTTCGCCCAAGTCTATGAAGCTACCCAGGGAGATGTGAATGAGACCAAAAATAAACAGAAATGTGTCTTAAAGGTAAATGGTGCAAATACATGTTTGAACTGTAGAGAAATGATTTTTAGAACTTCAAGTTTGTCAGCCTCTTTTTTTTTTAAGACAGTGATGTTTTTATTGAGCAATTAAGAAATAAAACAATACTATGAGGATCTGGAATTGCTTTCTGCAGAACAAATCATAATGTCATTGCTTTCTCATGTCCCTTATTAGGATTCTATTTTCCAGAATGTGACTCTGGATATAAATAACACATACCTGATTTTGCTTGTAGGTCCAGAAGCCTGCCAACCTCTGGGAATTCTACATTGGTACCCAGCTGATGGAGAGACTAAAGCCAGCTGTGCGCCACATGTTTATCAAATTCTATTCTGCCCACTTATTCCAGAATGGGAGCATCTTGGTAGGAGATCTCTACAGCTATGGGACACTATTAGTAAGTGTTCTGTTTTTATAATATGGATATGAATTTAAGTGCATTTCTGGTTTGTGCCTTACCCATATATTTTCTGGTTAGAGCTTTAGTTGGGGTGCTAAACAGGGGCAAAGTCCTTGACTTGAAATTTCATTAATCCTCATCCAACTCAGGATACCATTTGCATTGTTTCTAGAATGCCATTAACCTCTACAAAAATACCCCCGAAAAAGTGATGCCCCAGGCTCTCGTCATCTCTTTCGCTATCAGGATGCTCTACATGATTGAACATGTCCACAGCTGTGAGATCATTCATGGAGACATTAAGCCAGACAATTTCATACTGGGAAACAGGCAAGTGTGGACCTCTGAACAGGGTTCTTTCCTGAACATCTAGCAGCCCTTTGTCATTTGTGCTCATTTCCTGCCCTGAATTGTATTTAATCTAGGTTTTTGGAACAGAACGATGAAGATGGTGATTTGTCTACTGGTTTGGCACTTATTGACCTGGGTCAGAGTATAGATATGAAACTTTTTCCAAAAGGAACTGCCTTTACAGCAAAATGTGAAACATCTGGCTTCCAGTGTACTGAGATGCTCAGTAACAAACCATGGAACTACCAGGTACGGACCCTAAAGTAAGAGGTTTGGAAAATTTTCCTCTGTTGTACCTACCAGATTTTCAAAATGAATTTGGAATCTCGTTAGTTTGAACTGGTCTCTTGGACACAGTTGAAGAAGAGATGGGGGCCAGGAATGTGGCTTAGAAGTAGAGCACTTGCCCAGTAAGCATGAGGTCCTGGGTTGACTCTGTAGCACTCAAAGAGAGAGAAGGTAGTAAAGGAGAGATGGGACTTAAGGCTCAGGGGAAGGGAGGGATGAAATTTTGTTCCTGAAGAGTACACTTTTCTTATTATTCACAAGAAGGAAAGCAGATATGTTCTGAGTTTGACCCTAGGAAAGGTATTTAATGATCTGTGAACCCTTCAGAACGAAAGTCTGCCACATGAAGCCAGCTTGGATTGGGAGATAAAAACAGAGCAAATGGTTTTCTTTATGGCCATGGTTAATAGAGAGACACACCCCACTGCCCCCAGGGGAATCAGCCGCAAGTCTTGCAAGTGGGCAGGTGGTTCTGACAGTGAGAGTGGCACAGAAACTCAGGTGCAGGACCTGATTCAAACAGTGTTAGAAATGGATCATTATTATCCTAAAAGGCTTCAGAAATTTCACCAAATTAGAATACAGATGACAAATATAAAGAATACTTAATAGGATAAATGTAAAGTTTTGAACCTGGATTAATAAAACCAGATGCCTGGTTACCAAGTGAGGACTGTGGCTTCCAGAAGCCTGTGATAGAGGGGAAAGGTCGGGAGTCAGGTCTAGTATATCAGACCACATGCTGTTCTGGCATCTCCTGGGGTGCAGGGGAAGGGGAGCACCATCCAAAGGTCTTACAGTATATTCAGAGAGTAGCCACGGACTCCCCATGGAAGGATTAGCACTTTTCTTTCCTTGATATGTCTTTATCTGGTTTTGGTATGAGTGTGATACTGGCTTTATAGAATGAATTTGGAAACGTTCTGTCCCTTTCTGTTTCATAGAATAATTTGAGGAGCATTGGCATTAGTTCTTTCAAGGTCTGGTAGAATTGAGCTGAGAATCTGTCTGGTCCTGGACTTTTGTTTGTTGAAAGACTTTATTACTGCTCTTTATCATCACAAGTTATTGGCAGGTCTAGGTTTTCTATATCCTCTTGATTCAGTTTTAGCAGATCATATTTGTCTAGAAATGTATCCATTTCTTCTAGGTTTTACAATTTATTGGAGGAGAAGTTTTCAAAATAGTCCCTAATGATCCACTGGATTTCTTGACATGTGTGGTGATTTCTCTTTTTTTATCTTTAATTTTGTGAATTTGTGTCCTCTCTCTTTTTTCTTTTGGTTCATTTGGCTAAGGGCTTATCAATCTTGTTTATCTTTTCAAAGAACCAAATTTTTGTTTCATGGATCCTTTCTAATTTTTTTTTTTTTTTAATTCTCAAGTTAATTGATTTGGCTCTGATTTTATTTGTTTTCTCCTACACGTTTTGGAATTGGTTCATTCTTATTTTTCAAGGGCTTTAAGATATATCATTAGGCTGGTTTTAAATTTTCCTCTTAAAACTGCCTTCATAGTATTCCACAGGTTGTTGTTTTATCACTATTCTTATTTAAGAATTTTTAATTTTTTTTTTTTTTTTTTCTAAGAGATGCTTTGTGACCTAAAATATGATCTACTTTGGAGGAGGTTCCATGAACCATGGTCAAAAATATTCATCTGATGTTGGACAAAATACTCTATAGATCTCTGTTCAGTCCATTTGATTTATAGTATCTTTCAGGTCCTAAGAGTCTATACTGAGTCTATGTCTGGATGACCCATCTAATGGTGAGAGAATGTGTTGAGATCACCCAGTGTTACTGTACTGGGGTCTTACTAAGGCTTTGAGTAGTATCTCTTTTATGTAATTAGTTGCACCCAATTTGGAGCATAAATATTTGTTACTGTTATATCTTCTTGCTGAATTGTCCCTTTAACAATATGAACCTTCTTTGTCTCTTCTGATTAATTTTGGTTTGAAGTCTGCTTTGTTAGATATAGAGTAGCTACTCCTATTTATTTTCAGGCTCCATGCACATGGTATATCAATTTTGTTGTTTACTTTCAGCCTGTCTTTGCCTATAAGGTGTGTCTCTTCCAAACAACATATAATTGAGTCTTGCTTTTTAATCCGTTCTGCCAGCTATGTCTTTTAATTGAAGAGTTAAGACCATTTACATTCAATATTATTATAAAGAGATGTTTATTAATTCCTGCCATTTTGATTTATTTATAATGTTTAATTTGATCCTGTTTCTCATTTGCTTAGCTACCCTTCCAATGAGATTTGTTTAATTGTGAGCTCTGGGGTTTGGTTATTCTGTGGAGTATTTGTATTACCGGTTTAGTAGTATTGAATTCTTCTAGTTTCTGCTTATCTTGGAAGGTTTTTATTTCTCTTTCAATTTTGAGGGATAGTATTGCTGGTTCTAACAATCTTGTTGACATTTAATTTCTTTCCGAACTTAGTCCACATCATTCCAAGACCTTATGGCTTTTAGAGTTTGTTAAAAAATTAGAAGTGATTCTGATTGGCTTACCTCTAAATATGACCTGATTTTTTTTTTCTTGAGACTTTTACAATTTTATCCTTGTTCTCTGTGTTAGTCATTTTAATTATATTATGGCATGGATAGGTTCTTTTTCAGTCATGTCTATTTGGGTTCTGAATGCCTCCTATATCTGGATGTCTATCTCATTCTCAAGGTTTGGAAATTTTTCTGTTATAATAATTTCCAAATTATTATATTAATAATAATATAATAATTTCCCTGAAAAGATTATCCATCCTATTAGCCTGATTCTCACAACCGTCTTCAATTCCAGTGATTCTTAAATTTGGTCTCTTAATGTTGTCTATTCTGAATGTGAGTATGTATTTTCTTTAATACTATCTGAATGTTTAAGACTAGCCACTTTGTCTTCCAGCTCTAAGAGTCTATCCTTAGAATTTTCTACTCTGTTAGAGAGATTTTTAGCTGGACAGTTTATTTGATTTATTATGTATTTATTTCTAAGATTTCTGTTTAATTCTTTTTTATTATCTCTCTTTGTTGAATTTCTCATTCATATCCTGTACTAATTTCCTTAATTCATTCTGTTTTTTCTGTGTTCTCTTGGAAGTCATTGGTCATTTTTATAACCATTCTTTTGAATTCTTTATCTGATATTTCATCCACTTCAGTACCTTTGGAGTAAGTCGCTGGTGAATTATGAACTTTAGGATGTATCATGTTATGTTGTTTTTTCATTTTTCTTGTATTCCTGAGTTGGGTTTTTTACATCTGTTGGGGTGGATTTCTCTGCTACTCTTACATATAGGCCTTTTTAGGGCTCAGTCTTTACTTGCCAAAGTGTCCTCAAGTTATCTAGACTGAGACACCCTTGTAGATGTGGTATCCACAGACTCTGTGTTAATTCTCTTTTTTGGTATAGCAGTGGATATCTGTAGTGGGACATGAAGGACCACCCCTGGCCATTTCTATTCGGAGCCTGATCATTAGTTTGAGTTTTTATTTCTTCTGTTCTTTGTGTTAAAGTATAGCTGATGTTCGTCATGTGCATGGAGCAAGGTGTGCTGTCTTGTCGCCGAATTGAGTTCAGCAGCAGAATCTTGTAGTGCCTTGTAGATTCCCAGCATCTCTCAGAATAGGGTAAAACAAACAGTAGTAACAACTGATGCAAACAACAGACAGCATTAAAGTAGATATCTGTTTCTGTTAAAATAAATATCTACTATGACATTTAATGTCAATTACCACAAAAAACAATGGTGTGGTCTATTGCCAAACAAATAAGTAGCCATGAACTATATCTGGCAATAAAACAAACAACAGGTGCCAATTATGCCATCCACAGCAGTAATCATTACAACAGCATTAATGGTGGGAAAGGAGTTATATAAACCAATTAGTGCTAAATTTGGTAAAATACAGTTAATTAAGAGAAAAGAAAACATGATAGGAAGGTCAAAGTGTTTATAATTCAAAAAAGTGAACACAGAAAGAAGAAGAGATGTAGCAGGTGATGGTTTTAAGGAAGGAAGAGAAAGAAAACAAGAGAATTTGACTGTCGGCAGAAGAGAGAAAGAAACCAATGAAAAGGAAACAAAACCAAAATATACGAACCCCAAGCCCTAATCCTCAAAAGGCAAGGAAAAATAACATTAAAAACATGCTGAAAATGAGAAGAAAACAGAAAGAAAGAAATATGTGTGTATGTCCATGAACCAATCAGCACATCAAGAACTCTCTCACACTCCCCAAAAAGAGAAAAGATTCTTAATTTAAAAAAAAAAGAAGAAGAAGAAGAAGAAGGAATCATCTCCACTGAGGTGATCAAAATAGTCAACAAAAATGTGTGGTCACTGCTGTGCCCACCCGTGTTTGTTTCTTCTTGGGCTATGACACAGAGGGCCAGCAGCTCCTGGGATTGTTAACTTCTTACACCTTTGGTGTTGCTCCTGAGCGGCTGGTTGGAGTGGCCTAGACTAAAGCTGGCTAAAGCCGTTCTCAGCTCCCTTCTCCCCAGCGGGAGGTAGGGTGCTGTCACCTGGAGTCTGTCTGCACAGGCCCGGTACTCTAGGGGTGCTACCGCAGAGTTCTATGAGGAGCCCAGTGGCTTAGATCTAATAGGGCCTTGGGGACTTTGTTTGGTAGTGTTTGCTAATGCATGGCAGTTGCCCAGCTCTGTCAAGGGATCTGAATCTCAGGAGCCTCACAAAAATTCTACTCTTGAGGAAGGGGAGCCACCCCTCCTCCACACACACACCCCACATACACACCCACACACACACACACATTCTCTCTCTCTCTCTCTCTCTCTCTCTCTCTCTCTCTCTCGCCCGTGAACACGACTGCCCAGGCTTAATCCCTCGGCGTCTTCACATACACCCGTTCCGAGTCCCGACCCTCCTCAGCTGGTCATGTGAGCACCAGACACACAGAGAAGGTGAGTTCAGCTCTCCTTCGCTTTTCTGATGTGGATCCCCCTGGGTACAATCCTGGTGTCCATTTCCCTCATGTTCTGCTAGGAAGACCCTAGATGGGCGCTCACCTGAGAGCGTGGCAGTGTTGGCGCTGCTCTCCCTGTTCAGCAGCAGGAACTGCAGCTGGAGGCTCAAGGCTCCCCGCCTCAGCTCCCCGTGGCTGTTTGAGAAACAGAGAGCACTTTCCATCACCTCCGCATCAGCTCAGTGCAGGCTGCTTTTCTGATCTCAGGTTTTCTCACAGCACACCTCCCTGTTGTATTTCTCTGCGTTCTCCCTCCATCTGGTGAACCACCACCACTGCTGCAACCAGCTCAGCTCCAGTGCTGTCTCTCTGTTCAGTGTACCTGAATTTTTGAGTCTCTTAGTCACTAGGACTGTCTGGCATTGAATTTTAGTGAAATACCTCTAGCTCACCTCACTGAGAAGCAGCATTCCTGCTTCTTGAATCCCCAGCCACCAGAAATCAACTTCCAGAATTCTTCAAAGATAAACTCCTGTGACTTAGCTTGCTGCTTATGTTAGCACGTGGTGATGGGATCACGTGTGCATCGCCATGAGTCATGGAATCTCGCTTTCTTGCCAGGTGGATTACTTTGGAGTGGCAGCCACGGTGTACTGCATGCTTCTGGGGACCTACATGAGGGTGAAGAACGAGGGAGGAGTCTGGAAGCCTGAAGGTCTTTTCAGAAGGTAGGTGTCGGCATCGGGCTACAGCGGGAAGAGAATAACTAGGGTAGTAACAGGTTCCATCTGGCAGAAGGGGATCCCTTAGGCAGTGTGGGCACAGCACAAGGCTGGCCCTGGGCAGGGAGTGGTCACAGGGCTTCCCACTTAGCCAGTAGTCCACAGAACCCCTGGGAGCTCCTGGGTGGTGACAGGCATCCCGCCCAGGCAGGTGTCCCAGAGCCTCAGGGCTGTGCTTGCTTGTTTTCTTGTGTGTGGAGATGCAAATAATACTCATCCTGCCTTCCTCAGATCTTTCCTGTAAGAAGCCAAGGAAATACGTAGGAAGTATTTGTTACATGCTTGTTCCTTGCCCAGTTACACTTTCTTCTCTTAACTTTTTTGATATATATTTAAAACATACAGAAAAGTGAACTCATCCTCTGTGCGCAGCCAAATGGAATCTTATGTGCATATATACCTTCTGGGAATAATTTCAACTGCGATTCCCCTGGCCTTCCCTACCCACTTCCAAAACAGAAAAAGAAAATTGGCAGTAATTTTATAAAATGCCTGTGCCATACATAGTGAAGCTTAGGTTCAGTCCCTGGAGAAAACTTGGTAACTGCTATGTCTTATTCTGCATAATGAGGCATTATATCTGACAAGTGCTTTATGCTTCCTCTTGCTCATAATGGAAGAACCAGATGGTCATCCAGAAGGTCTCCACCTCTGGCCGCTAGTGTAAAGGAAAGCCTAAAGCCAGCCCTCTGCATGGCCCTGCTGCCATTTTTCTGTGCTCTGTAGCTCCTATAGTTGACTTTAACCACTAGAGTAGCCGGAGCTCTTCAGTCAGCTCTCTCCTGAGCAGGGCGGCCTGTCCACCTAGTCCTGGCACATGTGCAGTTGGGCTCCTTAGAACTATGTGTCCAGATCACAAGATGCTGACAGTATGGTAGACACAGGAGCCAAAAGCAAATGGATCTTTTTTTTTAATGAGGAAAGGTAGCACTATGTTACCCAGACCACCCTCTAACTCATGATCCTCTTGCTTTAGGCTTCCCAGCCCCTGGGATTCCATGCACACACAACACCCAGCACAGATAGATTTCCTTTAAAAAATAAAATAGATTTTTTTTCACTGAAGAGTTATTGCTAAGACTGCTTATCTTAAATCCTTTTTTGGGAGCCAGGTGTGTTAGAGTCTGTAAACAAGTCTGGATGGTGCCTGGCAAAATGCCAGAGGGAGTGGTTTGTGAAGTAACACCAGGGAGCCATTAAGTGTGGAGATTCCTTATTGGTTGACTGATGTATCTAGTTTATGCTAATTAGATAAGCTGTGTGGAATGTATAAATACTGCTCCTGTCCTGCAATAAACGGCTCCCACTCCTGCTGTATCAAGGTACACAAGTTGCTCGTCACACCCCCCCCCCCCCCCGCCCCCGTTAGTTTGCTGCAGCCGGACTGCGGCACAGGTGTGTTGAGACAATTAATTGGAACTTTAATTTCTCTAATGTGGGATAGATTGGATGTGTCCACTCCTGATGGCCAAGTGCTATTAGGTGAGAGTTCTGTTTCACCACCCACCTGCGGCAGTCAGGGTCAGAGCAGGCTGCTTTCCATCCGTGGCCGGTTCTTTCTCTCTGCAGGCTTCCTCATCTGGACGTGTGGGATGAGTTTTTTCACACCATGTTGAATATCCCAGACTGCCATCACCTTCCACCTTTGGATTTGCTAAGGCAAAAGCTGAAGAGTCTGTTTCAACAGCACTATTCCAACAAAATCAAGACCCTGCGAAACAGGCTCATTGTGCTGCTCTTGGAATATAAGCGTTTGAGAAAATAAAATTAACTGTGGACACTTTCCCAGAAATCATTTTGTAAATACTATTCTCTTTCTTTGAACCTTGATGTTCTTCCAGATGTATTGTTGATATAAATGTTTGTTAAAAATAAAGTTCACGAAATACATCCATGTGACTTAATTTTTATTAAATTTTCCAGCAGAATAGAAAAAGTGGCAAGCCCTATGGGGCAGACCTGCCGGCCCTCTTGGCAGACAAACATTCATGTCCTTTATGGTGCATTTTTGTTTGCTATCTATGAATTATGCATTCTAATCCTATTATTTCAAAGTACCATCAATGGAAAAAATCTCAGATCTTGAAAAGAATTCTCATGAGCTGTATAGACCACTGGACCAACTTAGCCTTTCCTGGCCAGGACCTGGGAGGGCCTGTAACCCCCCTGGGCTTCCTCCACCCTCCCTTTGTGTTCTTAGCACCATGAAAAACAAATCTGAAGCGACACCATCCAGGAGCACAGGGGAATTGCTTCCTCCCACCCCTCTCAGCTCCCATGACCCCGACTCCGGAGGCAACCATGGCCCATTTTTTGTATGTGTGAATCTCTAAAATTGGTTCTATAAACTGCATTTTTTAAACAGAACTAGCATCATTTTGCTTTCTTTCACTTAATATCCGATCAGGAATGTAACTATAGAATGGCCTCATACTTTTTAGTGGCTGTGTGATATTTGATTGTGGCATATCTGTAGTATGCATTCCTAGAAGCAAAATTGCTGGGTCAAAGGTGAGTGCACTTAAAATTTTGAATCTGTGTCTGCTGGTAGCCCCCCAGGGTTTTCCCCAGACTGTGAATGTCCTTTTCCCACCTTCCCTGACAGCATAGATGGGGCTCTGGCCTTTGCCAGTTGGCAGGTGAGAGACCATACCTGCTGGCACTCTCCTTGGCATTTCTCTGATGGGTAGACCAAGTGCATGTACATGTGTTATAGCACGTGTGTGCTCTTCTGTGTTCTCTGTCTTCCACCCACTTTGCGCTCCGCTTGTTCGTTTATCTGAGTCCTTTGTATATGAGGCACACATATTTGTCCCAATGTGTCATCTCTCTGGACTAGTAAATATTTCTCCTGCTGTGAAGAATTTTTTAAAAAGTTTTGCTTTATACTCAGACTCATAGTCTTAAATGGCTTTTGACTTTGTCTTAAATGTTGTACTCAACTGAAAAACACAAAAATGTTCCTTTTTTTTTTTTTTAATTAGTACTAATTTGAGCATTTGGGACTAAACTTTTCTGGTTACTATTTAAGTCATATCATTTTCCCCCTATTTTTTCCAATTGGTAATTTGAATATATGAAGCCTACTGATTTCTATAAACAGGATTTTCAATTAATTCTTTTGAAGTTTTCAAATAATCATCCTTATGAAAACAATTCTTATTTTATATTGTTCTAATTTTTGTTTGTGGTTTTCCTTGTCATTGATGATACCTTGAGAAAGAGGTTACTGGTGACACACAACATCCTTGTCCCCTGTTCTAGGGGCAGCTTTTCCAGTGCATATCCATTCACTTCATGATACTGGCTTGAGGTAAGATGCTTTTGAGGTGCTGAGTATCTATCTGTTCTTTTTATAAGCAAATATGAAGTATATCATTACTTTACAGTTTTCTTGCCCATTTCCATCTTTATTGGCCCAGCTATACCTCATTCCCCTGCAGGAACGGGTTGTTATTTATTGAACCAATCTCCAATTTAGAGACACTTAGTTGGTTTCACAGTTTTTTACTACAAAACAATGAGTGTGAGTGCCACTATATCTGTAGGATAAATTGCTAGGTTAGGGACCCCAAAATGCCATTATATTTTGAAAATAAAGATTGTAACCTACATGACCAGTTACACACATACACATACCAAACTTGGAAACTGAAAATGACCCAGAGTCAGACCTCAGCAGGGAAACCAATACCAAACTTCCTCTTGAAGTGTCTAAACAACTGAGCATCCGTAAAGCCAGATTGACAGGATTTTGTTCCTTTTGAAAATGGCTGTTTTCAAAGGAAACCAAGACTGAACAGGCTAAGAGTGCAGTTCTGTCAGCTAGAAACTGCACGTGTTCATCTGTGGGAGGCAGCTGCAGGGGCCTTAGGCCCTGGATGGGGAGGACCACATGGCTTCAGCTTCCAGGCCCCGGTTGGCATGGCCAGTGTCATTGCCAGCCCATATTCTATTCCTGGCTCTTTAACTTGGATCACACTCAGAAACAGCCCCATGTGACACCAACAGCGTGTCTGCTGTTGCCTGTCTGGTCTGTGATCTAATCCAAGGGCTTCCTTTAAATTAAACTTCTCAATCTGATTTCCTAGCAACGGCTTGTCCCCAGGGTGGGACAAATCTCAACAGAGCTAGTCATTTTAATCATTTCAGTTAGTAGGTATTGTTTTGCTTTTTGTACATATGCCTGGTACAACAACAAAAAAAAACCTTCCTTTAGTTGTAATCAGTGGTCTGGATTTCATGTAGCTAATCAGCACCAGGAAAGAAGCCCTGAGTCCAGAGGGCACCTGAGAGGAAAGTGACAGGTCCATGCAGGGAGGGCACAGAGTTCTGGCTCACTCCATTGCAGGTATCCCAGCAGGACAGAGCTGGCTGGGGCGCGTTCACCTGAGTCTCGACCCCAGCTCCTCCTGAGGGTGCAAACCTTGGCTGGACCCAGCTCCTGGTCCAGAGTGAGACCTTTCTCAGGCCCAGGCATTTCCTAGTCATTCTTGAGCAGCTGCTCCACATTCGAGTTCCAGCTAAGAAACTAGACTCTTTACTCAGAGGATACAGAGACTCCTGCTTGAGTACCTTCCCGGCTGGCTTTAATCTGATCTAAGGCAATGGTCCTAACATTCATTCTCCCCAAAGAAAAGCCCAAGGGTGGCCTGTGACTCTCGAAAGTAGAGCTGCTGGATAGCCAGGCAAGGTTACACGACACGGCACACCTGGAAAGCCTCCATGCAACCTTCTCTGTGCTGATCCAAGGAGCCGGCGTCCTTGGTCCTCCCGTCCTTCAAGTCCGTGCATCTCTCCCATTTGTTTCATTCTGGAATGTTCAGACTAACCCATCTCTGGGTTAGTTAGGCTATGGCAGGCTAAGCTGCTGTAACACAGGGAGCCCTGTGGGGACACTCACTTGATGATGAGGATGACCACCACGACATGGAACAGGATGCAGTACAATTTCACCACCTGATGGGTCACCAGGGCAAAGCCACCTGCAATGAGCAGGCAGCTAAGGAAGCAGCGCTCGGAAACTGCAGATGCCCGAGCTCAGGGTGCCCTCCTGCACCCCAAGGTCACTAAGCAGGACACGCCGCCCCGGGGGCAGGCGCCCAGACCACCAGCTCCCCAGAAAGGCGATCGTGCCACTGGTTCACCACCGTGAGCTCCTCCAGCAGCATGGAGGAAGCGGCCAGATCACTGAAGCTGTTCCTGCAGTGCCTGTCCCAGCCAATGCCACCCCTTCAAGGGCGGGTCGCCACACAACAGTGCATCAGTGAAACTTGAGTCAAAGGACCGGATTCTGTCACAGAACAGTTCCATCCTGATGACAGCAAACGCATAGTAGACCACCTAGGGTGGGAGGCGCTGGACACCAGGGGGCGCCCAAAGTCGCAGAAGCAAGGGGCATGGAGCGCTAGACGCACCCAAGGTCCCACAGAAGGGCAGCGGTGTTCCCAAGGATGGTGGCCTCTCCAGCTCAGAGCCACGCAGCTTAGGGGAGTGAGTGGGAAGGGATCGCTGCTCGGCCGGTCCGCCAGAGAAGCCTGGGTAGTTGGTGGAGAGATTAAGGCACAGCCAGGTGGACCCCCCTGGACCTCCCAGGACATTTACCTAGTGAAGGAGAATTGAAGTTGGATCTTTACCTGTTCTTTACGCCAAAATTAACTGCAAAGGTACTAAAACAAACAAAAACCCATAAAGGTAACAAGGCAGAAAGTTGGGCAGGAAAAGGGCTTCCTAAGCATGATGTGAAACCTAGAAACTATAAAAAGATCAACAAGTCTGACTATATAATAAATTTAAACTTGTGTATAGCCGCACACCCCCCCCAAAAAAAAAAAAAAGACTGGGGAGAGGGGAAAGTGACAGATAAGGAAAAGTCATTGTCTTATGCATACATTAACACAGACCTGTCTCCTTAATAGGCCAAAGAGTCCTACAAATCATATCAAAAGTAAAAGTACCAGCTGGGCATGCAGGCACACGACTAAAATCCCAGCAGCTCAGGAGGCTGAGGCAGGAGGATTCCAAGTTTAAAGCCAGTCTCAGCAACTTAGTGAGGCCTGAGCAACTTAGCAAGACCCTGTCTCAAAATAAAATATGAAAAGGCTGAGGATGTGGCTCCATTATTAAGCACCCCTGGGATCTCTGGTACCAAAAACAATAACGCTAATAATAAAAGTGAAGGTAATAGAGAAATAGAACCACGGATGTTACTGGAAATATGCATAAATGGCCAAAATCACATGGAAAAGATGCTCAGCCTCATGAGCAACTAAAGCAATGCATGTCAAAATAGCATGGTGCTATTTTCTCATCTATCAGATCTAGGGAGAATGGAAACAGTGAATAAATCCATCTGTGAGCAGAGAAACAGATACATCACACATGTCATTTGGAATCCATACGAGAGCATGTTTGTGAGAGCAAGTTGTCACTATCAATCCAAATCATGAACCCATTTACCTTTGCTCACCTCTAGGAGAGCACCCAACACTCACACTCGTGTGAGGACACAAAGATGCATGCCCAAGGATGGCCTTACCACAAGGTCTGTGAAGGTGAAAGGCAAGCCCACCCACTGGTCAGTGGTGTTCTAGAGTCTTCTATTTTGGGGACACGTCTCTGTCTCTCTCTCTCTCTCCTATATATTTTTTTTTTTTTTTTTTTTTTTTTGGTACTAGGGATTGAACCCAGGGGCACTTAACCACTGAGCATCTTAGAGACTGTCCTTTATGGAGCCTAATGATCCTCATTGTGGAATGAGGCCAGAGTCCTAACTGTGGTTAGTGTGAGGACACCGTGGGTTCAGCAGAGGGAAAGAAGGACAAGGGAAACTCAGAAGTCCCTTCTTGGCCCCTGGAGTTAGAGGACTTACCCCTTTGCACCTGGGATCAGGAGACCTCATTTCCTTGAGGACACGCACACTCAGGGGTAGGTCTTGAGTGGGGGTCCTTACTGGGGTCCAGGGCTGTTGTTAGCCACCAGGAATGACAGTGCTCTCCATGCTCAGTGGAGCCATTTTGCCAGGAAAGAGAGCCCATGGTCACGCCTTGTCCAAAGCATCCCACGCCAGGGGATCCCATCCCTAGCACTCCTGTCCTGAAAGGAAGCCCCTCAGAGGCAAGGTGGGTCCAACCACCTCCCATGTGTTCTCTCATCACTGTGTTCCAGCAGTCACCCCAGTTAACAGTCCTGATGGGACTGGATGTGGCTCAGAATGTCACCCTCATGAGCTCTACCCTGCTCCAGCTGCAGTTCTGCAGTGGGAGAAACACAAAACCTCAAAACACATGAACATGAATGAAAAGAGCAAGAGCCAGAGCCCAAACAGGCCAGGTGTGGCAAGGACAGCTGGAGTGGCTAGGTTGGGACTCAGAATTATGTCAGTGGGGTGGCATTGCTGCTGGCACCAGCATGATAACAGAGAGCCAGCCCTGCTCATTTTGGGGAGCAGTGTGTTGGGGAAGGCAGCAGAAATTGAGAGGCAGGATTGAGTTTGGCCCTAGGAGGAGGTTGGGTAAAAGGCCAGTGTGGGTTGGAGGGCCTGGGCAGATAGAGAGAGGCCAGGGCACACCCCAAAGCCTGGAGACAGCACTTGATGTCCAGGGTTGTGAGACACCACCTCCCCTCTTACTCACAACTGAGAGCAAGAGGCATTGATCAGTTCAGTTTGTGTGCGGCTGCATCCAAGGTGGCTCGGCTAGGCACCTCTGTTTCCTTGACTCAGGAGGCTGGGAGTCCAGGCTCCACTGAGGCTCGGCTGGGAGGATCAGAGTCTGAGTTTATGCCTGTTTTCCTGGTAATATCCATGTTGGCTGAGCCTCAGTGTTTTTGTAATGAGAGGATGGGTGACTGTCATGTCTTTATCACAGGACACACTTGCTAAATGGATTTGTTTGCTCTGAGGAGGAAAGAGAGAGAGGGAAGTGGTGCTGGAGACAGGGATGCAGACAGGGGTCATGGACTTGGCATAACTCAGTCTTGGAGATGATATCCCATCACCTATACCCACTTCAATTCCCATGAATCCAGAGGCTGAGCCCCCTTGAGGTGAGGGGTGAACTGGTTCTGGGCAGCAGGATGCTGTGGTACCTCGGAGTCTCTGTGAGACCCCAACACTTGAGGCACTTGGGCCCTTTGGAATTCTTAGGAGAAGCCTTGGGAAGTTGTAGGGCAGAGGGGAGCAGCCTCTGCATCTCAGTCGCCTCCAACTTGCCATGGTGCAGAGTGGGAACTGCAGCCAGGATAGGACGGACATTGGCCACGTCCCTGTGTGGGACACAGGCCTGATTGAGTTGGGGTGCATTCTTTGTCTCTCCCCTTCTTGTGATTGTCCCATCTCTACGTTTGTGCTTTAGCCACCTGTGAGTCCCATCTCTGGTTTCAGAGAGAATAGAGGGTGTTATGGGCCAATAGACACAATAACCCCTAGAGATTAGATGCTACCCTGCTTTCCAGAAAAGACTGGGCACACCATGAGTTGCACAATGATGGGACCAGGGTCCAAAAGCTGCTGAGAGGGAAGGACTGGTTGTGAATGCATTTTTGAAGGCTCCAAGCTGGAACTCTAGTGGCACCAAGCAGGGCAGACGCTGGTGGGGGTATTTGGGTAGTTGTTGGTGAACACATGCGCACCATATATGGGTAGGCATGGAGGAGAAATCAGCAGCCCATAGGGCTTTTGAAAGTGGTCTTATGTGAAAAGAGGCTCAGGTATGGGCACAGGAAATGACATCATCGCCTTGACAACGGATCAAACAGAACATGGAACCCTGGTATCCAGGCACCCACTTCACTGACCAAGCCATCCGAGCTCATTTGGTTGGAGACACTGAAGTGAGAAGGATGTTCTCCTGTGGTTGCAAACAATGCCGAACCTCAGGCTCCCAGGAATCTCAGGGGGGCCCACTAGCCCTTTTGTGGATACACTGGGTGAGGCTTCATCTTAGACGCCAGAGCCTCTGGCGATTGTCGCAGAGGAGCTCAAGAGTAACAGTGAGTAGCACAGGGCAGGGGAGCCCAGCAGGCCCTCTAGTCTGATCCCTGATGAATGGCCCAGGACTCCTATTCTGACTGCGTGTGTGTGTGTGTGTGTGTGTGTGTGTGTGTGTGTGTTTGTACTGGTGGGAACTGTCCCATTGTGCTTTGACTCTAGTGTATTGGCACAAGGCATTTTTCTGTTTGTCACCATTTTCATTTTGAACCCACCATTCTTGGTCCCAACCCAGGGTGAAAATGATCAGAACACGGAGGAGCCCTTCAGGGTACAGAGCCTTGAATCTTACAGGCAGGACCAGCTTAGGAATGAGCTCCTGCCTGACATTTGTGGGAGGAACCTACATTTCCGCAGCAACATGGGGTTAATCTCCTGGGATTTCATCCCCACCCAGCAGGTGCTGGATCTCTTGTTCCCAACGTAAGCACCAGACCACCAAGCCCAAGTGTGTAGCCCCCTCATGCCTGGGTCTTGGGGCTGCCATGTACCTCTCAGGGACCCAAAGGTTTGTGATACCTAGTGAGATAGAGGACCACGCTCATAGTGGAATGTCAGCCCCGAGTGGGACGAGTCCTGGAGGTGCCTGCCACAGCCTTGCAAGGGGAGTGAACTTCCCTCTCAGGCAGAGAAACCATCCTGACTCCAGCTGATCCACAGAGGTCCGTGGAGCAGTCCCCACACACTGGGCACCACAGCTCAAAGGTATGCGCTGAGCTCATTCCCAGGTGGACTCAGTGAGGCCAGGTGGTCTTTCTGGTGTGATGTTGGCTTCGTGAAGAAAGTAGATCTGTGCCAGAGGCGTCTCAAAACTCGGGCCTTGGGCAAAGCACTTTTGGGTTAATAAAGACATGTTAGTTTCCATAGTGGGCCAGAGCTTCCTAGCTGGGACATAGGTGGACGGGGGCTTTGGAGATGGCAGCTCCCACAACCAGAGAGATATGTGGGAATCAGCAATTTGGGCTCATTTACTGATGAACAAGGAGAAAGCACCCACTGTATGAAGACACGTTTCCAGTCACATTTCATAATTCAGTGAAAAATGGGGTGCAAATGACTGCCATTGTGTCCCTTTTCATGGGGGTCAGCCTGAAACCGCAGGTGCCATGAGTACATATCCTACATGTGACAGCATCCCTGACTCCATGAGGCATAACTGCACGTTGTCCTCTTCAGTTAACATGGTGGACCCTGGACCAACTTCAACATGGAATGGGCTTGGGGTCAAGAGGGTGGGCCCCTGTTTCCAGAAGAGGAACCTGCAAGGTGATTTTACTTGGGAAGGTTGAGTAAAGACTGTTCTCCCCAATTCTGTTTCCTGCATGCGGTGTAAGCTGTGGGGCTTCAACAGTAGGAGGGGTAAGGCAGGGAGTTGTAGGTAGTCATGGTCCTCTGGGGAAGGCCCTGGGGCGATGGATCCCCCCACACTACACCTCCCAGTCCTCCCCCAGGGCCACAGAGATGTGCTCTGCACTCATGGGAAAAGAGAGGTCCATTGCTGCCCAGGGGGACTCAGTGAGAGCTCACAGAGAATGAGGTAGCATTGCAGCCCACGCCAGGGGGGAGGTGTCTCTGGAGCCCTGAGAAGAGTGGGCAGGAGGACAGACACTCCTGGAAGGTGCATTCCAGGTTGGAGAGCACGTAGCCTGTACAGCCACTGTGACTTGTCTGGGGTGGACTGGTGTGTTCAGAACCAGGGAAGGTTCAGGAGTGTAGCGTCAGAGGTTTGCTCTGGAGGCCGTGGCGAAGGCAAGGCCAGGGTTTTGCTGACTCCCCTCCTGCCTCCCCACAGTGCCTCACCTTCCTTCCCGGGGACCTGGGTGGACTTCTACACCGAGGCTTCCCATCAGCCTCCAGGCTCTCTGAGTCTGCAGCTGCTGCTGCAATCCATGTGGCTCATTCTGGGTGGCTTGAACCTGGAGCACCAAGCACACCACCTGCTGGCCCAGACTGAAGATGGCAAATCAAGCCAGGCAGAGCCTGAGAGCCAGGCGGACTGGGGTGAGTACCTAAGGGTATATGAGGAAAGGTCCGACTGTTGTCCCACTGCGGGGAGTCTGTATGCGTGGTGTTGGGCTGGAAATGAGGATAAGCCTTTGTCCACTCAGGAAGTGACCCCAGTCTGCAAAGAGGTCCTGTGTGGGCTAAGGGCCTGAGTTCTTCCTGGCAGCAGGGGTATTGTCTGTCTGTGCGAAGGTCAGGGCAAGGCAGTCATGTTGGCATCGTTTCTCCTCTAGCTACAAGCTCAGTTCCTGTCACGGCTCCTAAGCCAACCCCAGAGCCAGAGCCTTCTCCCTGGGAAGGGGCAGAGCCAGAGTCTAGGACATCAGGGGTCTCCACTAGGAACTCCTCACGGCCCCAGTACAACAAGCGGGTGGGAGGCAGCTGCCTCATTCACGTCTACCTGGAAAACGAAAGGACAACAAAGTATAAGAGCATCCTGGTGAGTCTTCCAGCAGGGGAGCCTCCTGGGAGCCCACACTGGGGAAGACCGAGTCCACAGCAAACACCTTGGACTAGGCCTGTCTTCTTGAATTGGAGCTTCTGAAAGGTCAGGAAGGAGAGCAGAAAATGAGGAAGAGAGAGTTCGGTGTTAAGAGCTTGACCTGAGAGGCGGGGAGCAGCAGCATGCCAGGTCTGGGTGGGAGTGGGCCTGCGTGTTTTGGGGTGTGCAGGCCAGAAGTGCAGGAGCGAGTGCTGGGTTTAGTGGAGGTCAGACAAATATCGAGGGTACAGGCCGTCCTCTACTGACCTTGGTATTGAGGAGGAGTATATTGAACAGTGGAGGTTGAAGCAGAGGAGTTGGCAGTCATTTTCTTGTGTGTGGGAGGGGATATGTTGCTGGTTGAAGAGAAGGGAGCCATTGTGGGATGATTAGGGTGGGTAGGTGTGGGTCACAGACAACTGGGGGCCTTGGAGGGGTCCATTAGTGTCCTAGTTTGCATGTATGTGAATAGAGAGTTAGCGGCTCTCTCTGCAGAATTTTCCTGGGTGTGGAGTATCCATCATGAGACTCTGGTGTCCAGCTGCAGGGGAGCCATGTTGAACCACCTCACCTTCTGGGTCCATACCTCCTGACACCCCAGCAAGCACTGACACTCTTGAGGCCAGCAGCTTCCATGCCTATCATTAAAGAGTCCTGAGTGTGTGTTGTGCCCTGGCTGTCAGGACCAAAGCACCTAGGGATTGTTCCTGATCTGCACACAAATGCTGCCGCATCCCAGACCAGAGCAGGGATATGGAAGCTCACTGGACCATACCTCCCATCTTGACGGGACTAGAGTGTGTCTGTGCAAAGCCTGTTTGGTCCTTGTTCCCTTCTCCCTGTAGGGCATAGCAGGTTCAAACAAACTCTTGTACCAAGATTGGGCTAGAAGCACATAGGAAGACCCCACATGATCACATGAAGGCCTCAGGTAGCAGGGTAACAAGATGGTGCCCTTGTGTTGAGAGCTCACTTGTCTCTGATTGTCCTTGAGCACTGTCCTCTGGGTAGCTACTCCCCAATTCCCTCTCTGATGCGCTTTCTCCAACCCTGCTCAGGTGACCTGCCAGGACAGGGTTCCAGTCATTATCCGCAGGGCCCTAGATGCACACTTGCTCCAGCAGGAGGATCCAGAAAACTTTGAGCTTCTGCAAATTGTCTCAAACCATCAGAGTAAGTGGAACAATCAGAGGGTAGGGAGCAGTGAGTCACAGTGGGCTCAGGATAGCTGGGAGCCAAAACACAGTGTGCGTTGGCCCAATGCCCAGGAAGAGTATGGTGGGACTTGTGCGCGAAACAAAGTGTAATGATGGGGCATAAGTCTGCAGGTTCTTCATGTTCCCCAGGGGCTGTGGACCTGCCTACCATGTGTTCTTTCCTTGGTCTGAGGAGGCATTGCAAAGCTATTATCCATGAGGGGCCAAGAAGAGAGGCTCCTTTGTCTTGTGTCAAAGAAGACAGACAACCACAGGGTGCCTACTTTGGCAGCCTTTCCTGACTGAGATGAGTACATGAGAAAAGCAGTTCAATGAAGAATCATTTCTGGCTTCCAATCTTTCTATTCATTGCAAACTGAGTCCACTTAGGACCAGAGGCCATTTCTAGAGAGAAGTGTGTGGTAGAATAGAACACTTCACAGCTTGTAAACTCTTCTTGGAAAGAGAGAGAGAGAGAGAGAGAGAGAGAGAGAGAGAGAGAAAGAAGAAGAAGAAGGAGGAGGAGGAGGAGGAGGAGGAGGAGGAGGAGGAGAAGGAGGGAGAGGAAGAAGAGGAGGAAGAGGAGGAGGAGAAGGAGGAATAGAAAAATGAAATGAAAATGAGTTGAAGGAGGAGACAATGAACAAGAAGGTCAAGATGACTATAAGAAGAAGCATGAGGAGAAAATGAAGAAGGACAAGAACAAGAAGGAGAAACACAAGCCAAACAACTAATATCACAATAAATCGATTAAAAATGTGAATGAGAATTATACTGATGAGGAGGAAATGCAGAAGTGGGGAACTCAAGAGAAACATATTTCTCTGTATGGCACAGCCCTGCTGTGGACATCCTCCACCCACGCCCAACACACCTCCAATCCATACCCCTCAAATTAGCATAGCCCTGTATGAGTGGATGAATCCACTGGCAAGGTGGAGGCACCCACCTTCAAGTGCTTTTCCCCAAACCCACCTGTGATCATTGCTGCAGTGGGGAGAAAACCTTCAACACATGAGTCTTTGGGGGCCAATCCAGATGCAAAGTCTAGCTGTTTCTCTTTAGCAGGTTAACGTGAACTGAGAGGTTCTGGGGTGCAAGGGGCTATTTCCTTGAAAGGTGTTCCTGTAGTGGACCTCCTGTGCACAGAGGGTCCTCAGGGAGGAATCAGTGGGGAGTCTTTGGTGGAACAGTAGCTGGATTTGCGGGCTCTCAGGTCTGTGTGTGAGACCTGAGCTGGCAGAGGCTCTCAGTTGTGGGGGATGTTGGGTAGTGTCTTCCTTGAGTGTCACCTACCATGCCTCTGCCCCTGCCTCTCCAGAGCTGAGGATCCCTGCTGATGGGAAAGTATATTATGCCCTGGATGGCAGAGTGGATTATAACTTTCTTCTTCGGGAAACAGCTGCCAGCAAGTGGTTCAAGGTCAAGCCAAAGGAGGTAAACAGCCACCTTCTTCAGTCTTTACTCCTGGTGCCACTCCACATCCTCCAAGGTGACAAGAATCTCAGGTTCTGGATGGATGTTGTAGAACGCCCATAGAGCCAACTGCCAGGCTGGGTGGGGTTCAGTTGGTAGGCTTTGCTGATGTTGTCATCCCCCACAGTTCTTGGAGCCTTCTATGGCAGTGGCATCCAGGATCCCAGCAGCTGTGAGCAGCAGCTCTGCAGTGGCTGCAGGACCATTGCCCCAGGCCACCCAAAGCAATGAGTGCTGCATGAGAAAAGTCACCAGTAGCAGCTCCTCACTGCTTCACTCCAGCGAGCAGGTGGAAGACAGCCGCTTGGTTCACGTCCTCCTAGAGGGACAGAGCCCGAGGGAGACAAAGCGCATCCTGGTAAGCCCGACAGCAGGGCTGCCTCCTGGGTGTCCACACAGTGGAAGGCAGGAGACACAGCCAACCCCGGGGCAGTCAGGACCAAAATTTTCAGTGTATCTCCCTCTTGCACCCACAAAGGCAGCCTGCATCCCAGAGCACACTTGGCACGCAGGTCCCTGGCCCATTGCTCTCATCTCAGTGAGATGAGAGTGTGTCTGTGCATAGGCAGTTTGGTCCTTTGACCTGAGTGGAATTTGACTCCCCAGGGGGAGGGGAGATGGCAGGTACAGGCGGACATTTGTACCAAGATTGTTCTAGTAGCACGTTGCAAGAACCCAGGGGGTATATGGAGGCCACACTCAGGTAGCAGGATAACAAGATTGTGCCCTTGTATATATAGCTGAGATTTCTCCTGAATGTTTGACCAGAATCTTATGGGTAGCTCCTCTAAAACCCATTCTCTGATGACATTTGTCCCACCCTGATCCAGGTGACCTGTCAGGAGAGGGTGACGAGCCTCATCCGCAGGGCCTTGGACCAAAATTTGTTGCAGCATGAGGATGTGGACAACTTTGAGCTGCTGAGAATGATGTCTCTGCATGAGAGTAAGTAGGACAATCAGACAGTGGGGAGAAATGATCCACAGTGGGCTCAGGGTAACTCACAGCCAAGAGAAAGTGGGCCTTGGCCCCAAAATAGCCAGAGTGTGGTGGGCCTGGTGCAGGAAAGCAACTGCAATGATGGGCGTGTCCAATGTGGAGGTGCTCAATGAGGCCCCAGGGGGCTGCTGGACCTCCCTAAATGTGTTCTCCCCTGGACCTGGTCTGGCAATGCAAAGCTAATATCGATGAGGGGCAAGGAAGAGAGAGGCTCAATTGATCATCAGTTTGGTTTATGGCTCACTGATAAGGATGCCTTCAAATGAAGAGGAGGAGAACATGGGTCCTGATTGGATCAGCATTGCTATGGACGGAAGCAGCACAGGTCCCAATCCATAGCCAGGATATGAGAAGTCCTGCCTACTCACAAGAATGTCAGGATTGCAGCAACTGGGAACAGAACTCAGTGAAGAGGAAGTCAAGGCCAGGGGACACCTGTTTGGGTTCTTTTTGGAACAATTCCAAGTCCTCTGTGCCTGGGTTACCATCTCCTGAAGATATCAGAATGGCCAGGTTATTATTCCTTCCAGCAACTAAGAAGGGCATCTGAAGAACATAGGCCACAATGCTGAGCTGTCCACAATGCAGTGCTCTTTCCTTTCTTGTGAGCCAGACACTCCTAGCCTCCACCATCCCAGCCTGTCCACAATAGAACCCACCATCTGTCGGGCATGTAAGTGAGTTTTCTCATTTTCAAACACCACCTCATTTGGGTTGGCTCTGTCTTACACATGAGGAAGACTGAGGTGCAAGGAGCTAGCAAGGGGGCAGTGTCTGTGAATCTCAGGGACTTGGGAGGCTGTGCAGGAGGATGGGGATTTCCTAACAGCCTCAGAAACTTAGGGAGACCCTGTACCCAAGTCAAAAGGCCTGGGAATGGTCTCAGTGCTTAAGTGCCTCTGGTTTTATCCCTGGTACAAAAATAAGCCAGTCAATAAGGAATTACCCAACTGAGATTCTACGAAGGTGATTTCAGAAACACACTTTCAACCCAAGCATCAGTTGAGAGCAGCTCCAGACCAGGGGAGGTTTGTGTGTAACAGACATCAAAAGTGAGGACTACCGGGGGCCTGGAACCCACTAGGTGTGATGGCATCTATGCCTTATGGCAGGAGGGTGGCAGTGATGCTGGCCCTCTCCTAGATCTTGAAAACCTTGTTTTCATTGGGGAAGCTTTTTGGAGGGGGAATCTATTTTAGCAATCCTGGTCCAGATGAGGTGTTGACTACCACAGGTAGAAGCCTATCCAGAATGTGGTGTCTGTTATTCAGTCTTTCCTGACTGTGACAATGACAAAGAAAGGAAGTCACTTTTCTTTGGTCTTGGTTTCACTCCCGACCATTGATTGAGAACTGATTTCATCTTGGGGTTCTGAACCGAGGCTGCATCTGGGCAGAAGAGTGTGATAGATTTGAACTCCTCAGAGGACGCCCAACCATTGCCAGAGAAAGAAGGAGGAGGAGGAGGAGGAGAAAGAGGACATTCCTGAATGGGGAGAAGATCACACATTGAAGAGCAGGAGGAAGAAGAAGAAAAGGAAGGAGGTGAAACAGAAGGAAGGGTGGAGGGAGATACACAAGAAAAAGAACAAGAAGGAATCATGTAAGAACAAGAAAAAGACCCAGAAAGAACTACAAGAAGATGCAGGACAGAAAGAAGAGCCAGAAGTAGAACAAGAACCAGAATACAAGCACCAAGCAGACAGCTCATGATGAGAAACAATGGGAAGGAGAGCGAACCTAGAAAACTATAGAGTTCTCCAGGGATCACCCTGCTGAAGTCCTCCCATGTCCATGCCCAACACACCTCTGATGGATACCACCTCCCCTCCGCGTATTCATCCATAAGTGGATTCATCCAAGGATTCCCTGAATGCCCATGTCTGAGCATGGCTGCACTGTGGAGAAAGGCTTAAGCACAGGAGCCTTTGCCAATCCTGATGCAAAGCCTAGCAGTGTCTCTTTGGCAGATCTGACCTGCACTGAAAAGTTCCGGGGCCCAAGGTGCTGTTTCCATTGTCAGGTGCTCTTTTGGTTTAGAATCCTGTACATCATCTTCTCCAGGGAAGAATCATTGAGGGAGTCTTTGGTGGCACTGTAGCTGGATTGGAGGGCTCTCAATTCTGGTGCAGGCCCGCCCTGGTGGAGACTCTCAGGGGTTGGTGGTGTTTTGTGGTATAATCCTTGAGTGCCACCTAACAATTCTCTCCACTTCTCTCTGCAGAAATCAAGGTCCCTGACCACTCACTCATGTATCTGTCCATGAATCCGCGAATAAAATATCATTTCATCGTGAAGAAACGCCCCCAGGTCAAGGGAAAGGAGGTAAACTCCTACCTTATTCAAGCTGTACTTGTGCTGCCATTCCACTTCCACCTGGGGAAATAAGAAGCTTCATGACCTAGACATATGTGCTAGAAGCCCATAGAGCCAACTGACAGGCTGGGTGGCTTTCTGTTTCTGAGCTTAGCTGATGTTCCATCCCCCACAGTTCTCAGAATCAACCTGCAAGTCCTCCAGGCCGCTTTCCCACAAGCTGGTGGGAGACACCTGCTTAATTCGTGTCCACTTAGAAACACAAAGTCCAAAGATGGCCAAGACTGTCCTGGTAAGCCTGGGAGCAGGGGTGTCCCCTGGTGCTTACACTTGGGTGGGGAACAGACACTGGCCCAAGACCATGGACTACTCATGCCCTCTTGAATTTGGAGCTTCTGGATGATCAGGAGGATAGATGGGAATCAAGAAGGGAGAGGTCAGTGTGAAGGGCCGGAGCTGAGATGAGGGAGAGCAGCAGCTTGTCCACCGCCATGTCTGAGGGAGTCTGTGTCGGGTGGAAGCATGCAGTCTGGAAGGGCAGGGGCAGGTATGGGTGACAGATGAGAATAGGACAGTACCTAGGTTGCAGGTTCCCCTGTATGGGATGCTGGCGTCCATGGAGGAGGACAGCAGTATGAGGTTCTGCATGTTCCTTGAACAAGGAGCTGAGAGGGTCTGTCTGCAGAGTCGATATGGATGTAGAGCAAGCACACTAAATGTCCAGGTAACCTGCAGGACAGGAGCCCTTTCCAATGACCACCCTTGCCGGATGAGGTGTCCTCCTACACCCCAGCCAGCACTGAGCCTCTGGAGGCCAGGAGCTCTCGTGGCTATCTTTCAGCACTCCTGTGTGTGGTCATGTTCCTGGGTCAATTTTGGGCCCTGGCAATCCAGACCAAAGCCTCTAGGTTTTGTGCCGGGGCAACCCCAAATGCCGCCTGCATCCTCAGGCAGACCTGGGATCTTGGAGGCCACTGTCCCATTCCTCCCAACTTGTGGGATGAGATTCCATGTGTATACAGGTAGTGGGGTCCTTTCACCTCGAGTGGAGTGTGGCTCCACAAAGAGCAATGGCAGGCCCAGGCAGTCCTATGTATAAGGATTGGCAAGTAGCTTATGGGAAGAGCCCACGCGATGAGCAGGAGGCCAGCCTCAGGTAGTAGGGTCATGGATGTTGCCTTTGTATTTAGAGTTGAGGTGCCTCCATAATGTCTCTGCCCACTGTTCTTGAGTAGTCACTTCAAGGCCCATTTCCTGAAGGCCTGTCTCCCATGCTGCTCCAGGTGACCTGCCATGATAGGGCTCCTGTCGTCATCCGCAGGGCCCTCGAGCTACACTTGCTTACTCAGGAGAAGCCGGAGGAATATGAGCTGGGCCAAATCATCTCTCACCGTCAGAGTAAGTGGGACAATCAGATGGCAGGGAGCAAGGGTCAGGATGTGGACTCAGATCAACTCTTAGCACCAAAGAGTAGTCTCTGACCCCCAAGAACACTCCAACATGGTGTGTTGGGGCTCGTGCATAAAGCCAACTTCACTTCTGCAGGTGTAAGGTCTCGAGGTTCTATGGTATACCCCAGTGGCTATTGCGACCCCCCACCAGGTGCCCTCCTCTGGACATGAACAGGCATCCAAAGCTGACATCATTGAGGAGTGAGGAGGAAAGCCTCTTCCCAGGAGCCGTATGGCTCCATGGTCTGGGATAGGAGTGGTTTTAGAGGGACATGGGAATGCATGGGCTAAAGATGGAACTGGCACTTTTGTGGACTGAAGCAGTACTATTGAAAGCCTTCTTTGTGACCAGAAAACCACTGCCTGGGCAGAGTAGTGCCAGGATTCTAGCAAGCAGTAACTGGATGAAATTGGAAAGAAAATACAGGCTGGGAGACAGCCTGAATCATCTGTTTTTGGATAAATTCCATGGTCTTCTGCACCTGAGTCCACTTGCCAAGGAGTGATCACCATAGCCAGGTTAAGAACCCTAACTAAAGTCACATGAGGGCTTCCTGAGCATGTCGGCCACAAAGCTCATCTGATAGTAATGCCAGAGCTTTTTGGTTGGTTGGTTGGTTGGTTTTTGTGAGCCAAACACCACAGCAGCCATGATCCCAGCCTATGTACGCTGAAGACCACCATCCCTATGAGTTCTAGGATCAATTTTCTCCTATCTTAACGTACTGTTAGGTCAGTAGAGCCTTTGGAAGAGGAAGTCTGTCTGAGGCCTTGGTAGCCTAAGAAATTCATAGCAGAGATCCCCGCATCCAACCCAGAAGGGATGGAGAACAGGCTGTAGGTTAGAGGAGGGTGGCAGGAAACAGGTGTCAGAGGAAGGAGAAGCTGGCTGTTGTATTCCCCCACTCGGGGTCATGGCACCACTGGGCCATACACCATGTTGGAGGGAAGCATTCCCTTTGCTGGTCTTCGGAACCATTGTTCTTAGTAGGGCAGCATTTGGGATGTGGCCTCCATTCTCGGAGGCTGGTCCACATGGAGGCAGGCTCCACCAACACAGAAGCATGGCTCTAATGTGGTATCTGTGCTGGTCAGCCTGTCCTCACTGTGGCCATACTTGAGGAAAATAACTCAGAAGAGGAAGCCTAGGCCTTTTCTCTGGGTTTCATAGCTTTCTCTTCGGTTGTGCCCTGAGGGTCTCCATAACGCTCTAGTGTGTGGCAGTGGAGAGCTCCTCAGCCCTTGCCAAACAGGCATAGAATGGGAGAGAGAATGAGGCTGGGAGAGAGGAAGAAGAGGGAAAGACAGAGAGGAGAAGGAGGACCTCTACTTGGAGGATGAGGATTCAGTGGAGCCAACAGGGCCAAGGTACTATTGCCCAGGGCGCAACCCTGCTGAGGTCTTCCTCCAACCTTACCCAACCTTTCTTCCAGTCCCTCCTACCTCCCAGTAGTATGTTCATCTTGAATGAGAATTTCATGATGACATCAGAGCACTCACCATCGAATGCTTCCCTCCAAAGCCACCTATGAAGATGGCCCATGTGGGGTCTGAATCTTTGGCACAGGAACCTTTTGTGGGAGATTTCAGATGCAAACCCTAGTGGTGTGCTTTGGCAGATGCAAGAGGACCTGGGATGTTCTGGAGTCCAAAGCCTTTGGTAGGAACAGACATTAGGTCTGTTGAAGTGCTCTGCCTAGTTTTTCCTCAGGGAGGACTGTGGAGGCTGTCTTTGTTGGTATTGGTGCTGAATTGGAGAGCTCTCAAGTGTGTGGCTCAGGTCATTTCTGGCACAGGCTCTCAGATGTTGGGGTGTCCTAGGGAGCACCTCCTGAGTGCCACCTTCTTTTTATACACCCCTCTCTCCCCAGAGCTGAGGATTCCAGCGCAGGCCAATGTATTTTATGCAAAGAACCCTCACACAGAATCCAACTTTGTGCTGAGGAAAAGGAGCCTCTCCCAAAAGAATGATGAATGGATCCAGCCTCAACCTCCCTCTCGTCCTGCAAAGAAGGCTCCAGCCCTCCTGAGGATGCTTGCAAAACCGTTCTACTGCTGTGTGCCTGGGCGGGGCTGAGGCAGCCCAGGAATATTTACATCGATTACTATTTGCTTCAAAGTTTGAACCTTTAGTTTGCCATTGTCCTTGACCTTTTTTAGTAAGACAGTTGTTACTCTATCCTGTATTTGCTGTTTCCATTAATATATTATTATTTTAAAATATATATATTTTTTGTTACCTGATCTACTCTGATGATTTGAGTATATTAATGTAGCAGTGATTCCTAAAGGACACATCCAAACCAACAGGAAGGAATGTTTCATTCTATCAGCAAGAACTTTAGTTTTTAGGAGTATGGCAGATGGCATTATCTGAGTCAGTTTTCCAATGGGGGCAATGAAGTATTGGCTATCATGATAGAAAAACAAACAAAGACACACAAACACACACTAGAGCACACACACACACACACTAGAGCATACACACACACACACTAGAGCACACACACACACACACACACACTAGAGCACACACACTCACTGAGAGATAGATAGACAGATGGAGTTGGTCTCTCCTGAAATACTTTGGAGACGTGGTTCTGATTTCTCCCATTTTAGAGTATTTTCAATTGCATAAGGTGTCCTGCAAATGAATCCCATGTCTGAAGAAGACATGCATGTGTACTTCACATGCCACTTTTCACATAACCAGAAGGTCATGTCATGTAATATTTTTCTTGCAGCTGTGTTTTGACTGTGAACCATCCCATGAGGTCAGCTGTAGAATTTTCCACTGGTAGCATCACAATGGGGATCCACTCTTTGGATTTGGGGATATTTCTGATTTTCTTGATTCAGATTGCAATGATATATATATGGTTTTTGATCAAAATTGTGCATTTGATGATAATGAATGCCATGCATCTAGGAATCTGTAGACTCTAGACAATGAATGAATGTCTACTGTTGCCTGGACTGGTCTGCAAAGTCCTGTAGCATTTGAGCATGTGTGAGGGCTTTATGGGGCTTGCAAAATGGTCAGATGGTCCTACATGAAGCTGAGCTCCTAGTGGTCTCCTCCACAGCATAAGGGCCAAGGAGAAACCAACTTCCACACAGAAGATGGGAAGCTACCTTATGAAGGTGATCGTAGGTGTGGGACACTCTTGTTAGGACCCTTTTTCTATTGGGCCAGAACTGTGCTCTGAATGTGCTTGCTGAGAAGAGCTTGGAATTTTCTAACTGAAGCAGTTCGTGCAAGCTGCTTCCACTTGCAGGAACAAAGTGTGTTCTCCTTGAGCACTTTGGGTTGTCCCTGGTTGAACTAGAGTGTGTCAGAAGCACTTGTAATGATTGGCATTCATGGTTTCACATTGAAGCCTCTGTGCCATCTGTCAACCACTGATGGCTGCAAGTGGGGCCGTGACATTCAATGAGTTTTCTGAAAAAGTAGGAGTTTTGGAGAACTGATCTTCTCAGCATTCCCCTTGCCTCCCCAAGTTGGGTGATGTCAATTATAAGGCTTCCTTGGGAGCACACATTTTATATTGGGCTGGAATTGGACTCTGGATGTGATTGCTGAAAATAGCTGGGGAGTGGGAGAATGGAAGCTATCTGCTGCAAGCAGTTTCAATTTGCTTTGTTGATTAACTTTGTTGTAAGTGGGCACATGCTATTTTTTTCTGTGTGACCTAGAAGAAATCAAAACTGCTTCTTACAGGTGACAGGCATGCTTTCACATTGAAGCCTCTGTGCCATTGATCAAAAACAGTTCACTCATGTGGCACCTGTACTTCAAGTGAATGTTGTAAACAAGTGTGACAAATGGCTCTCAATGAGACTTTGGAGAACTGATCTTCTCAGCTGGTCCTCTTTTGCCCTGCAAGTTGGTGATGCTAGATTCAAGAGATCTCTTTCTTGCACCCTTCGTATTTCATTCCTGAACTGTGCTCTGAAAGTTCTTGAGGAGAACAGCTTAGAAGTGCAGAAGTGAAGCTGTTTGTGGAAGCAGCTTCAAGTGGCACAAGCTAACTTGTTCTCAGTGAGCACATGGGGATTTTTCCCGGGTTGAAGCAGTGTGAATGAGAATGGCTTCTCAGAGCTGGTAGGCATGTTTGCATTTGGCAAACTTTGCCATCTGTCACCCAGAGTTCCTTGCATGAAACCTGCATTTCCAGTGTTTTCAGAAAGGTCTGATGAGTGGTTTCCATGGAATTTTGTGGAATTGATCTTTTCAGCAGTCCTCATTGCCTCCTCAAAATTGGTGATCCTGGTGCAAGGACTCTCTTGTCAGCCAATATTGTATTTTGGGCGTGACCTCGGCTCTGAATGCACTTGCTGTACTTCCCATCTTTCCTCTCTCTGGTCCATTCCTCAGATCCCATCCTCCTTTCAATAGGGCCTCATCCAGGAAGCCTGCCCATGTGCCTCCCACTTGATTTAAACTTCTCCAGTGCACTTGTTGTCAAAGCAGGGACTCCGAGGAGAGAGGGGCTCTCCATTCTCCACACTGATGTCTCTCAGCAGGGAGGACTCCTCCATGCTTGGATGGCAGGGCTGTGATCACCTGGAAGGTGGAAATAGGAGGCTTCCAGGGGGCTGGTGGTGTTCCTAGCCAGGGTGCTGGTCACTGCAGTGTATTTAATCTATGGACCTCAAGGAGCCTTATGCTGCAGATTTGTGTACTTCTGTATCTGTATGCACACAGTTCTTCATGTGGGGGAAAAAAAGGAATGTTTCCAAAGTTTGCTTTATATTATACTCAACTGGTAATTTACAAACCCCAGTGTCCCATCTTAGCCCAGAGATATTCCATCATCCCAGGGCCAGTGGGTGGTCCAGGGGTCAGTATTATGTACAGTTCCCAGGTGGTTCCAGTGTGCAGCTGAATTTGAGAGCCAGTGTACTGTAGGATTTTCCCCTTGAGGTAAGAACTCATTGACTTCCTCTTATGTCATTTGACTGGTTCAGGATATTCCTTGTCTCATTAACTATCTGTGAAATCTTCAAGTTAGCAATCTCTGGTCATTTCTACCCTCTGATGGCACCTGGTTCAACAGCTTGTTGTTGGGTGGGGTCGGTCATGGGCAGTCCTGGGTCACAGAGAGGGACAGGAAGACCATAATGTGAAATAGTGGTGTAGAGAGTAAGGGTGGGGCCAGAGCCCACACTGTGGTTAGGGTAGGGAAGGGATCTGAAGAGACTACCTTGAAAGTGAGATCTGGCTGCGTTAACCAGGAATCAGGGCCTGAAATTGGAAGCAATGACAGGGCTTCTGACTAGAAATGACACATCTTTCTGGGCTGAGATGGAGGTCCATCCAGGCAGAGGAAAACACAGCGGATGTAGGAGAGGGGGATGGTCTAGATCACAGAGCAGCTCCATCATCATATCATAGAGAGTGAATTTTTTTCTTCCAGTTGTTGGTAAATGCTAATTCATTCACGTGTTACATTCACATCCACCTCGTCCATCGGAAAGGCCGCTCAACCACCACAGGCAGTGATATCTTGGTGGATGTGTGCATTCTAAAAGGAGGTGAGGTTGGCGCCAATAGAGTGTGTGGGCACTCAGGCATTGGCAAGCTTGCTTTGGAGAGAGAATCCTCTAAATGTTATTGGGCTGGCTTTTGAAAGCTCGTGTGGTTTGGCTAGATGTAGAATTCTTCCACACAATTAAGCATGGTGTATATTTTAGAGAGCATGATCACTGAGGGGCATGTTGCGGGTGTGAAGCCGTGAGCGTTAACATCTATCATGTTTCTCACCTGGAGTTGGCTACCTACAACTGGTGACAGTGTTTTGCTACTGCTGAGCAATACTGAACAAGTCTCTGGCCCAGTAATCCATTGCTGAACTACATCACCAACAAAAAGACATTGAGTGAAATTGAGGATCAGAAGAGCCCGGGAACCACCTGACAGCTGCCTTAAAGTCCTGAGCTCTGGCACATCATATGCCAACTCAACTGGGTATCAACCTTGTCTTCCTGGGCTCATTAGAACTGTGTGCTTCAACTTTCAGAAGCAAATGCAGAATGATAGAATCTTCTCTGAGGACACTTTTCGAAGTCTTGTTTGCAGCACGTCTTCTAAGTCTTATTTGCAGCATGTCTTCATGGAATGAGTAGTCGTTTGGCATTCTGTTGTACTTAAAATTTCATGAGATTCTGCCCCTATTTGGTAGCTTGTGTGAAAGAGACTCGGCCTGAATGCATTTTACATGCCAAAATATGGCTTGTCTTTTCTCCTAAACCTATCAGGGCAGTCAGAGCAGCCAAGGAGTACTATCAATTCAGGCATAAAATGGCCAGATAGACTGGGATCACTGTACACCTTTCTAGAACCTTCTTGCATGCTCTGGCTTCCCTGAGGTAAAGTGTGGGGACCCTGCGATCCAGATTGGTTAGCAAGTAGTGTTCTTGGGAGGCGATGCTAGAAAACTCCAGGTGGAAACAGGAAGTGATTAGGAACTGGAAGACAGGGGTGTACCAGCCAGTTGTTGTCACTGAGTGACTAAGCACAGTCCTGATAAGGAATGCTGGAGGTCCATGTAGATCATGCTACTAATAGAAGTCCTCTTACAGGGTGAGAGAGCTGGGGTGTTCTCCACCCACTCCTTCCAGCCATGGCAGGAAGCTGCTGCTGGCCTGCACTGTAGGCAAATGGGCCATGGTGCTGGGGGCTGGAGGTCAGCTGGGATGGGAAGAAATGGCATAGTGCTGGACAATGTCATCCAGCTTTGAATCCCTGGGATCTTTAGCAGGGCAAGGTCAGAGACTGTGCTCAATGTAGCGTCTACTTCTCAGCATAGTGCCAGGCGCACAGCGGACCTTCATCAATACCCGTGGAATGCGCTGGCTGTCACCAAATAGTGATTCACTGCAGGGCCTTTCCCAAGTCCTCTTCTACCTCAGAGTGCCTGTGTCTCGCAGAGAGTTAACCAGCTTCCCAGGCCCCACTGGAGTTCCTGGTTTTGCCAATCTGGGGTGGGGTCTGAGAATGTGTGTTTGTAACAAGGTCCCAGGTGACCCTGAAGGTGATGGGTCTCAACACAAGTGACTTTCCCCCTCCCCTGGGGTCATTTGACAATGCCTGGAGACCTTTTGTGTTATCACAAGAGTGCTAGTGCAAAACTCAGGTAGAGGCCATGGGTGCTGCTGAATGTCTACACTGCACGGGGAAGACCTCTGCAGACTAAGAAGGATCTGGCCTGATGGGCCAAGGGCGCCAAGGTGAGGAACCCAGTGTGGAGTACAAGCACATGAACTTGGGTGTGTGCAGGTATGGCCTTGGGGCTTGTTTCAAAGGTGGCTTCTGTCAGTGCAAAACTCCAGCACCTCTGAGTGGCAGCGTTTCTAACAAGCTCTGAGCAGGGATGTTGGTGCTGCTGACCAAGGGACCCCATTTTGAGTAGCCAAAGTGACATGGAGTTCTTAGGACACCATGAACTTCCCAGAAACGCAAAGTGGACATCTCCTGCATTAGTTCAGAAGAAAAGAAACTCTGAGTTTGAATAATCCTCTTTGGACTCATCTAGTTGCAAGTTTGCCCTTAAAGCAGCGCTGAGACAGCGGGGCCAGGTTGGGGACAAAGCTCCACTCCTCTCCTAGCCGCAGGCAGAGGCCTGCTGAAAATGAGGAGGGTGCAGAGGTGGGTGAGAACTACCTTACTTCAGTCCCCAAGCATCCAGTCAAGTCTATTGTCACCTGGAATGGTGGCTTCTTTTCCAGGGGCCACGCTAGCCTTGGGGTTTGCATCTGCCTGCCTTTCAGTTCTGCGAATGGAAGGTGGGAACTGGCTGCTTGAGACACGGTTGCTCTCTTGGGAGAGGATATGGGAGAAATGACATGACGCCCAGCCCTCCAGAGCCCGCACCCCTGCCCCTGTGATAAATGGCAGAATTAACAAGGTTTGGTTGAGAGGGTCCCCACAGATTGGTGACTTCCCATGTCAGCCAGCAGATGTCACTATGGCTGGCAGAACAGAAGGCCTTTCAAGAGTGAGCTGGTGGGGAGGGGGAAGCAGAGAGGGGAAAATGGCATCAAATAGAAGGCAGAAGCCAAAACTACCCTTGGCCTAGCGGGCTATGGTCCATACTATCATTTTAGGAATGGGGGACATTCTCCAATAAACCCTCTATCTGGTCATGTCATTGAGGTCCTGCTTTTGAGATTTAGGCAGAAATTCTCCAGTGAAACACAAAGTTCCTGGCTTCTCTCAACTGAGAAAGCCTCCAGGTTTTGGCTCCTGGCCTATTTGTGTCATGAAACATTTTCTTGAAGGAAACAAACACTTTGCACTGAAAAAACATATATTTGATGTACCTTACCCACAGACATCATATTGACGGGTTTTAAAAATTGATTCATTTTACAAATTCAGCAGTGTATTCTGAAATTCCTTTGCTATACATATAATTTTACCCCTTTTGGACAATTATTTGATAGGTGTCATGGATGTTTTAATTGTTAGAATTTGTGTGTGTGTGTGTGTGTGTGTGTGTGTGTGTGGTTTGGAAACAGGGCATAAATTTGGCCTTCTTAATGGGCCATGTTAGTATACACAACTGCTCACACATGCTTAGCAGTAATTATAAGTTACATTTCCTTCCTTTAATCTTTTCCTGAAGATGTGCCTTTCATGTGTAAAGACAAGTGTTTTCAAAACTGACTCTCTGGACAGATCTTTGGGCTCAGATGGTCAGTGTTCCAAACTGTGCCAGAAAACACCAAACCTAATTTCACAGGCTGGGCTGTCCTTAGCTCTGGCCTCCAAATTCATTCCCCTTCCTGGCTGTACAACCCATGAGACTTGCCAGAAAGGAAGAGCCATGGAAGACTTTAAGGAGGACAGCCACAGGATCCTCTTTGCTCCTAGCCTCTTGAGAAAATAATAAAAACAATAACGTCAAGCAAACACATGGTCTAGAACCTTCTTCTGTAAATAATTAGTATTTACCATATTGATATGTGTGCCGAGGTCCAAATTTTATTTCTTTGAGAGAGAGAGAGTGTGTGTGTGTTTGTGTGTGTGTGTGTGTGTGTGTGTGTGTGTGTGTTTGATTCTTAAGAATCAAAGGCAGAGAACAGAGATAATTCTATTAGCTGCATCTGGATAGCACTTGGCCTCCTTTCCTAGCAGGGAAGGACCTGAAGTCAATGGCAGAGCTTGTTCGTGGTGGAGCCAAGTGTGTCTGCAGCATTTTCAATGCTAGAGCATCAGTTCTGAGAATTTTAGTATAGCACCTAATTTTTTTATCTTTTCAGCAACTTGCAAATGTAGGTGTTGAATGAGGGGTATCCATCAGAGGAGAAAAGCCATTGTTTTGGAGAAGCGGAATGTCTAAAGTCTTGTTAGAATAAGTGGAATGAGGTCACTTAAGACTTCAAGGAGAGACAGCAAAAGCAGGGGTGGGGGGTGTGGGTTATGGCTCAGAGTTAGAGCACTCGCCTCACATGTGCAAGGCCCTGGGTTGGATCCTCAGACCACATAAATAAATAAATAAATAAATAAATAAATAAATAAAGTTATTTAAAAAAAAGCAGGGGTGGGGTTGGATATACAACAAACCTCAGAGATGTTCCTTCCATGTCAGGAGGTAGCAGGACATTGGAGCAATGCCTGTGCATCCACTGCTCAGTTCCATCTTGGGGGCAGACCCAGCACAGCAAGCTGATGAGGGACAGGACATAGGAAAGCCATCTTTACTGCAGATGACACAACTGAGCCTCTGGGTCATCCCAGAGGATGAGGGGAGGCAGATGCAAGCCAGGCTTGGAGGAACCCATGGAGTACCATCAGGTGACCAACAGCCCGTTCAAAACTCTATTGTTCCTTAGAAAACTTGGAATGGAACCACCATTGGGCCCAGCTACTCCACTCCTGGGTCTATACCCAAAGGACTTAATATCAGCATACTGTAGCAATGCAGCCACCCCAATGTTTATAGCAACTCAATTCACAATAGCTAAACTGTGGAAGCAATCTAGATGTTCTACTGTGGATACAAAAAAATTGTCCTATATAAACAAAATGGACTAATACTCAGCATTCAAAGAAAATATAATGATAGCATTTGCAGGTAAATGGATGGAGTTGGAGACTATCATGCTAAGTGAAGTAAGCCAATCCCATAAACCCAGAGGCTGAATGTTCTCTCTAAGAACTGGATGCTGATCCCAAATGGGAGGAATGTGAGAAATGGAGAAATTTTGACCAAATGGGAGGGAGGGGAGGGGAGGACGTATGGGGCAGGATAGATGGTGGAATGAGATGGACATTATTCCCCCAGGTACATGGATGAGTAACATAGGGTGCAATGCTCCATGGTGTCCAATTAGGGAAATGAAAAGTTTTCTTGCAGTAGTGTACAATGAATCCAAATGCATTCTGCTGTCACATATACTGAATTTAAACAACTAACAAAAAACTCCTATGGTAAGAGAGCTTCCAGTCCTGGAGCACAAAGAGTACCAGGGGCGTCTGGGATAAGAGACAGAAGCAAGACAGAACGACACATGCCTGTGACCTTAAGCTTGGGGAATGGAATACAGTCACATAATAGAGGTAGAAAAATGGTTGTGAGCGATATTTTCCTAATGACTATTAATGCAGATGGCAATTGGTTGTTGGTGTCCTGACCCACAGCAGTCATTTTACAAGCAATGCCCATCCAGCGCTCTGTCTGGGCCTTGCTCTGGGCCACCACTCTCCCTGCCTGGCCTATGTCACATGTCCCCTTGCAAGCAAGAGGAGTGGCAGGCGCCTTTTCAGGGGCTCTGTCCTTCTGGGCAGCAGGACCGTCCCCCTGGCTGAGGAGCCATTTCCCATGAGAAAGCCCAGCATCCAGGGCCGCGTCCACAGGGTCCCACAGCCACGAGGGGCAGCCGCAGGCCTCACACCTAGGAAGTTGGGGACAGGTGAGGAGGCTAGTTAGTTGGTGTCCCACCCTAGGTCACCAGCTGAGCTGACAGCCTGGCAGGCAGGATGCCCGGAGCCCTGCCCTCAGCACACAGAGTTGGTCATAGAAGCGGGGTGGGGCCGTCGCCAGGGAGACGGGGGCGGGGCCTGTGCCAGGGCGCGAACTTGGAGCCCCAGTCAGCGGAGCTTAGAGGAGGAGGAGCCCGGAAGTAACTCCTGGTGGCGGCGCCCTGGGTCCTGGGTGGAGGGTCCGGCTGGCGAGGTCAGTGACAGGAGAAGGTGAGCTGGCCGGGAGCGGCCCCGGTCTAGGCGCCCACACGAGGGTGGGACCCGGGAGGACTCTGCCGCCGCCTTGGAGCCTCGGTCCGGGCTGCCTGTGCCCTGGAGCCGCCAGGGCGGTCCCCACAGCGCCCACCGCCCGAGCCCGCTGTCCGGCTCTCACCTGAGGCTCTCCTCAGCGGAGCTGCTGTTCACAGCTGGGTGGGTTTGACTTGCAGGGTCCTGGTCAGGATGCGGGGGCCTCAGCAGAGTGGCCTGGGCCGCGGACCTCAGAGGAGAAGAGGTGGCCTGACCCGCAGGCCCCCTGGAGAGTGGGAGGGCGACGGAGGAGCCCAGTGTGACCTGGGGAGCAGGAGGCCCCTTTAAAAGACAGACCCGCCCAGGTATTTCAGGTCTCACTGACTCTGTGTCCTTTTGTTTTCCTGTGGCACCTGTGGATTTTGTTTTAAGTCCTCGCTTTAAAAACCCTTTCCTGATTCCTTCTGTGTAGGTGACCCATCATTTTAAACCATGTTCCAAGGTCACTTTTTGGTGTATGTGTGGTTCTGGGGGTTGATCCCGGGGCCCTGAGCCTGTTAGGCAAGTGACCTACCTGAGCCACACCCTCAGAGACCCCTGTAAACGTTTTCCCCCTTGGCCTCGGGGTCTAATTGCCAAGGCTGACCTCAAGGGTTCCTCTTCCTCAGCCTCCCTGGTGGCTGGCGTGACAGGCATGCACCTGGGACTGTCACACTCTAGCCTGTGATGGGAACTCATGTGCATCTGTCCAGGGCTGAGCATGGTTATGCAGAGCTGTGCTCCAGGCTCCCTGCAGGGCTGTGGAGGCTTCTGCTGCCCAGCAGCCCTGGTGCCATGGCCAGGCTCCTCCCAGCCGAGGGCAGGCAGCTGCCCATTGCTGTAGGCGGACCTTATTTTCTTCTTTTTGTACATGTAACGTTATCTGCAGTATGTTGGATTGTTTGCCAATTACAAGTCTAACAGGTCCTCTAGAACCTTCAAACAATTAGTAAAATTCCTAAAGAGTAAGTGAGCATGCGCAGATTGGGCTAATGTTTTGGGAAGAACAGATGGTCTCATCTAAGCCCTTCACCATGCAGCACACAGCTCCATGCTTCCAGCCTACATCCTGCTTGACTATTCTTCATTTGTCCTGAACTAACCTAGTGTCAGAGGTAAAGACAGGGTCCAGAGACCCCTGTGTACTTTATTAACATCAGGTTTGCAAGCAAAAGATTAATGAGGAGCAAAAGAAGAACCCAGTGCATCTTGGGAAAATATAAGTAAAAGAAGAATAAATCAGTATCATCAAACAATGTGGATTCAGCCCCTTTGGTGGTGAGACACGCAGACCCAGGGAGAGCCCTCGAGGAGGGCCCAGCACAGCAGGAGAGACAGACAAGGACGTGCCACACAGCTGGAGGGGAGCAGCACCCACACAACCCTAAAGACCAGCCAAGCTTTGAAATGTCTCCCAGCCCCGCTCAAGAAGATGGCAGATGAGAAGGGAGGACAGGGAAGGGCTTTCCCACCAATTGGGGAAGCAGAGGGTCCCTGGGGGAGGTGGAAAGCAGCAGCAGCAAGTGACAAAGACCAATGGAAGGTGGCTCAAGGGCCAGGCTAGGAAGATAGCTCCTATGCCCAGAACCTGGGAACCCTGCAAGTCATCTCCCAAAAGGGCAACAGTGGGGGGACGAGGAATGAGGCCACTCTGTGCCAGAGGCAGGACAGCCTCACAGAATTCCTTACAAAGTGCCTCTGAGGTGTCAGAGAGCAGAGGGCTGTCCTGCAGGCCACACATCCAGTGGGAAGGACAGGGCTGGCCATGTTGCGCTGTGTGTGGGCGATCAGGACAGCACTGGGAAACCTAGCCAAGGCTGTGGCTGAGGGGGAGCCCCGGGGAGAGGGCCACACCATTCAGCAGGGCTGCAGGCCTGGCGGAAGCCACACAGGAATGGGAGGTAGGGGCTGAGCAGTGCCACCACCCAGGGAGGCCCCTCCACGGAGCAAGAGAGGGACAGGCAGGACAGCAGGAAGAGAGAATACACGTGTCCTCGGGTCCAGGACAATGGCACTGGATTTCTCTGCCAGCCCATGGAAAGCCCTGGGATGATCGGAAGCAGGGACCGCTGTGTGTTGACATAGGTGTTTACAGATGGGTGCCCGCTGCGTTCTACACACTGGGCTGGATCTGAGGACCCAGGGGGGACCTCAGCAGAGGGCATGGACGCTCCTCCTGCAGGAAGCGGTGCAACACCAAGGGCAAGTTCCTTCCAAAATAACACACACACACACACACACACACACACAGGATTTTCTTTCTTTCTTTCCTAACAGTTTTCTTTCCCGCCCATCCTCCCCACCCACCTGCACTGTTAGGGACTGAACCCAAAGTCATGGTCACAGGTACCTCCTCAGATGAAGAGTGTTCATGTTACTTTTTCATAATAGAAAATGAAGATGTTCCTAGGTATCGGGAAAGTACAGCTACTCCGCATGTTGTGAGGGCTCTGCCCACAAAGAGTGAAAGATGAGCCAATCTTTAGAGAAAGGGCGAGAAGAGGGCTTTCCAGGCACAGGAACCACCCTGTGCAGAGGACGAGTGGGGGTCCATGCGGGGCACAGAGGCATTTGGGCTGGCTGGGGTTGAAGACCACAGGTGGGAAGGGTGCAGACCCCAGGGGTCCCGGGCTCGGTCATCCGAGAGGCTCACAGACACTCTGCAGCAAGGGAGGGGAGGTCTGCAGCGGGCATCCAGGTGGGCGTCTGGTAGGAACATCTGAAACACACAGATCTGGGATCTGAAGTCGAGGTGACAGACAGGTGAGGGTGACAGGCCTGGACCACGTTGTGGCCGGGCGTATAGGAGAGGTGGAGGATGGGAGAGGAAGCCCCAGGTGCCCATGGCTGGGAGCTGCTTGGGAAGAGGAGGGGACGTTGATCCCACTGGACTTGAGCTGAACCCCTGATGTGGCCGTGACTAGCGAGCCAGGGCCATACAGTAAAGGAACCAGGGGACAGCAACAGCAGAGGCAGCACGCGTCCTATGCCCACCGGCAGTGTTCATGGTGACTCTGGATGACCCTGGGAGGACGGCGTCACACAGAAACAGCAGAGGGTGGGACTGAGCTCTGGATCCGCAGGCCCAGACACGCGGACCTGCTGATGAGGAGGCGTCCTTCCCAGTCACTCAGGAGCCCCTCTGCGTGACCGAGCATTTCAGAAGCATCACCCTGCCTGCCATATGCCCTTCCAGAGCTTTCTACAAATATACAACCTCCTTTCCTCTTCTCTTTAACCAGGGTGTGACCCACCTGCCCTTCAGGCCCGATGGCTAGCTCCCCCCGCCCCACCTCCCTCCCCCCACCCTGACAACACATGTCACCCTCAGCCCCACTTTCCCAGGCTGCATGCTGCACCGCATTCAACTTCACGTGCTCCTGTCCTGCCTACTCTCAGGAAACCGGGTCATCTCCAGTTTGTCACTATTATGACCAGCTCAGCCACCGCGGATTTGGTCACAGCGTCCTTCTTTGCTAAATTCCTGGAATGGGAGGCCAGGGTGTGAGCATGTGCACCTTGACGGTTTCTGAAAGGAACTGCCAAGAACCTTCCTGCAGGAGGCTCCTCTCTCTCCAAGGGGCCCAGGACGGGGTCTTTCCTCTCAGCGCGGCTGCATGGCTTTATAGGCCGACCCCTGCTGTTATATTCTTGCTTTAATCCGTATTTTAATTAGATTAACCATCTTCTAGATGAGCCATCTCATGATTTATCATTTTATGAGTCAGCCTCACCTAATTTCAGCCATTTTTCTGTAAGAGTATTGTTCTCTTTCCCCCTTTAATCTGGGACTGTGGAAGCGAAAATGCTGTCACATTGTGCCAGTTTGTTCTTAGTTTGCCCTTGGCCATGACAGAGCCGTGTCATTTTGGCAAAGCAAACCTCCAGAAGCTTCCTCTTCAGGGTTTCCACTGCTGGTTGCAGACACAGCAATGAACACTCACCGCGATGGTGACCATGATGCAGATGTTTTCGGTGTCCTTCCAGAAAACCTTCTGAGGAGTGACCTTGGCAAAAAATGGACCAGTCTCCCAAAGACCGCAGTCAGGCAGAGCACTTCTGTGATGGAGGTGGCCTACAGGGGGAAGACGGTGTGAGCTCAGTGCCCTGCCACCAGCAGGATGGGCTGCAGTCCCCGCATGTCCCCGACCCTACCTTTCCCAGCACCCTCCAAGAATTAGCCACGGCCCTGAATTTTACAGAAAGTTGTGCCCAGTTCCCTGCTGAGGGGAATGGTTGCTTCCAGAGGAAACCTGCCTCTGGGCACGTGACCCAGAGGGGCAGAGCTTCTGGGGGCTATAGCAGCAGCTGAAGACCCAGAACGTGTCCCTCAGGAAAGAAGAGGGTGTGGAGGACACAGGCAGGTGTCCCATGCCCTCACACTCCCATGTTCACACACAAGAGGCTTCTAGAAGTTCCTTTGCTCAAGCAGCAGGGCAACTCCTGGCTGTGATTTGGGTGTGTCCCCAGGAGTCCCGTGTTGGAGCCCTAAGTCCCAGAGTCTTATGTTCATGGTATTTGGAGCCAGGCCTTTGGAGGGGTCATGGTTAGAGGAGGTCTTCAGGGGTGGCATTATGGCTTTATGAGGAGAGGAGAGGTCCTGAGGGAGTCGCAGCATTTGCTGTCTCCCACGTGCCACCTCTGCCATGCTCTGAAGCAGCACAAAGCCCTCACCAGATACCTGGACTGCCCAGTCCCCAGGGCCACGGATGAAAGAAACTTCTATTCTTTAGAAATGACCTGGTCTCAGGCACTTTGTCTTAGGAAACAGACTGAGACACTCCCAGAGATGTGATTGGAAATGGCGGTTCATTCCTTCAACATCACAGTCCTTCCGCCATGCTGCGTGAATTTGGCTCTTCAGAGAGGGGGCAGGCCATCGATGGGAAGTATGAAGTCCTGACCAGTGTCCCTCCAGGGGTCACAGGGCCCCAGCCCCTAACTTGCTGTACTTGGCTAGCCTTGTAGTGGCAGCCACGATGTGCCCCAGTTTGCTGTGACACAGTGACACTTCCATAGCAGGGCTCTCCCTCCACCAATGGGAGAAAAGGGCAGCAGAGTAGGAAGACAAGAGCAAAGGGCAGCCTGGCATAGGCCAGGTGGAGGGCAAGGCTGGGACCATAAGGGACAGGAAGAGAGGGGTCGGCTCTGGGCCTGAAAGCAGAGGGACACAGTCATCTCCCCTGCCTCTTTGCGCAGAGGTGTCCTGGGCTTACCAGGCCCTTGAGCCCTCAGGGCTGAGCTGGATGACAGAAGGTTTTTCAGAGGATACAGCCCAGTCCTGACCAAATCTGGGCTTGAGTGATCATGCTGGAAGGGGCCAAGGTCCCAAACACACATGGCCTCTAGACAGTGCAATGCTGGCTGGAGGGACACTCTGAAACCCAGGTGGCCACCCTGGAGCTGCACAGGACCAATGGCACAAAGAGGGGTGAGGACTCGGGAGAAGAGGCAAGGGCCAAGAGGGACACTTGTGAATTGTCACCTGGGTCAGGCGGGGCCAGCACCAGGGAGGGACGAAAGACACCCTGCCCGGCCTGGGAGTGCTCATCTCTGCCCCCACAGAGCTCGTGTTCATATGGACAGTCACAGGTCTAAAAGGCTTCCGTCCAGAGAGTCCGTGAATTACAGAATCTTCAGCTTATGGAAGTGTGGGGAATGTTGCTTTGGGGCCTCCCAAACCATACTTCTGATTTTTACTCCTTTGTGTCACAAAATATTAATCTCCCACTACCAGAGCCTGGCTGGCACCTGAGCGACAGGAAGGTAGTTCTCACAGTTCCGGAGGCTGAAAGTCCAAAATCAAGGTGCTGGCAGGTTTGGTTTTCATGGACAGCCTTTTTCTTAGCAGGGGCCAGGGAGCTCCCTGGGGCATCTTTTATTAGGGCATTAGTTGCACTCATGAGGATGTCACCCCATGACCTAGTCACCCCCAAAATACTGCCGAATACTGTCAGACTGTGGACTGGGTTTCAACAGATACATTTCTTGGCAGGGAATGCAGACCTTCTGTTGGCAGCATATTCTTGCACACAAGCTGTACAAAAACAGGCAGCCACCAAATGTGACCCACAGCCCACAGTGTCCTGACCCTGTTTTAAATGTTTGAGTTTGGGGGTAATTTATTACACAGCAAGAGCTAACTGAAGTACAGAAGAATAAATAACCCTGTGATCATTAGAAAGCAACAGCCTTGAAGTTGGACAACCTGGTTCCGGGCCCAGCTCCCCATTTGTGGCTAAGCAACCTTGGGCAAGTTAGACAACCCTCCTAAGGCTCAGCTTCCTCGTGGGTGAGTAGGAGGTGGTGAGGGCTTTGCCCATCTCATGGGGATCAGCAAGGCTAAGGAGAACACAGACCACGCAGAGAGCTCTGGTGGACAGAGCACTCAGCACATGACAGCCATTGTGACAGGTGGGAGCAGTGATGAGTCAGATATCAGCCTGAGCAGGTCATCAGCTTATCATTCAGACTCTCCTGGGTTGTGTCATTCAAAATCCCCTGTGACCAGGCACCGAGCACTAAAAAATACTCCTGCCATTTATGACCACCACAAAAGCTGAACCTGTGGCAGATGTGCATCCCTCACTGCACCACACAATGACTTTGTCTCCTCAGCATTAAACAAACTTTTAAAACATCCTTCCTACCATCTCCATCTGATTTCCCCTTCAGTCAACAGAAGACCGGAAACTTTCATTGCCTTCAAAATCCCTTATGATTGGCACATTAGCCAACAAGCAGTCAGAATTCTCTGAAGCCCCAGCAAGAAAAAAATAAAGTCAAATTCCTATTTGTTGACATTTGAGGAAAACAAGGGAGAAGCCAGGGGCCCCACTCATCGGTGACAAAGTCTTGTTGACCATCTTTTTTTCTAATGCTGACCAAGAACAGCAGTGGAAACAGCACCGGTTCCTCAAACAGGGCAAGAGAGAGGTTGACAGAGATGAAGAAGTACACGGCCATCCGCATGGCCCAGTGGTTATAAAAATAGTAAAGTCTGGAGAGGAAAAACAGTAAAGATGGTTATAACCACTGAGCAGGAGTTATATAGCACTCAAACTTCTCTGCAAAGATGAACAGGGGCCAGGGGTGAGGCAGTAGCTCAGTGGTAGAGCAGTACCCAGCGCGCACCAGGTCCTGGGTTCCATCCCCAGCACTGCCAAACAAACAGGTAAATAAACAAATAAATAAATAAGACTCGTCATGGGTCACATGCCCTTCAGGTTCTCAGGAGCAGGGACGGTATTTACTTGAGCTCAAACTATAAAACACTAACAGAAAACATCAAGACGATGATCATATCTCAAAGCACACTTGGTGGACAGTCTCGAGCCAGCTTTAGCACCTTGTGACAGTAATAAGAGAACACTCCTGAACCAGAGACTGACAAAGTGAACCCTCAGTTAAAGTGACCTAATGCCATGTGGGCGTAGCTGAGTCCAATGTGAAAATGTGCACAGCCCATCTCAACGCGGTATGCTCGGGACTGATGTGGCTGCCACACGCCAGATCCCCGAAGGGTGGGACAGTCCCCCCACTCCTGCTTGGCAGCCTGGGCACACGAGGTGTTTGTTGCTTTTAGAGACACTGACACCGAGCGCTGATGTAAGAGAGGGATTTTCCTTACTCTAGCCGAGTGCTTGGTCTTAGTTGAAGCTTTAGGGGGAGATAGAAAAGGCTGGATTCCCAGGAAGGGAGTGAATGTGTGGGTAGCATTAGGAGGTGACAGAAGGGAAAAGAGAAGCCCTCCCTTGCACTCCAGGTGACACTGGCTAGGAAGAAAGGTGGCCTTGTGCGTCCAGCTTGGACACTCCATCTCCTGGCCCTGGTGGTGTCCATTACGCCCCCCCGATCTGCTCTTAACTGACCGGATGCTCCCTGCATGTGGGACACTGTGCTCTTAGAACTTAACCCAAACCACCAGGCCCGGGGGCTGGGCTGCAGCTCCGTGGTAGAGCACTTGTCTAGCACAGGCCTGTCTCTGGGTCAGCTCCCAGCACCACAGAACAAAACGCTCTTGGGTTTTACCCAAATGTATGTGCCGTACCTAGACCCCTCTGAAAAGTTTCTGTGGAAAGAATGCCTACAAGTTTGGCCCAACCTCTAGAACTTCAGGTGGACAAGTGGGACAGCTGGGTGCTTCAATTAGCTGATAGCCCGAGGGGACGTTTGGAACAGAACGTTCCTGTTGTACTGGGCATCAGAAACATGGGCAGCTGCCAGGAGAAGGTTCTGGAAGGGAGAAAACGTCAGACAGGAACTAGACTGCTTTTTCCTTGTGGGAATGCATCAGGCACAGAGGGGAGCCCTGCCCCTCCACCTCCAGCCCGGCTCCCTGGAGGCTGCCACCATCAGCAGAGCCATAGGTGCCCTTCCTGGTGTGTCCCCTGGGACCAAGGATCCTGCAGCAGAGCTGGCCACATGCACACTGCATTTTCTAGAACTCAATTACAGGTTCTCATTTGAGGAAGGAAAATAAGAAAGCACTGAACAGAATATATACATGGCTTACATGGCATATTTACGCATAAATAGAGGTTCTGTCAGTCCAAATATACATATGAGTATATGCACACAAACCCAAGTATATAAACCCAAAATTATATTTAAGCCACTTGGTGGGTGGTTGAAGGGATTTTTGAGGGGAAATCTGACAAGTGAATTATTGATGTCTTCCAAATCTACTTAAGGTAGAACTCTATACATACATGGAACTGAAAACCAGTCACAAGGCTTTCATGTAACTCATGGTGGACACTTTTCATCCAATATATTCTGGACTTTATCCCCCTGACAGGACACAGAGTTGTATTCTTTTTAACAAGCAACTTATCATTCTGATAGTACTCATTTTTTCTATTCAAACATAATTGCATTACATATTCTTATGGGGGTGGGAACGGGAACGGAACTCAGGGAGCTTAACCACTCAGCAACGTCCCCAGTCCCCCGTCCCACTTGAGACAGGGGCTTGCTAAGTTGCTGAGGCTGGCTTTGAACTTGCAATCCTCCTACCCCAGCCTCCAAGTGCTGGGATTACAGGCATGTGTCACTGTGCTCAGCTCAACATTCTTTTGTACATTATACACACACACACACACACACAAGAATATCACACATGCACACATAAATATCTTGGGGCCCTATGAGTGTTTTTGTAGGATTAAAAAAGTACATTACTTCTTGATGAAAGAAGACATAGATATCCCACAGGCCTCCAAATGGTATGGGAAAGAAGACATGTGCAGGTAAGCATGCGCGTGTGCGTGCGCACAAACACATACACACACGCGCGTGCACGTTCTCCTGCTTGTCACTAAGGGTGATGTGATTTTAAACAGTTGCTAATACCGACCAGCCAAAGGGGTTTCTAGAGACTTTGTTTGCCTTTCCTTAGGACCAGGACTGCTGCCTCCCTGTGTGATGATTCACATTTCTGATTCTGCATCGATGAGATAAGAACATACACACACTGACCAGCTATTTAGCCCTTTCCATATACTTCAGAAAGAAAAATAGTCTGATAAGCTAATTGACTGCCTGAGCTATCCACTGTAAACAGAAGCCATCTTCCTGCCTGTTTTGAATGGGTGTCTCTTACTGGTCAGGCAAGTTAATCTTAAAAATGTATCACGTATTCATAGGGTCAAAAGATTCCAAACTGTATGCAGATGGTCAATCATAGTTCAATAAAGCTGTTAAAAATTATCCAAACAGAAAAAGAAATGCTTGAATTAAAAGTTGATGCAGAATGATATTCTTAGAGATGGATTCACTGCTGTAAGAATGAATCGCTTTTGGAGTCACACGCATTCCAGGGCAGGAGGACACTTCCCCAGGGCACATGACCAAAACCTAAGATGCACTATATATGTTTTTGACACATTATACATTTTCTTTAACATATCTAATAAAATATTAATAGAAAAACTATTAATATCAATTATTTTTCCATCAAGCATCTTTAATATTGAGAAAGAGTTTCCCACGATGCTCTTAGAATTCTGTTTTAGGTAAAAAACATCTTGTATCAATAAGAGTTGATTTGTTTCTAGCTTTTTTCAGTGCATGCACATCAACTTTAAGAAAATTCCTTAGCTTATATAAATGTTAAAATAGATTCTACTGACTTTTATGCCTAAAAAAGAAAAAGAAAAAAAAATATATGTTTAAAAAAAAGAAAGTCCTATTAAACCTCAGAAAGATCATACTGGGACAGCAGAGAATTCTGACTTTTTACAAAAGTATTTACAGCAATATCTTTTTAAAGTTGCTGCTGTTCCTGGTTTGAGAAGATGACGCAGGGCTTGGTGTAGAGTGTGTGCCCACCATGTACAAGGCCTGGATTTGATTGACACCCAGGAAAAGAAATTTAAAAAATGAAGCTAATAACATCCTTATGACTGGACCCGGAGACAGGAGCCCTTTGACACTCACAAGCTTGAGGTAGACCGTCCACCCACCCTCCAGAGGGAGGATGGGAAAACCACTCCCACCATCCCCAGGAGCCAGGCCAGGGGGTTATCTCTGTGAGACATCACCCAGACCACAGACCTGAATGAGACCAGCACAGGTTTCCCTCCAGTGCCCCTGGCCATCTGGACACCCCTGGGTTGTCAAGATCTGCTCAGGCTCTGTAACACCAAGCCTGCTCCAGGAACAGCCCACAGAAGTGCTCTCGAGGCTTTCCCTGCCTTAACAGGAGGCACATTTCTGACATCTGTCTCCACTTGCAATCTTATCTACTCTGCCTTCTGGGCCTACTTCCCTCCTTCCCGTTACTGTGCAACTTCTTTCTCCTGCCCATTTCACTTGGGAAATGTTGTTCTCAGCAGATGAACTGTAATAAGCACGCTTACTTGTACTAAAGCCTTTTGTGTCTTCCCAGAAAACAAATTCTTTTCATCCAACCCAAGAATGTGACCTATCTTAGACACCCCATTCCAACACTTTATACTTTTCAAGTTCATATGGTGTGTTAGTTGGCTTTCTGCCACTGTATGAAAAGACCTGAGGTCACTCATCTTATAAAGAGAAAAAAGTTTATTTGGCTCACAGTTTCCGAGTATCCAGTTCACATTTGATTGACCCTTTTGCTTTAGACCAGTAGTGAGGCAGCACAATATGGCAGGCAGTGCATGGTAGAGCTACCCACTCACCTCACAGCAGCTGGGAAGCAGAAAGAGAAAGCCAGGAAGGGACCAGGGTCCCAATGTGCCCTTCAAAGGCACACCCTTAATGACCTAAGATCCCCCACTGGACCCCCTCTTAAACGTTCCACCACCTCCTAAGAGAGTCACAGGCTGAGGATGGAGTCTTTAATACATGGGACTTTGGGGAACATTCTAGATCCAAATGATAGCCCATGGGAACCACTGTCCGTATCTACCATGAAAATGGCAACCGCCAAATACAGATGCTCCCCTGGAGGCACCTCATACATGCTGCACCAGCCCACAGAGGGCCCTGGTGGACACAGGGGTTCTCAGTCCCCACGGCAGGGGTCAACTCCCTGGGGAGCTTTCAAAGACCCTGGTGCCAAGAACACCCCACACCAGCCGTGTCAGAATCTCCAGGAGGTGGGACCTGGGATCCGCTTTTTAAAGTTCAAAAGTGGCTTGAGGGTCAGTGAGAGTGGGAAGCAGGGTCTACACTGGCCCTTCCCTGCGGCTTCCCTCCTGCCGTCAGTTCTCAGGGCGCCATGAGGGATGCACCTCCCCGACTCCCTTGTCTCCTCTTCTCATAGCTGTGAGATTTCCTCTTCTCCTCGAGATTTAAAACTGGATTTTAAATGGCTGTGTTTCCTCCCTCCCCTCCTGACCCAACTTTGTAAGCCTTAGAAGGGAGGGGAGAGCACAGAAAGGAGGCACAGATGATTCCAGAGGTTCTCAGGGGAGAGCAAGGACGTTCCTTCCAAACGCCCAGCAGACACCCTCTTCAGTCTCCCCTGCCGTAGGAGTGACCACCACGAGCCCCAGAGACCGTCAGGCAGGCAGGCGACAGGAGCCGGGAATCTGAAGCTGCTGATGGAAGTGCTTTGAAAACACACTAACATGTCTTGTTCATAGAGATAAGAAAATCAGCACAACTAGCCGTATCTCAAGGTCAAGAGAAGTCCCCACACGTCTTAACTTACATTCTTCCACTCGGGTTTTTCCTCCCAATGCCAACACTCCGTCTGTCACTACAAACAGTCTTGGCCCCGTCGTGCCTACCTCTGCTCCTGCCATAAACTCATCCTGCACGTGGATAAACAGAGCAGGCCCCTGTTTCCCAGGGCGCCCTGTGCAAAAGCTGCCAGTGACTTCTCTTCCCTTAGAGCTACTCTCCTTGGCCCAGATAACCAAGTGGGAAATCCTTGGCTTGGCCTTTAGGGGCCGCACAATCCCCTCTCTCCAACTTTCTCTCCCTGGCTTTCCCTCCAGGAACAACGTTCTCTGGACAAAACAGATGGGATTCCTTGTCCACTGCCCACCGCGGGCCCCACCCCCACGCCTGATCTCATGCTTAGGCGCTGCCCTCCCACTGTCCTTCCTTGGACTCCATCTCACACTGCACTCTCTCCAGGAGGACGAGCGATCCCACATTTCCACATGGAAAGACCACCCGGAGAAGCTGGGGCAGTGCCCATACAGCAGGCATCCCGTACAGATAGCAGCCAAGGGTGGAGGGCACCGGCCACTCTGGCAAGAAGGGTGGGTGAATGAGTGACCACAAACAGGCATTAGGACAAATACCTCGTGTCCCTCAGCATAGCCACTTGCAAACCAACAACCCACAGGCCAAGTACAGTCTAAAGGTATGTTTTTTGGGGCCTGTAGAATGTGTTTAGGATGTTGGCTACTAATTCAAATTTTTTTCAAAACTGGAACTTACACAAAAATTTGAACTTATGGTTCCTATTTAAAAGATGGATAACATCTGGCAAGGTGGGGCTGTTATAGTTAGTTTTTGCTGTTTGCCCTGATACTTCATCACCTGAACAAACACTTAATATTTTCCCATGTTCTGCAGGTCAGCTGGGCAGCCCTTTTTAGAGCCAACTTAGCTGATCCTGAAGGTCATGAGCACTGGGTGTTCTAGGAGGGTCTTGCCCACATCTCTTGGCCATGTGCGTCCAGAGCATCGAGAGAGCAAGCACCAACACTCATGGGCTTCACACACCTCTGCTTGTGGACATCTGCTAATGTCCCATTGGCCAAAGCAAGTCCCATGGCCAACTGCAGGTTCAAGGGCTGCAGAAATGCACCCTAACTGTATGGAAAGGAATTGCAAAGTCATCTTGCAAAAGTGCCTGCATTCAAGGATCAGAAGACTTGGTGAGCATTTTTGCAATCTATGATCGACCCCATGACACAGCTGGAGGTGGGTGACTGTGCTTTTCTTAGGGCAAGGGACATGCCCTCCAGGTCATCACAAGCCCTGTCCCCTCTGTCACTGAATCATTCCCACCTAGCTGGCTGGTTTTATGTTGCTCTTGAGGGTAGTGCAGATGAAACCAACACTGCTCTCTCATGCTCCCAGGGAGCCCTGGCCAGCCCTCTGCAGTTACCAAACTGCCATCTTCCCCTCACAAGAACTTCTCTGCAAATGGCTATAAGGTAACACCAGGGACCCAAGAGCTTGAAGACAAGAGTAATCACAGACCTGCATGAAAAAGTTGAAGAGTGAGAACATTCAAATAGAAGCACACAAAATATCAAGAGGTGACCACAGAGGACAGTTGACAAGAAACAGCATGGGGCACAGGCTCTCAGTCCTGGCTGCACCTCTGAATCCCCAGCAGCCTTAAAGTTACTGGTGGCATGAGCCACATCCTCACCAGTAAAATCAGAATCTCAGGGGCAAAGCTGAACAAAGTACCTTCCTAAAAACTTCCCAATGAGTCTGACCAACAGTGAGGTTGGGAATCACTAGCATTGGGGTATTTCTATTTCAACTCTGAAAGTGAGGGATGCTGATGCATTTTTCAGGGACTATGCAGTTTCCTGTTCTGTGACCCAAAGCTAACTTACAAAAGATTAAACAGTCAACTGGCCACCCACCTCCCCAGATCTAGATGTTCTGCCGCCTCAGAAAATATGGGGCTCTGCTGAGGACTGTCTGTTGGTACCAGGTGCATTACCCTTAGTGCCTGCTCCCTGGAGGAGGTCTCTGAAAGACCTGGAGTCGCAAAATCTCTGGCTCCTGTAGACATGCATTAAACAAAACGGCTCACACTGGAGTCAGCCAGCACTCTGACTTATTTTCTGTTCTTCTTCTATTTGCTAAGTTGCTTAGGGCCTCACTAAGTTGCTGAGGCTGGCTTTGAACTTGAGATCCTCCTGCCTCAGCCTCCCCAGCCACTGTGATTACAGGCCAGTGCCACCATGCCCAGCTGTATTTCTTGATCTCTCAAATTATTAGTCATTTGCATGCGTCTCTTATTTAGACAAAGAAATATGAAACACACAGAGGAAGGGCATCGAGCATCTCTGGCTAAAATGATTTTCTCTCCACTGAAGGCTCTCATGATCACAACGAAGCCTGTCATTTTGTAGTTGTTGGGACCAAGGGCAAGACTGGGAACCAAGAAACCATCTCCTCCTCCTGTCCTTTGCCTGCTCACTCATTCATTCACCCACTCACTCACAGAGAGGACTTAGTAGAATCCACCTGTTGGAAGTGGCCTGACTTCTGTGGGAGAACAGCAGGCCAGATGGGAAGCCCAGTGTTCCACCCCACACATAACGGCCCTGTGGACTCTCTCCAGCAGGCTACATAGTCCCCTGGGGAGCAAAGGAGCAGGGGATACCATTCAGCCCAGAGTTGAATGACAGGGCCAGCCCAGCAAAGATGGGAAGCAGGACTAAAACACTCTGACCTCCTACACACTTGCATGGCCTGAAGGAAATGCCCAGCGTCACTGTGTGCCAGACACTGAGCTGGACCTAACCTGTGTGGTCATCCACCAAGGTGACTGTGATTTACCAATCCCACCTTACAGAGGCTCAAGGAGGAGACCAGCCCGTGATCTGGAAACTGCTCCATCAGAACAGGGGTTCTTGCCTCTCTCTCCACCCTCTGTTTCTTATCCCTCCAAAGGGCGCAGCCCTGTAGCAGCTGCTTGGAAGCTCCAAGTCATCCAGGGGAGCCTGTCTGTCACAGCAAACACACAGAGCCTACTGTGGAGCTGGGTCCCGCAGGCCCAGAAAGAGCCAGGGCTGCAATCCCCATCCTGCGCTGGGACCCTCGGTTGTTTTCCTGCAGGTACAGAGCGCAGTGCGTGGCTCCGGAGCCAGGCCAGCAAGACCTGGAATCAGGTCTCCATGCAATCCGGCTCAGTCCCCGCGGATGGGAGGCCTCTCCTGTGGCACAGGCTTGACAGCTCCCAAGTGACCCTCAATGCGCAGGGCTGCGCTCCAGCGGACTGTGCGCTTCCTGGCTGTGCGCTCTCCAGAGCACCTGGGGCTCTCCAGGTGCAGAGGACAGAGAAAGCTCCCCAAGCAGACGGGCTCCCCGCCCCACGTCCCCACAGGGCCCCTCGTTCGCAGCAGCAGCCGGTGCTGGCTTTTAGCGGGTTGGTTTTCTCCCTGGGGCTTTTCTCTGGGGAGGCGTCTGGCTCGGAGAGGACGACCGGACGCGCTGCGATCCGGGCGCCCTCGGGCACGGGGGGGGGGGGGGGGGGGCCCCCCCCCCGCCGTGG